CTTGCCATGTCAAATGGTAGATATATTTGCGCTGTGTAAGCCATAAAATAGCATGTTCTGATCGCTGAGACTTGCGTACAATCACAATTGAAGCCATCCCAACACCGATGGCTTTTTATAGGCGTGTGGAGAAGCGCCGGGTTCACTTTGTGCCTCGTGTCGTCGGTACTGGTCGAGCATTTTTACAAAAACTGCTTGTGTTGATCCCAGAGCTGTTTGTCAGCCCAAGCCGGGAGATCAAACACCGCTGCTGTGAACAACACCGACGGTAGCATGATGACGTTTAGAATAAAGACACAGAGCTCAACACTTGTGGCAAGCTGCGTTGCTGTTGCAAGATGTCGTTAGACGTTGCGTATATGCGCTGCATAGTTCACGTCCGTGAGATCTCCAGTCTCAATTAGGTAACTCAAGTAAGGCTTTTTTTCTCCATGACGAAGCACTGGAATACCACAGAGCTCCTCACTGTAGACAGTCAACTTTTGAAAAATGAGCTTTCTCTTGCGTAATTGCACCCGTAGTCCCGACATTCGGCCAAATTGTTCCAAGATCTGCAGGACACATGACATATGATTCGCTTCTTGTAAAAACCCAGTTTCATCGTCGACGAACGCTAAAAAATGTGTCTAGTGCCGCCTTCAAGTGGGACGGTGATACCTAGGTTAGTAGGGTCATCATGGATTGCCAGCGCAAGCACTTCCGCTGCGATGATGAATAAGAAAGGAGCCAGCGGGTATCCTTGGCGGATAACCGAGCGCACTTCCTGTATCCTCGAAAGCTCCCCATTGACCAGAAATTGTGATGTAGTCCTGGGATGAATCTGAAAAATTACAGTAACAAACTCCGGCGAAAATCTAAATTGCGTGAGCGCTGAGAAAGAAAATCTCTGGCTACGGTATTATATGCCTTGCAAAAGTCGATTAAGAGTATTGATGCAATGTGCATGTCCGCCACCACAAATACAGCCGCACCGGTGTATAGGATAGCCATTATCATTAGGACAGTCTTCTGCACCTGCCGTCCATGAACAAAGCCTTGCTGCAAATCTCCGATTAATTTACCCAGTAAGCGCTGGACCCGCGTGGTGATGACCTTCGCGAATATCTTATAACTGGTTTGTAGAAGTGCGATTGGTCTATAATCCATTGCATCCTCAGAATCCCCCTGTTTGCGTAACGGAATGACCAGCATTTCTAAAAAAAGATTGCGGTGGGTGCACGATTTGAAGTATCTCGTTGCCAATAGCGACCATCGCTGATGCGAGCACGGATTGGGTATCCATAAAGAAAACATTATCAACATCCGTTCTGGATTCTTTGTGGCGGTTAGGTGCATCAATGGCTGCTATCACCTCATTAAAATGCATCTTGCGCATCAACAAACCATTATCAACCGCTAAAAAGCGTCTGGTATCCAGAATCGTGACAAAGTCGTCGAACTAAGCATCCAGTAGTTGAGCTGGTGCTCAAATGTGGACACTACCCAAGATAGGCTTCCATTCCAATTCAAACCTATCTGTCGTTGTCATGACTCGCGCAAACGCATCCCCATTATTATCTCAAATAAATGTAATGGTTTGATCCCTATCAAGCACAAAAACTCGCTAAAAATCCATCGAATCTAATCCATAGTCCGATTCATTCTGTCACCCATTCGCACCAGATGTTCTTCACTCGCCTCCTCGCTTGTGACCGCAAGACGATCCAGAATAGATGCGCTCGGCTCTGAGCCTTGATCCGTCGTATTGCTGCTTTCCTTCTTTGGTCCGTACGCCACCGCAGCCGCTGAATTACTTTCACACACCCTCTAGCGGTAGCGTTCCAATTCGCACATGTCACTTTGTATCCCAGGCGTTCATCAAAAAGAGCATCAAGGAGCTCCTTGATAACTCGAGAGGACTGTGCACATCAAATAGAATTTGTAATCGTAGGACGCTGTCGTCGTGACTGGGAATATAGTCCGGTATCCTTGTAATACAACTGCACACGCTGATGGTCTAACGATACCCGCGGTTCAGATACCTACACACATTGCAACACGAAGGACCGGACCAGGTTTGCGGCCCATAGAACCGATTTATGCGACTCACCGCATCGGGCCCCAGTACGTAAAGAATCGATAGGGGCAGGGTCGCCACCTTCCCCATACACTGACGCACTGATAATGCAAGCGTCTTACAGAAGATTAGCTTCTATCAAACTCTGGAGTGCTGCGCTTTCCGATCTTCCCTTCCGTGTACCTCCAAGCCTGTCAAGAGGCGGACTTTAAACAAAATGAAGTCGCCGGCGAGAATTGTCGGTCGTTGATTCCACGACCACGCTTGCAATGTAGCGTAGAAACGCTCACATCAGACTAATTTGTTCGGCGCACTTATGTTCACCAAGCTATTACCGCCTAGGTCGACAGTAATGACCCGAGTAGACCATCCCGTTGTGTTCCAAGGAGTAGTCAAGGCAGCTACCAAAGTGTATATTTAATTTGCTATTTCCGCAGTCCGTTCATCCCCGATGCTCCAATACGACATCGGTGGCCCACTGTGCTGCTCATGTTGACCCTATAAGCGGTCCCAGGAGGAAATAAGCTGATCAAATCGTCTTGGCAGCTGAAGTGAGTCTCTTGGATCATCCATGCAAGTGGGCGTTCTTGTACCGGAGTCCGGCGCCATGCAGTGAGCCACGAAAATCAAGACTTGACCTAAAACCCCCTGGCATTCTGGATTTCTATCCGTTTGTACCCATTTAATTGCATAACGCCTTGATGACTCCTCCACATATTGTGTGGTTGCCAGAGAAAGTGATGTGTGCCGTAGGCATCTGTGGTTGTGTGGCGTCCTGTGCAGGTCGATGCCCCCGTGTCTAGTATAGAGATGTCTTTAGTAAGTGCGGATCGCCTCGATACTACCATGCTCAAATGCATCAGAGAAGAAGCGCGCGAAAGAGCACCAAGTGCCGGTGGCCATCAAGGTATTAAACACCTCTCTATACGTGACAATCAACTTCAGCGCAGCCGAATGCCTTCCTAGGCTGAGTAACGGTATCCTTCGCCATGCGATCCTTTTGATCCAGGAGAACTTTGACCTCGTGCTCGTACAAGCTCGCGCAAATTATGTGTTTAGCAAATCGAGCAGTGTTGGTCACATCCCACAATTTCAAGATAGGATCATCCCCGTTCGCGTTGGTACGTAATCAGATCCAGTCTTCGCGGCTGTCTGTCTTCTAGTGCCTGTAAATTGTACAAGCCCGGTCTGGTGAATATGGTACACCAAGACTCTAACCACTTATTCGTCGATAGATCGGTTGTTTTAAAGTGATGGGCTTGTAGCGGAGCTACACAGCTTTTTAAGTCAGAGGAAGACTTATTTAACAAGCCAACGGCTTACGGCTGACAGCCTATTATCTCTACGGAACTAATGTATCAAGTTAAAGAGTCACCCAGATTTACGGAACTTGGGTGGACTCAACGAGCTAACAGCTCAACTACCGTGTAGTTCTAGAGAACCACAAGCACAATGTACAGGGGAGTTGGAGTCTAAGGACTCTCTAAGCTACGGCAGTTTTAAGGAACTGCAGGGCACAATGTGCGAAGGGGGGGAAGTCTAGGGGCTTCTGCTCAAAATGAGAACTTAGATTTTGATACCAAGGGAAATCCTACTTTATGTACCCTATATTATACTATACTAGAACTAATACAAATACTAGTATTCGAACTAAATGGATGGTTGGCCCATCACTCAGTCATCAAATGATGACGGTACAAAGTACGTACACGGTAAGTACCGTAAACCTGGGAATATCGATCAATCGATATTATCTTGCTGATATGAAAGCTACGGTCACACACATTCATCCATATCATTTAGGGGAGGTCTTTGACGAATTTAGCCAATGGCTAGTGTGACCCGTTACACCCTCCTCCACCAGACTTGTACACATCCACGTCGCTAGACCGCCGTCCAGCTTTCTAAAACCTGGTCCGTTAAAGCGTTGAGATCTTCAATCCAGATATGGGAAGCTTTAAACCATGAATAAAAGCAGCTTCGCCTCCCGCTGCGCTATCGTGACCCATACTTTAGGAGTTCTAGGCACGTATGGGGCCACATCCGCGGCCGAGGCTGGCCAAGCCTCACCTGTTTCAGCCAAAGTTCCTGCCAACTCCATCGAGTGTTAGCCGGCTCACGTAAAACAATTTGCATAGAGGATTCTGGCATGATCGCATCTCCATCTTGCTCGTTAACCGCAACACGTGTGCGCAGCATTTGTCAAATTTGTTCTCCCTCCGCAGGAGTCTCAGAGTGCGCTCTATTTTGAGCAACTGGAGGATCCGAGACATCGAGACTCCTGGGCACGAACTCTAGCTGTTTGGTGTCGCTGCTATTATCTTTGTGACTTAGCGAAGTTGGTGTCAGGCAGTACTTTGTGGGGTGCTGGGTGTGCGCATAAGGCTAAGTGCCCACCAAATCCGATTGCTGGCCGAGCTGTGTCGAGCGTTGTTCAGTATCCGGAATCCGCGTGTGGACAAAGGCTGAGTAATGGTCGCCCCAGAATTGGAGCACCAATGGCTGCTGTTGGTCCTGCGTTTTTGTTAGAGAAATAGCCTTGGCGTGTATCCAAGGTTATTTGTTGCCCAGTCTCGTAAATTTCGCTCCTCTCGTGTTGGTACTAAGATGAAGCAAGGAGCAGGCTAACGATTGCTTGCCGTCCGTGTTGCATCCAAGTACAAATACCTTACGTCGTAAAAAGTTGTCCGCGATTAATAAAAATTTCACTGCTGCCTCAAGTGTGCCTCTCACTAAAAGAGAGATGGGTAGAAGGGATGGTGGCATACTCATGTAAATACCACTGAAATTGTTTTGCTGATTTCCGTATGGTCATGCCGTCCCACCCACGTTGTACATTGGCCAGCTTGGCCGTACGAACAGAGTGACTGAATTGCTCATCAAAATGTAAATGCCCCGCCAAGTGGATACCCCATTTATTACAAGCCGTGATAAACTCCAGGGATCAATCGTCGGTAACCAGGTCATGATCAGAAATGGCCTGGGCTAACGCCATTGCTACGCAATTACCAGTGTCTGGGGTTGTCACCGGCGTAAGGCCGAGACCGTTCTTGATTGTGGGCAGATCAGGCTCCGTGGCTGAGTCTATGACCTTGGCTGAAATTATCGATCCCAAGCATGGCTGCACATCCGCAACCGCTTGGCGTAGAGTAGCGCGTTCCTGCTGTGAACGTGTGAGTAACTGCGATGTGGGTGGCCTTTTTGGTGGGGTTGTCGCACGAAGATGTAGACGTTGCTTCTCCTCTTCCATAGTGTCAGCGACAGACGTTTTTTTTTCGTCATTACCGGACTGGAGCTCGACTGCACCCATTCCCGTAGGCGAGGCAGACGTAGTATCGACTGCTGCACTTGTGTCCTCTGGCCAGTTCTTCAGGTCAGCATAAAAAGAGGCGATTGTCTGAGGACATGCCAGTCGGTCCCGAGAACGGGCAATTTGATGTCGACGCCGTCGGATAGGCACCATCACCCATCTCTTCTTTGGAGATGGCACGGTCTGCAGGGCTCTTAAAGGAGTATGAGCACCGCTTGGACTAGGCGCTTGTATCGTGTGTACGTCGGAAAATCCAGCATTTGTCGTGAATGGAGCAATTGCCTCCTGAGCCCTCTTTTCCTTGCCGTGCTGTAAATGCAGTCTTCGTGCTGCCGTTTCTTTAATCTCGTCTAGCCTGTAAAATGGTGTAGCCAAATCATGTAGCGCTGCAATTTCCCGTTAGGTAGCGACTCTGCTACCGAGGCCGCTCAACTGAGCTTCAGTGAAGCGGCACTGGCCATGGCATGAACCAATTTCCTGCAAGCCAAGCACTAAAGTAAGACGGCGTCCAACCTCAGGGTACTTTAACATGATTGGTCGACCAAACCAGATAACGCGTACGACACCACGCGAGAAGTCGAGACAGCCAGCAAGTTTGACTGTTAGCCGCCAGACTGTAGAGGTCCGGGAGTTACGAGTGCAAATATATAAGTCTTCCAGTTCGAACAATGCTGCAATATGAGCCTTAAAATATGCGGTTATCTTTCCGATGTCCGTAAACCTTGTGACGTGATGTAGCTCCACGGTATACTCCCTGGCTGCTGCAACACCAGATCCACCCCTGCCATTCTGCCGGGATCAGACGGAACCCGGAGCTGGCAGATGTACGTTGATCGATCCATACACTGCGCTTCGCAACGGAGTTTCGATGGATTCTAATTCACGTGCCGTCGCCCGATCGAAAAAGTAAAAATGGAAGCTGCATTCCACCTGATTGTAGCTGATCGTCTTAACTACATTAAGCAGCCGCAGCTTATCCTGGTTCACCCGCAAGCGCTCCGCTGCCAGCAAAATGTCCTCCTTGATCGCACTCGTAGTCTGGCAATGTAACGGGGTGAACCGTTACATAACAATTTATAAGAATTTGTTAATAGAATATAACTATAAGAGTTATATTCTCAGAATATTGTCATAGGGACAAACATTCTGTAGCGCTTACGAGTAGTTCCTAATTGGTTGATATAGGCCATTATATCAACCAACGAAGACGCGCCACGACGGACGCACGCAATGAGTGGTGAGCAGATAACTGATTTACACATTTGTATTTAGACATAGTTAGATGAAGATAAATAGTGATTTATTGCAGACATTAACTATTATAAATACAGTTCTATTTTTTACTCTAACCAAGTACTCGCTTCTTCTTACCGTCTTCCTCTGCACGTACGAGTGTACGTGAAGTTACGAGGCACCGCCTTATTCTGTCATCAGAATAAGTAGCTTGTACTGTCACCAGTACAAGCTTCAGGGTGCCCCGTTACAGGCAACACATCCTGATGTTGAGTCTGCTGCGCAGGTGCAAGACGAGTTCTCCTTCGACTTAAGCTTGAATTGTCCTGTACAAACAGACTCGTTCCATGGAATCCAGCACGTTATTACAAAAAGGGCAAACGCCTGCACACAATACTTCCGTTAGCTAGGCCGCTGATTATGCGCCATTCGTCCTGCGTGCCATCACGAAGTCGGCTCCTGCTGTTGGACACCGCCGACTATAGTCAGAGCGCACGCAAAGTCTTAATGTACTTTGCGTTTTATACTGCTGGATTGAACATAAATGGCTAGTAGGTTGCCCGTAGTCCATTGTTAAGGTCGGCACCTCCCACTGAATCAGAGGTCGGCGTGGCAGTCGTCGTTCACGGGTTTGTCAGCTTCGCCCATTTAATCTTGCTGATCAAATTCTGTAAGATGTGCGTGAAGGAACAATTCGTGTTATACAGAAATTGCGTCACCTTCTTGGCCTGGGCCACCCATGCCTCGTAAGAAGCGTCACACGCCACACATGCTTCCTCGAAAAACTGAAACAAAACCACCTTTTCGTCGTTGTGTAATTTAGAAAATCGCTTCTTGCCAGGCGGAACTTGCTCTGCATCGACCACGACGGTATCTTAGGCTATCTCGAACAGTTCCGCAATCGTCGTCATCCATGCGTCGCGCAGAGGTTCTTGAGGAGACGCTTTCCGTGCATCCATCACAGCCGCATACATTTTTCCTGAGGCTGCACCACGCTCGTTGGATGGTCCTGCGTAGCCTCTTTCTCCTTAGGGCGTACCTGTGGCTAACGCTGGCCGGAGTTTCCCACCGAGGGAGTCCCTCCATTACCGTCCGTGCTTCTATCGTAAAGCGGATGAGGGAGCGGTGGAGGGGGCTGCTGCTCATCTTCTGCCCCCTCTAAACGGAAGAACGGTGGAGAGCTTGATCCGTCGATACTGCTCTAGGCTCCAGTAGTGGAAGGCCGCGCACCGAAAGGCTACGTATGCTGCTCCAAGACGGTGGCGTCGGGCGGTACGCATTCCAGTGCGAGGAGCTCACCCGTGTCGGAATTCGCTGCTCCAGGCATGGTGCGTGTCGTACGAAGGAGTTCCTGGATCAAGCGCTGAAGCAGATAACTAGTTTGTTCACTCGTGTGCTTTTCAACCTACCTGCTGATACGTGGCTGACAGGGCCGTGCGGAGACGAAGCAAATTTGAAAAATATAAGGGTGAAACGTACACTTATCCCCAAAGCAAAGATTTCAGTAACCAATATCACATAAGCCAGTTAAACTGGTAGCACGTGAGGAAGAAGTGTCTGATAAATTTCTTTCTAGTTCGTCCTCGCTTCCTACTTCCTCACCTGTCGCTGGCTACCTGTTTCCCTGAACCAGTCATTCTAGACTATTGGCTGCCAACTAATCGCTCGCTGACTACTTGCACTGACTATCTGCAGCTGCCCAAAAACCTCACAATCTGGTGCTAGTCGTAAACTCATGCCTCTCAAACTCCTATCACTACCACCCCTCGAAAGGCAACATTTTCTACATCGTCGCCTTTAGCTTCTCATTTACATCACCCACGATTTCTAGACTCTTCTAATTTATGCATCTAAGGATTTTTTCGCGTAACAAATCAGCACAATTATTAATTCTTGTAAAATACAAGTCTTATCGTTACATTTTGTTATATTCGTTGCTCAATACAACTCACGACTTTCTCTCTTAGATGCTCTCTACTTCCTCTGCTCCAAGCATGTACCGGGGCACCCTGAAGCTTGTACTGGTGACAGTGCAAGCTACTTATTCTGATGACAGAATAAGGCGGTGCCTCGGAACTTCACGTACACTCGTACGTGCAGAGGAAGAATGTAAGAAGAAGCGAGTACTTAGTTTAAGCAAAAAGTAGAACTGTATTTATCATAGTTAATGTCTGTTAATAAACCACTATTTATCCTCATCTAACTATGTCTGAATACAAATGTGTAAATCAATTATCTGCTCACCACTCATTGCGTGCGTCTGTCGTGGCGCGTCTTCGTTGGTTGATATAATGGTCTATTTCAACCAATTAGGAACTACTCGTAAGTGCTGCAGAATATTTGTCCTTATGACAATATTCTGAGAATATAACTCTTATAGTTATATTCTATTAACAAATTCTTATAAATTGTTATGCAACGATTCACCCCGTTACATCACCCCCCCCTTAACCATCAGTCACTTTAGTGACTGATTGACTGAAAGGATACTCGTCCCAAATCATTTGGGACAGGGTTTGCACTTGTTGGTCCGAGTCCACTTTCCAACAGTTCATCGCATGGTTAACAAGCCCATGCGTTGCGCGAGCAAGGCCGCCTAGAGCGCGTCCGCACGTCTCTGTGCGGACGCCGAAGCTGAAAGCGCAGCAACTGATGTCTCATCGGTTGCTGAAGCGACTCAGCCTGTGTCACTTGGTGATGCAGGCGCTGGTCATGAAGACACTCTTGTCTTCACATAGTATGAGCTCGTTGTCTCATACTCTCCTGATACGGAAGACGGATCCGTATCGACGGCGATCGAATCCAAGCCGCCTGCCAAGCGTGGCATGGACGATGCTTTGCGTCACAGCATCTTTGGTTCATCTGATGAGTCAGATGAACCATCGCCGAAGCGAAGGCGCTCGAGGTCGCGAGACTCGGGCGATAACAGTGGTGTCGGTTCTCCTATGGACACCACTTCGCAACGAGGTGCCAGTACTTCTGTCGGCACGTCGCAGGAAGAGCGGGACCGCAATGTCTTGCGTCTCGCTCCAGAAAAGAAGGCATGGATGCCTCCAAAATCCGTCATGGATCACTTGTCGGCAAAGACGAGTGATCGTTATCGAACACGATTGTTCGATTCGTCAAGGATCCATCACCTTGACCCCAGTGCGAAAAACTATCGCGCTGAGAATGAATTCTTCATTGCTGCTTTCTTTAGACATCGATGGTACAGTGGGAATCACAAGCGTGATGGTCCCTCACTACTTCAAGCGTGGAACGCCTACATCCATAACCTTGAGGATGTAGGTCGTGACGTTTGGTACGACAAACTTATCAAAGCTCGTGATATGTTTGAAAAGCGAACCCCGACAGGTGCACGCTACAAGCTGCATCGTCTGTCAAGGGAGAAAGGATTACCCTGCCTCTCTTGGGGAGACTCGTGCCCATGTTGTGTGAACACTCTTCACGAGCACCTAAGGAGGCTTACCTCCCTAATAGCCCGTGGTGGCGCGTGCGGATCTCTAGTGAGATGTACGAAGGGGTTGACAACCTGAAATCCCTTTACGACCGTGCCGGGAAGACTTTCTCCAGCGGTCCTTCTGCGGCACAGGATGTGCCGCGTCGTACTGCTCGACCAGACCCAGTACGTTGATCATCAGTTGGGAGCGGGGCTCCCAAGAATCCCAGGACGGGGGATAGCCGCGCCACCGGGCAAGATAACTCGTCCGACGTCCGTTCACGTCGCGGTGGTTCAACAGCTGCTCTACTAGATAGCGCTGGCCACCGCGAGAGTCCTCTAATGGAGGTGGAGGAGGAGGGAAGACGCTCTCCACAAAATCGTGGGGATCCGTGTGTTCCCGAGAGCTTCTTTAATCGCGTAACGCAAGGGTTACGCGACGATCTCGAACATGAGCGGGACAGGCGTCTCCAAATGGGGGACACTGTCTTGAAGCATCGAGCTGAGTTTGCCTTTGCTCAGCTTGAAACCGAGAGATCTCTGACATCGCTTCGGGAAGAGCTAAGGGTAGCTCGTGGGATTGTTGATCGGTCTCGGGATGAGATAGCTGCTCTTCAGACCCTTGTCGATGCCCACCATCGGGAGCACAAGGCTCTCTGCGAGATGCTTGAGCGCAAGGGCGTTCTTCATCGGAAGAAGCAGCGTACTGATGGTACGGCTTAAGCCGACCAACGTAAAACGTGGGACGCGTTCGCATCTTACGTGGTAACTCGATCGTGTATGCATTGCCCAGGCGGTGCAATACACGAAATGGGCCGATGTACTTGGGTAGTAGTTTACTGCTACCCAAGTTAGTCACTACATGCTTTGGTAGATTAACCGTAGACAGTAGGACTAAGTCACCTTTATTAAATAAAACAGTGTTTGCCCTTCCATTCTTGTCAGCGTTTTGCTTTTGCTTGTCCACCGCTTCGGCGATCGAGTCTTGCACAAAACGGACTACCGTTTCGCGAGCCAGTATGAACTCATCTGATGACTCGTTAGTTTCAGTGCGCTGTGAGTGCACTGCAGCAACATCAATCTTTTCTTCAGTGAGGGCTTCCGCACTCTCACTGGCATCATCTTCTTCGATATCGATGTTATCGATATCGGCATCAAACGCAATGACTTCTTCGTCAGAGCGTGATGAGCGTGAACCAATTCGGTTTTTGCTCGCGCGAGTCCCTCCCCCCCTTAAACCAGAGTTACACTCTAGTAAGGTGGGTACACGCGGATGGCGTAAGCCATTCACGTAAAACGGTGTATGTGTCGTGGACGCATGCACCGAGTTGTTAATGGCAAACTCTAATATTGGCAAAAACTCACTCCAACTCGTAAAGGAGTGTACGTATCCTCGAAGTATCTATTCGAGGACACGATTGGCTCGTTCCATCTGACCATCTGACTCTGGATGATCAGATGTCGACATCTTCAAGCGCGCCCCGAGTGATTTGAACACGGAACGCCAGAAATCAGCAGTGGATCGTGGATCTCTGTCTGATACGAGTTCACGGGGCAACCCATGAAGTCGGAAGATGGTGTCAATAAACACCCAAGCACAGCCACTTGCCGTGATTGACTCTGGTATAGCCACTAGGTGTACCATTTTGCTGAATCTGTCAGCAAATACGAGAATACCCGTATTCCCGCGTGCGTCTTTGGGTAACCCGAAGACGAAATCCATTGAGATGGATTCCCAGCACTCAGCCGAAACCGGTAGAGGCTGTAAAGTTGCACGCAGTGAAGGACTTGACTTCACTCGTTGACAGACTTCGCATGCGCGAACATACTTTCGCACAAACAGATACTAGCGGGGCCAGTAAAAGTCTCGACTCACCGTGAGATATTTCTTCTCCCGGCCACGATGTCCTCCTATAGGAGCATCGTGATACTCGAACATGATCCGCAAACGCAGATCAGTATCATCTGGAATGACAACACGTGGTGTGTCACCAGAAACGGCTGTATAATACAGTAAACCGTTGCGAGTAGTGCATCGATCTGATGCAGATCGATACGCAGACGACAATCGTTTCAACGATTCTCGAGATGGTTGTGAGAGATGTATCAACAACTTCACAATCTCACCATCTTGGGCGTATGCCCGCCTCATATCATCATGCACCGTTGTAGATGGTATGGTGGAAGTCATAACCGCAACAGTGACTGTCTCACTGTTGGGTTTCACGACTGGTTCAAAGTCGGGACGACGTGAGAGTGCATCAGCGACGACATTAAGTCGTCCTGGTTTGTACTCGACCGTAAAGTTGTATTCTGCAAAGAATGACAACCACCGCGCCATTCTTTGTGAAAGGTGCGGGCTGTTCACCGCCGTGCGTAATGACGCATGGTCAGTGTAAACAATGAAGGGTCTATCTCCCAAAGATAGACTCTGAACTTCGCGAGTGCATACTTCATGGCAAGTAGTTCCTTGTCATGCACTGGATAGTTCCGCTCAGCTGGTTGCAGCTGACGCGACTGATAGCAGACGACGCGTTCAACGCCTTCAAGATCGTAGTGCATTAATGCACAGCCGATTGCGAAATCGCTGGCATCACAGACCACATGAAATGGCCTGTCCTGATCGGCAATTGCTAGGACTGGGGATTGTATCAAGCTCTGCTTGATACCATCAAAGGAGCGCTGACATTCAGCGTTCCATAACCACCTCTCGTTCTTTTTCAACAAACGAGAGAGGTGTACAGTCATCTCGGCGTAATTGCGTGAATACTTGTGCAAATACGCCGCTAGCCCAAGGAATTTTCGAAGACCTTTGACATCAACTTGCACAGGCCAGTCGGTGATCGCCTTGGTCTTTTCGGGATCAGGACGTACACCGTTCTTACCAACGATGCACCCAAGAAGTGGTATTTCGCTTGCTGCAAATATACACTTCTTCAGGTTTGCATACAATTGATGCTTTTGCGTGATTGTAAGAACGTGTCGGATGTGGTACCTGTGAACCTCAACATCCGACTTTCCATCCATAGACCGACTATGGATGAATGCGTCATCGAAATAACTCGGCGCGAATTCTCGTACTGGTCTCAACAGATGTGATACACATCTGTTGAACGTGGCAGGGGCATTACTAAGCCCTTGTGGCATTACTAGCCATTCCCAGAGCATGCCGCTAGGCGTGCTAACTGCGGCATAGGGTATATCCCGTTCTCGCATAAGGATTTGATAGAATCCATCCATCAAATCCATGCACGAAAAGATGGTACTCTTTGACATACCATCAATGATTACGTCCTTCCTCGGTATCGGCGTCTGAGCCGGTACCGTTGCAGCATTCAACTTTATGAATGCATGCACAATCCGCCACCCCCAGTTGCTTTCCGCACACAGAAGGTCGGAGAGCTATGTGGGGAAGTTGATTCCCTCACATGGCCCGCAGCTAAACGATCGGCAAAGAACTTGTCGATCGCAAGTACTTGTTCACGAGGCAGTGGCCACTGCTTCATGACACAGTACTTCGAGCCTGGTTTAAGCTCGACCTCGTGTCGAATACCTCTATCCTTCGGTAACTAGCACGGAACAGTTTCAGGGAATGCATCCTTGAATTCAACCAAATCTTCATAGAGAGGATTTGTCTTGAGCGATTCCCTCGATTGGGAGTCATATCGCTCAACTCGTGTCTTTTCATCGAAGACACTCTCGTCCATCGATGAAACTACTGAGAACTCTCTCGTTCTCAGTAAACACTGTTGCTGACCTTATGTCGGCTACACACTCTTCGTCAGCGATGAGTACGCAGATCTGCTTGACTTTGCCACTACGCAGATCACGCAAGAACCTTTTATGTTCGAGCGTTGGCAACTGAGTGATCTCCGAAGTCAACTTCAGAGGCGCAATCAGATCAAGTGTATAAGCGCCTACACTTGATCCGTTATTGACTATGACATTCAATGTCTCTGTAATTTCCTGGGGACTTCTTCCCTCAGGCCTCGAAGGACTTATTCCTTCGGCTTCCCGGGGACTTATTCCCGCGGGTTTCGGGGAACTTATTTCCGCCGTATTTGTAATATCGGGACTTATTCCCTTAACTTCCTCTAGCTGGGGTTGCGCAACCACAGCGAGATCCTCTACGAAAGACTCTCCAGTCGATCTAGGATTATCGTTTCGCTTAACCTGAGCGATCGATTGTTTATCTTCTAGATGTTATTCGCTAGGGATACATCTTTGTTCCCGTCCACTCGACTTACTCGAGTGGTGGACCTTCGGCGCAGCCTGTGTTTCCTCACAGCCGCCGGAACTTTGCTCCGAAGTGTAACCGCTTGTTACACTAAGGTTTTGTGCAGTCGTACTAACGACCGTACCACAAGTGAGGCCATCGCACTCACTCGTAGTACATCCACACGCTTGTGGACGCTCCAAAACGTTCATCAGATGGCCATCTGATGAACAAGCGGCAGGCATCGTTACTGTTCGATGTTGCCAGTTTACCCGTGGTTCGTACCTTCTGAGCCACGGTATTCCAAGGATGACATCAAACTTGTCATCCAAATCCAATGCGATAAAGTCATCGTCATATTGGGTATCTTCTAGCGTATAGTGGATCTTCACTATACGCCTCATGACGGTTACGGATGCGCCTGTCGCAAGACGTACCGTCATCCTCGTAGGAGGTGTGTCACATTCACTGAATTTAAAGTGACCATCTTCTAGCGATTGGCGTCGCACAAAATTGTTGGACGCCCCACAATCGACTAGAGCTCTAAGGGACAACTTATTCGTCACTTCGAGTTTCAAGGTAATGAGTGAGACCTCATTACCTAGAGCAGCAACGCACAACGTTTGTGTGTTGGGAGCAACCTTCATCAAGAGGCCTACAAATTCTCTTGACGTTGCTGGACCAGTAGGGTGCTCCGCACCTACTGATCCTGTCCGTTTTTTGACGGTCCATACCGTTGTTGCGTCTTTGCACCAACTGCGGACCCTCGTCCCTGCCCCTTTCTCATGGGTGGACGGTCACTACGCCCAGTGTCGCGAGACACTGGACGAGGGGCACTACACTCGTAAGCGTAGTGTCCTGTCTTTTGACATCTGTTGCATCTCTGCAACTTCTTTTAGCCTGTAGAGCGAGCCTTCTCGCTCTCTACATAACAGAGTTCCATCGGCTCTGGACCTCCGTTGTCATATCGTCTCGGTTGACGATATGATGTCGAACTGGCGCGAGCCTGTCTCAGACTGAAGTCTTCCTGTTTCGCAATGGAAATGGCTTGTTCTAGCGAATCTAGTTCAAGTCGGAACAGGTGAGTCTTGACGGGACCATCCGCAAGACCCTGCATGAACACCGAAACCAACGTATGTTCGTCCACCGGATTGGAACTTATACAACTCGTGAGATGTCGTATCTGTTGCGCGTAAGCGTGCACATCACGCTTAACTTGTTTGATCTTCAATAGCTCGGTTCGAGCCCTGAACTCAGCTCTAGGCGGTTCAAACGTTTGTCTGAGCCGCGACTTGAAGACTTCTATCGACCCAAACGCATATGGGTCGTGCAACTTGAGCCCCAGTGCCCAAGTCTTGGCACGTCCTGCCAGATTTGACTGGGCAAATGCAACTTGCATATCCCCGTCGTCGATGCGACGCGCCCTTATGGCGTCGTCTAATTCGACGAACCATCTCAAGAGGGAGTCCTCTTCGACTCCCCTATACTTGGAGATGTCAATCTTCACGGTTTCGGGTCGACGCGAGTGCATCGATCCACCAGCAGCCTGCTGCTGTCTCAACAGTTCAAACTGTTGAGCACCCTGTTCTCTCAACAACTCTGCTTGTTGAGAACTCTGTTGGTGAAGCAAGGCTACTTTCTCGCGTTCTGCGTCAAGTTCATTTTGAATGAACTTGGCGATAGTAGCATGTTGGGCATCTCTATTGAGAGCCTCTAGCATGACGCTAACAGCATGGATGCCCATGGTCGAACCCATTCGTTCAACCGCATCCCATTCGACATCGCTCAAATGGGAGTTGCCGTCACGCGTAGCGTGAAAGCTTTGGTCATCTTCACCATCCAACAAATTCATGTTAGATGTGAACGTGGTCCTTGGACGGACTACAAAGTGCTACCAGGTGTAACGGGGCACCCTGAAGCTTGTACTGGTGACAGTGCAAGCTACTTATTCTGATGACAGAATAAGGCGGTGCCTCGGAACTTCACGTACACTCGTACGTGCAGAGGAAGAATGTAAGAAGAAGCGAGTACTTAGTTTAAGCAAAAAGTAGAACTGTATTTATCATAGTTAATGTCTGTTAATAAACCACTATTTATCCTCATCTAACTATGTCTGAATACAAATGTGCATATCAACCATCTGTTCACCACTCATTGCGTGCGTCTGTCGTGGCGCGTCTTCGTTGGTTGATATAATGGTCTATTTCAACCAATTAGGAACTACTCGTAAGTGCTGCAGAATATTTGTCCTTATGACAATATTCTGAGAATATAACTCTTATAGTTATATTCTATTAACAATTTCTGATAAATTGTTATGCAACGATTCACCCCGTTACAAAGCGCGTCAACCACTTGCAAACTGTTGAATGATTGGTGGTAAAGCTTATATTACGGCACTCGTATGCACTCGACGCCGACGCCGACGAAGACACAATTACTACTATTTGCGTACAGCTGTTGGAATGATGGAAATGGGTGCAAGGGTACGTAACGGCGACCGGACTGTTCGGCCGGTGACTCGGGGTTTATTTAGAAACATGATGTCACAAACTCGCTGTGCGCAAAAGGTGGACGCAGAGTAATAAGCAGGTTAGTGATTCGAGTAGAGCCGGAATGCGTGTGAGACCGATGACTGGAGCAGAGGGCTTTGGCGAGCATGGCAGAGAAGAGAGAACTAGTAAGTAAATACAAGAGAATTTTATTGTTCACCTAACGCTTCCTTCTCGCAACACGCATCTTGCTTACAACTGCTATCTTACTTGCTACTGGATAGTCTTTCAGCTCCTGCTGTTGTCCCTTTTTGCAATCTATCGCATGAGTTGGTGAAGCACGCCAAAGTCCGATACATGACGTAGCTTGGTTGCAGTTCGTGTAAGTGCGTGGGGTTATTTGGTACTGTCTCCGCAATAGTATGTGCTCAACAACCGTCACACACTTGAACGAGGTGGAGGGCTGCCAGTGCTATGCTCAGGAGAAAGTCAATCTCCTACATTTCGGTCCAAGTCTGCGGTACCAGCGTCTAAGCGCTCAAAGCGAAGGAGATTGAGATCGCAGGATGTCACCAAATTTAGTAGGCGCACTGGCATACTGCCCTCGACGCTAGAAACAAACAAACTGTTTTTTTTTACCATGAACCGGTACCGGCCGACATTGCGACCGTGGGCATAAGAGGAGTTATGACAACATAATTAACTGGCTTCAAACGAATCATGTCCAAAACGAAAGTATACAGTCGTCACGTGGCGAGAATTCCAAGCACCGTATAGCAAAATGTTTTCCATGTATACAGCACCTTGTCTCGAAAGTACGACTCAAATTGAACGCTCTCGTGGTGTGCACTACGAGTTTCATACCGGTCACGACTGTCATTTTTAAGCCAATGAACCGATCTGTATACATGTAGTCAGTTATAGACCCCGATCCAATCCAGCATGCACCGTCCTCACATCCGGTTGTTAGTATACGTATATCCCATTTCAAGTACGTTCGAGTGTCAAAGATGCACCATTCCTTGACGCCCAAAGATCGTCGCAATGACCTCGGTCGACTCGTCTGCGCGGCCGCTTGCTGAGGTCGTGCTTCACGCCGAGTTTGACTTGATCAAGGGCAGCACGCTCCGCGGGAGCTACCCGTGCTCGTTCACCCACTACTCGCCGGAGTTTTTCGCCGATGTCATGTTACCCGAAGGTGTACACAATCGAACCGAGGACTGTACCGTCTTTTTCCTCAACCGGCACAGAAAATCGCACCATGTCCTCGTAGCACCCGATGCTGCTACTTCGTATGCTACTGCTACTTCAGACGCTACTGCTACTTTGGATGCTACTGCTACTTCAGACGCTACTGCTACTACTCCCAATGCAAAACCCACGGAGTCGACGCAAGTGGAAGATGACCAGGACCCACTCAAGAGCTTCATGTACTGCCTCAGTGTCGTGCGGACGACGTACGACACAGCCGCTTTACGTGGCGCCAAAGTGACGGCCGTGGCGCTCTGCTCGACGTACAAGAGCTGCGTGGCGCTTAAGGACGTGCTGAATACAGCGGTGCTTAGGATGGTGGCCACGACGTCCGAGACGGAGAGTGAGCAGGTGCTGAGAGAGCTCTACGACGTGGTGAATGCCGTTGATATCTCAGGTATTAGCAAGCTCTCGAGTCTCGAGAGGAGACTCAGTCAAGGCCGCTCGATCTGCCCGTCGGGACGAGCTGCGGACGGTCGAAACGAGGCCAAGGCGCTCGCGGAAGCCCGAGTCTTCCAGACGCAAGCTCGTTGGGACGATATGCTCATGCCAATACAGTTCCATGTTGGTAATACGGACGACCAGCACACCGACGGCACGTTGACGCTCTTGCTGCAGACTTTTGGAGACCAGACGATGGTACTGTTCAATGCAGTGCTGACGGGACAACGGGTGGTGATGCTCGGGTACAATCGACCGGCGGGTGAAGTCTGCAATTTTGTACTTGCGATGAGCTCTCTCGTGTGTCCGCCGCTGTTTGGACTTGTCCATCGCCAGTATCCGTACGTTGGTTTTGTTCCTGATGTAGGTGGGACAAGTTGTTGCTTGATTTAGTGACACGGAGTGACATTTTGTTAGGTATGCAAACCTCACGGATTTAGGCTTTCTAGGCACGCCGGGATTTATTGCTGGCGTGACGAATCCAATGTTCAAAACAAAGCGCGAATGGTGGGATGTGCTGTGCGATATTTCGACTGGTGAAGTGTTTGTGTCAGCGTCAGTGGAGAAAGAAGAATACGATGTTGTGGATCGCAACTTTGTTCTTGAGGTATGGTCAGCTGATACTTTACAATGACATACACTTTTGACGTTTCATTTGGGTTGCACAGGTATTGGACGGAATAGCCGCAGGGTACGGTGAAGAGTGGGTGCGGGGCATGTTTGAGGAATACATGCACAAAAACGTCGTGGACATCGCGGTGGGTGAGGCAAATTACTTGAGCCGTGACGCACTGGCAAAGTGCTCAGCAGTGAACAACAAGCGTATCACCAAGTGGGCTCGCACGGACAGCTACCGACTCTTCATGGACTCGCGACAGAGCTTACACTCTCACTCTCCGGCGTTCAATATATCCAACCCACATACATGTGCTTGCTATCATAGCAAGTGGATATCTGTATGTATGTAGAAGAAAATTGTGCTGACATGTTGCCTTAACGTGACAGGGCCGATCGTTATGTGTTTGCTGTCTGATGTGATTACGTAGAGAAGACAGGCGTGGACCTGAAGCGGCACATCCGGAGTCTTCAAGGTGACACAATGGAGCTAGATGATACTCTCGTCGAGAAGATCTACTCGGACTTTGTCGCGTTGTTGAACACGGAGCTGGAGCTGCGAGAGTTCTTGAGTTTCCTGCCAGTTCTCCGTGGTGGCTTGCGAACTGTCGCACAGGGAATCTTCCATTCGTCCATCAGCGTCAAGTACAACACTGTGGTCCTGCTGAAGCGTCTGGAACAGTTTTCGTCAACAGCATCCAGCGTGCATCAGCTGAACCCATTCCTTCTGATGTCATTCCAGCGGATTCACGACGTTGTCAAGCCGGATACCAGAGAATAGCGATGTGAAGGATCGGCGATCAAACGAGCAGAAAAAGAAGAGTCATGGACCAAGCAGTCAATGATGAGAGGTACAAGCTTGAATGGAAGTTACACCAACTGTTTGGTCCAACTTTGCGCTTGCAACCGGAGGACAACAAGCTGAACCAGACAAAGTTTTCCACGAAAAAAGCTCGTTGCCATCAACTGTACCAGTTTTTTCGCAAGAGCTTTACGGTGCCGAAATGGGCTAGACATGTGCAGCTCACTGACTTCAAACCTACCTACGAAACCGCTGGAAGTGTGCAAAGCAGCAGTATACACAACACAAAACACTTCTTAAATGGTCCACACTTCCTGCTACCTTTTCCACCATTGGATGACGTGATCAATCAATCGCCATACTTCCGTCAAAACATCCGTTTCTTTCTCTCTCTCTCTCTCCTGCGCTTCGATACACCTTCATACGACATCCGCTGCCTTTCAGTGTGTACCGCACACCACATTCCAGCGCGCCAGTCATGTCGTCGATCCGCCCAACGCTCGAGCGCGTCCAGCAGCTGCAGCAGCTTCCCGAGAACCAGGAGAAGAACCTCGTGCCGATCTACTTGGATGTCGTGGCCGACCTGGACACGCCCGTGAGCGTTCTCCTGAAGCTGCGCAAGCACCAGACGCACTCGTTCCTGCTCGAATCGGTCGCGCCAGGCGAAAGGATCGCGCGCTACTCGTTCATTGGAGCTGGACCGCTCCACGTCGTGACGACGGGCAAAGGAGAAGACTATGAAGGGGATCCACTCGTTCATCTGGAGCAGGAGATGCAGCGCTTCCGGACCGTGACGCTGCCTGAGCTCAACGTGCCTATGACCGGTGGCGCCGTGGGTTATTGCGCCTTTGATGCGATCCGCCATTTTGAGCCAACGGTTGCGCCCTATGTAGACGCCCAGCAGGACGTGCTAAAGGTGCCGGAGAGCCTGTTTATGTTCTTTGACACGATCGTGATTTTTGATCACGTGTTCCACTCGCTCAAGATTGTGTCGCACGTTCGAGTGGATACAAACGATCTGGCTGCAGCTTATACAGAAGCGACGGACAAGGTCATGGCTGTTAATGCAGCGCTGGAGAACGAGCTGCCGTATCGGCCGAGTGTGGCGCACGAAAAGAACACACATGTGGAAGCCAAGATTGACCTGGAAGCTGCCTCGAATGTGGGCAAAGCAGGGTACTTGGATTTTGTGGAGAAACTAAAGCAGCATATTGTCGATGGCGACATTTTCCAGGCTGTGCCGTCGCAGCGACTGGCGGTGGACCTTCCAAAGGGCGTGACCTCGCTGGATTTGTATCGCCAGATGCGCGCGATTAATCCGTCGCCGTACATGTTTTTTCTCGACATGGGTGAAAATTTTCAGATTGTTGGTGCGTCGCCAGAGATGCTGGTCAAGGTAGACCACGCTCGTGTCGTGGAGACACACCCTATTGCTGGTACTCGTCACCGCGGTGCAGACGATGCAGAAGATGACGCACTAGAGAAGGAGTTACTTGCGGACGAGAAGGAGCGTGCTGAACATATTATGCTGGTAGACTTGGGCCGCAATGATGTTGGTCGAGTAGCCAAGCCAGGCTCAGTCCGGGTCGAACGTCTCATGCAAATTGAAAAGTACTCGCACGTGATGCACATCGTTTCGGTCGTCAAGGGTGACTTGCGAGACGACCGTACGGTGTATGACGCGTATCGTGCCATGTTCCCTGCTGGTACGCTGTCTGGTGCCCCGAAGGTGCGTGCTATGGAGCTCATTTGCTCGCTCGAGACCGAACGGCGTGGTGTGTACTCTGGCTCTGTGGGTTACTTTAGTTTCTCCGGATCCCTGGACACAGCAATAGCCATTCGCACTATGGTGGTCAAGGACGGCAAGGTCTATTCGCAGGCTGGCGGTGGCATTGTGTACGACTCAGACCCGCAAGCTGAGTACACGGAGACGGTGAACAAGCTAGGCTCGGCTATCAAGACTTTGGAGAAGTGCGCTGCGCACATGGCGCCGACTGCTCATTAGATCAGCTTTTTGCTACTTCCCGCAGTCTTTCTTCTTGTCGAACAACGTGGTGTCGACAATAGTCCAGTGAGCAGCAGTAAAACGAAAAAAGACATTCACACTTGCGTAAAACGTGCCCATGGGCTGTCGTGCGAAGAGTCCTTGACGTCGATACATAATCCTTGGTACCGCAATGTGGCATTCCGACCTTCTGCTTTGACATGACAAGATATCCACATCAACAAAAGCAGAAGCAAAAGTCATTGGTTGTCTGCTTGAAAGTACAAGACTTCGTACATGCAGTACGTATCCTATATCGATCCACGCGTTAGTCAATGGCTCCAATTTTGATGCACAACTAATGCTTTCCATTTTCGGGCAGTAGCGATGATCCATTCGCGTACCATTTAGCGTCTACAGTTCACAACTGACTCAGTTATCACGATACAGCTATCTGTCAGCAGAGAATCCGTCACTTAGAGATCGATCATTGTATGCAGCCGTTTAACGAGATCAAATACGCAATTGAATTCTGTTTTGGCGTTACATCGCTTGTCCTTCCATCTGACTCGGCGAGAAGGACTTGCGGTTGCTCACTAAATTATGCTGTTACCAATACATCATCTGTTCAGCTCCGCGGTAACGCACTCAGTCAAAAGGAGTCCAAAAGCTCGTGATCATATTGTGGTGTGTTTATCGTGAAACGGACACACCCTGTTACAAATGCACAGCAAGAAGGCTACGCTCTTGTTGGTGAAGGCACAAAAAAGGTAAGCAATAAGGACGGTAGGGATGTAAGAGCTGTACTTTCGACTAAATACAACCGGTGCTACGCTTATGGGTCGGTCTCCCGAGAGAAGAGCCACAATGCCCATACCTACCTTAACAAAAAGTCGCAGTTACATCGCGTTGATCAAAATGTAGATGCATGCTCGTAATCGCGGTGCCGTCAGTCGGGTGCTTGGGCTTGACCAAATTAAGTAAAATGGACAAACTTAAATAACTGACAGCGCACCCTATCACCCGGATGATACTGTTAGCGTCAATGTCCCCTCGCAGCGACCAGGGGTGTGGCAATTTAGCACTGACACTGCGACTGGGAGGTACCTGGATCAACGCCCCAGAGCGGTGGATTCGATTACAAGGCGCCGCAGACTGCATTAAATAGGAGACTAGCAACCATTTAACGGATGGCTGCCCTGCCAACCCGCCCCTCAGATTGTGTGATACTTGGGTGAGCCGTCGGCCCTCCTAGCCGAGAAATCCGAATAGTGTAATGAGGGGTGCTGGTCCACGCACGCCACTAAGAAAGGAGCTTGTGAAGGTACCCCGTAGCGTAAAAAATCTGTATTTACTCCCTATGACGCTAAGCATGACTCGCGGTACTCCTGCCACCATACCACACGCTTCATCTTCAAACTACTCCACATTTTAACCACAAAATCTTCTACTAATGCCACAATTACCAGCACCACTCGCATCACATGTCAAATTTCTTCATCGTGTTGAAGGTATACAACAGAGTGTATTAGGATCTACAGCACCATTGTATTCAGGGCTTCCCAAGCTTGTTACCTGTTACGGTCTTGCACTATTTTTCTGTAGTAAGAGGCACTAGATGTGCTCGAGTTAACTTCCATGTCGCTTTATTTAGCAAGGTTTTGTCAAGACCTCGCAGACCGAGTCATTGAATCTGAACATAGAAATTCAGGGTGAAACTCGGACGTAGGGCGGATAGAGCTTTCTGCTGTTGTTAGGGTGTTCAGTACTGTTGCGGCTGAACCAAGCTGCTGGATGGGAAGGAACATCGATTATTGTTCAACTGACGGCTGAATGGACAAAGCCGTGCTACTACGTACCTTCGAAACCATGATACAACAGAGGCCTGCCTCCTTCCTGATTATGTTTTTGCTGCAGAACAAGAGATGGCTCTACTCGTTTTGTCAAGAATACAGACTTTCCTTTGTTTAATAAGCAGATGAGTGCTCAGCCGAAACTGAAAAGTCTCTGGTCGAAATCGCTGTCATTGTACTTACAGTCTCAACCATGGTTTGTTGATATAGAGGCAGGTTTACGACTTCTGGCTGGATACTAAATGCCGATTCTGAAGAGTCTCGAGTATCAAGGATCAGCAACAACTTTTGTGCTAAGAACACGAAATGGGGATGGGGGTACAAACCGTAAGACGCCTTCGTTTGCATCACGTGTAGTCCTACCAAAGCTGTCATACATTGAGCTAGAACGCTGAAGAACGGTGCAATACGATGTTTCCTCAGCTTCGCTGCTGCTGCCACGAGAATTGGACGTCGCTGAATTTGCTGCTACGGGTGAACTTGATTGGATATTCGAGTCAAATGCTTGACGCTTTCAAGCAAAGGCTGATCACTTTGCTTGAGTACACTACACTGGGCAAATACTAGACATCAAAACAGCATGATTTTCGTTCTTCATTGACTGCTGAAGTATAGTGTTTTGCCACTCGATTCAGTTCTCCGAACTGAATGACTCACACGAAGGGCGAGCTCCAGAGCTTGCTCCCCTATCGTATTCATTGTGTGGTGTAATGTTCACAACTGAATTAATCAACGAACAGCAGTATCACGCGCTTTCGCAGGCGAAGAAAACCGACAATACACATCTCAGTGCATCAGTTTCAGAGCACTTTTCACATGTCTGCTTATTCACTTTGATCGAACGCGGGAACACAAGCAAGCAAAGCCGTAAGCAAACACGAAAGAAATGGATTCGCACGCTTCGCTGTTACCACCGTCTACTCTAGAGTTGAGGTCTAACACAGCATCGCAAGAGCTGTTGTCTGTCACCTACAAACTTTTCGCGATTCACCCTTTCCTATTCGACGTCTAATCCTGCTGTAGGCGGTACAGCCACATCTTTGCATCAATGTTCCCAAGAACAAACCACATCGCATCGTTTTCTACCCTCTATACCGCTGTGTCAACCCTATTCGAATCCCAACGCTGCTCTCTTCTTGGTTCGATGCAGCCGCATTTCGATTAGAAAATATCGGTAGTCGTTTTCTCGTTACACTTCAATCGAAAGATGTATCTATCGTCGACACCAGGGATCTCACCACTCATTTTAGCTCCACTAACAACTGCTCCATCTCGAGCATGTATCATTTCATCTCTCATGCTACTATTTTATAGCACTCGCTGATTTCAATGCCGTTGAGTGTCCATTGATTGCTCTCTATCCTGCTGTTGCTACCCGAATGCGCCTATTGATCCCACACCTCCTCTCTAGGAACACTACGCGAAGTATAATAGCTCAAGTTCTTAACATCTTTCTCCGCGATATTGCTTTCCTATCCTCACGAATCACCGATACCGCCGTGATGTGCGCGCACTGTACCTTAACGCGTAAGGCGCAAGGCTCTGTTGCAGTAGCAAGTGGGATTTTCCTGCTGCCCGGAGCATTTAACGATAACAAAGCCGTCTGCGTCGAAAAGAGTGGCGAGAATGCTGTTGAGCGCTTGAAACAGTTCTCTACGTAGATCGCTTGACTGCATATCAGTTTGTGAACATAGACCGACACCAGTGCGCGCAATGGAAAGCCCCAGGCACCACGCAGTGAGAAATTAATTACGAACAGCACTATCATCACACCACCTGGAATATCGAAAAAGGGGGACAGATCTGGAGAAAAGAGCGAGCGAGTATTTGCCCTCTTGAACTGAAGCAAAGCTTTGCATAGAGCCTTCGACATGAGCACACCACCGGAAGCGTCGCGCAACAGTTGTAGCACATTGGTTCCAGAATGAGTGTTCAAGTCATTTGACGTGCCCTTGTAGGAACTTTGCGTGCATATTTTTGACGTTTGCATTGTGTTTGCGACGAGCATTTGACACAACAAAAGTAGCTGAGTAAAACGTCATGGAAACCAGCAGTTTCCTTTACGCCGTTTGAATGTCCAATTTCCGCCAACAATTGGGCTACGAATGATCTATTCACGACAAGGATGAGGAAGTTACAATTGGGCTACGAATGATCTATTCACGACAAGGATGAGGAAGTTACGCAGCATGTCACTTGAGCAAATGTGATCGTCATACCAAAGCAGAGAAATAAACCAGGAACTGTCATGTAGAATGCCCAACGATAAACCCTGCATTTCGAGACTCAATCAGTCAGAGTGACGTGTGTGCCATAGCAACAGCAGCCATTTTATTATCACTCGCACCAGTCCTCACTATCGCTGTCGTCGTTGCGATTTACCGTAGTCATCATGATAGTCACATTCTCTTACATAGTCGCAGTCTCCATACTAGTCACATTCTTTTAAATAGTCGCAGTCGTACTTAATGCCATTGTCGTCTCTTCATCGCAAACCACCGAATCGCACACACTCTCCCCACATCTCTCAGCCTGACTTGACTATACCATACTCGGTCCCTGTAAAAAAAAACAGCAGCAGCAGCAGCAGCAGCGACCCCAACCCCCCCACGCGCCTCGCAGTATCCACGCACCCGGGTCACTCCCAACCCGTCTCCACAAACCCGCTCCCGACCTTCATCGAAACCCGCACCCGCGCCACCCTTTTGCCTTCCCCACTCACTCGCTCAGTCAGTCACACACCTCAACGAGTGAGCGAGCGCTCAGTTTCCAATTCGCCTCGGACCGCACGAGCCAAAAGCGTCCGTCGGCCGTTTTCCCAATGACCCGAGCGGACGATCCGGATCATCCGAAGCATGACCCACCGCGTCGACGAGGCCGCGCCCGCCCGCGCCCCACTCCCGCCTCGTCCTCTTCGGTCTCCAACGCCTTCGTATCGACCGACGCCGAGAGCAGTCGCAGCCGCGCGCCCCGCTCGTCGTCGTCCAAGATGAAGATGGCGTCGCTCATGGCGGTCGTTGACGAGCAAGAGAGCGACGGCGAGCGGAAGCTCGGCTTAAGTACGAACAAGAGCAAGCGCGTGAAGGTCCATGCGACACGCGACGACTGGAGCGCGCGTCAGGAGCCAATCAGCATCCAAAGTCTCACGAGGAGCTACCCGGAAGAGAGCAGTGTGTCTCTTTCGGCTACTAGTGACGTGTCGACGCTAGTTGAGTCAGTGCTGCTCCCTCGTGGAAGTGACAAGAAACGACGGGACACAAGTGCCAATGAGGTGGCGGGCAGTGACCGTGAGCGCTCGAACGGCGCGACGTTTGCAGGAGGAGAGATAGCAGTCCAGGAAGGACGGGGCGCTCGTTGTTTGACTACTACTTTCCACTGGCCAGGACAGACGGCGGGACTGCAAGTAGTAGCAATGGACAGGCTAGTAGAGGACCGGGTACGAGGACGTTGAAGAGGAAGCGACGAGGGGGACGTCGGAGTGAGGACTTTTTGGCAGCAACGGAGCTGGATGGACTGAAATTTGGGGTGGATGCTGGGAAGCTCGTGCCGCAAGGACTAGTGGATCGGGTGGATGTGCAATTGAGTCGAGCTGTGCTGGTGAAGGTTGTGGGGAATCATGTGACGAATTGGTGTTACCGCTCGGGCTTTGCTTCGAGCTTTTTGCAGGAACTTACGACGCTCTTAGCAGCGTATTATCCGTGTACGTATCCAACGCTGTTGGATGAAGTGCTGGCGGGATTCTTGCTGAAGCGGCCGGAATTCATTGACTTGCTGCTGCCTGCGATGCTGGAGAAAATGAGCAAAGTTGGCGGCTCGATCTCGACGAGCAAGTATCCTGTTGCAGATGCTCTTGCGCGCATTTGCAGTGTAAGTATGGGACTAGAGTGGAGATGTCGTCATGAGCTAGTGTGCAGATCGCTCTTGCGATGTCTGCTAGAGCACAATGCTACCAGATTCGTTCTTAGTCCGTGGATTGCAGCGTGTGCCGCCGAGTGCAGCGATAGTGTCTTACACACCATGTGGCGAGCATTGCTACGTCACAATTTAGTGGCTGAAGACGTTGCGTTGCAGGACGGAGATGATGTCGAGTGGCAAATCGAAGATCCTGCACAGCAGCTGGTGGAACTACTGGCAGAGGAAGGCAAGCTGCGCGTGTGTCGGATGACATGCGGGTTTGTGAAGCTGCTTTTGGCTGACGACAAGTTGAAGGAGCTGCTCGTGGAGTCACGCTGGTATTTAATCCGAGACTGCATGGTGCGGGCTTTCAAGCACGCTAGTTCAGACTGGAGCTCTTCACTTATGGCGGATTGGTTGGAACGACGTCGAAAACTACGACTTGATGGAGCAGGCAACGATGGGACATTTAAAGAGTTGGTGGACTTTTTAGTTTGCTCCACAATGAAGTTGAGTGTGAAGAAGCCAGACTGGTTTGTCAAACACGTTCTGAGCTTCGTCCTGTCTCCTCAATGTCATGCTGCAGAGCAGGAACCGGCCTTGCGTGCGATCATCCGCGACTACACGCCCTTTGTCTTTGGTGGAGTAGACCCCCAATGGCTCGAACAATCGAGCAGGTATAGCGGTTCTAGTGAGTCATACTCCACTCCTTGCGTGGCAACCAAAGACCTCGATGCAGTGGGAAGCCAGTCAGCGCAGCTAGTGAGAAGCAAGATCGAGCTCATTATTGGTATGTTAGTTGCTACTGACGCTCGCACGAGCGCATTATTCCTCGACATTTGGTCCGAAGCGTGGACGGATAAGCGAACGACACTTTCTTGGGGGTACGTCCACGCACTTGTTTGCGTGACCATTCAAGGTACCATCGAGAGTCGAAGTGATCTTGGTCAGAAGCTTCAAAGCTTCACGACCCAAGTCTGTCAGTCCCATTTCCGGTACTTGAGCCGCTTTCTCGTCGAGGTCGAAACGCATGACGAAGTTGCTGCGAAGTTTTCGGAAGTACTAAACTTGCTGTTCTCTTCGACGCATCGTACTGCAGAGGCTTTGCTGCAAGAGGTTCTAGGAGCCTTTGCAGGTTTAGAGGAGAACTGTGCGCTGGAAGCGTCCACGATCGTCGGCAATGCTATCTCTCTGTGCGTTGGAAACTGTGGTGGCGGTGGCGTGAATATCAGCGTGAAGCGAAGCGCTGTGCCAAATCTACCTGCGGAACATGGCCGATTGACTGATTCTTCCACCTCACCGAGCACATCAACTACGAACATTCACTTACTGACGATGTTAAAAACCCTGGCTTCGATAACGAATGATGCAGGAGAATTCGTCCGACGTGTGCTGTCAAGTGGACGTGTGGTGCGCTTGCTAGCAGGTCTGCTGAATTCAGGTCGACGAAGGCAGAGACAAGAGATGATTCTGGATGTGATGAATGCCGTAGCCATGAGCGATGCAGTAGTACAGAATAGTCGAGATTGGGCTCGCCAGAATGTAACGCAGGAGATCATACATTGCGCGTACACGGGCCCAGCTACGTTAACAAGGAAGGCGATCACTGTGCTGCAGAATCTCTTTTGTCGCTGCTCGAACGGCATGCAAACCATGTTCTGGGCAGTTCTGCAGCAGTGTACGAAGCTGTGGTGTGGACGTGAGGAGGACAGGAACGGCGAGAAGACCGACGTTACGTCGGATAATTATTACGGAAGAGCAGACACTTTCGCAGAGCTCGTGAAGGCGATGGTGATCACATTGCCTGTATGTGTTGTACGTGATGTACTGCACTTTATGGAACAGAAGCTGGCTTCGTGCTCGTCTGGAAAGACACGGATGAATCTGTTTCTGCTGCTGCTACTGAGGAAGCTCGTTGTTTGTAAGCTCGGGTGTGGAATGCTTCTTCCGGCCATGCAGCTAGCGGTTTGTCCGCTGGCACCCCCGACCCTGGACCAAATTCGCTTGATTCAACTGCAGTTGTTAAAGGCATTGTGTGCGCGCTTGTTGGCCATTCGCCATCGTCCGATGACATCGGAGAGCCCGAGTGGGTTTGATGCTGACTGGATGCGATACGAGAATCTGGTATGCAATGAGCGGTTACAGTCAGAGTTGCGGTCAATGGCGAAAGTAGAGCGGCGAGCTACAGATCGCGTGCATTTCAAGCTGGAGCGAATTACATGCAGTCGTGCATCGGAAGTACTAGCTCAGAACATATTGGCATTTACTCGCCAGCTCGAGAAGCAAGCGAGGCCATTAGATAACGACGGGTGTCGAATGAGACGAAAAAAAAGCAGACTGATACGACCCAACACGTGAAGTAGGATAAATAAATTATCGGGCTCAAAGTTCCTCCGCTGCCACTAACTCGCAAGATGGTACGTTTGCGTCTGTGGGTGCATGCAACTAACACTTGTGTTTGTGTTATTGAACGAGGTGTCGCTCAACCTTGCAAGAGCAGCTGTTCTGACCAGAGTTTCCACCCGAACGTGGTTGAAAATGCGTGGTTTTTCGGGATTATTGGCTGTATGTTTGAGGTACCTATCTCCTCGTTGCGACTTGATTCGCAGCGACGAATCCTTTGCAGGGGAGGCTTGCCGAATGTTAAGATTCGTGATGATGGAATGGGTTGAGATTGATTTACCAGTGAGCGGGACATGTATCTGCAGGTTGTTTTCCAGCCCAGCGACGGACTGCATTCGATCTGGAGCACAGTAGGTGCTGCAAACTCTTGCATGATGCAACAGGCTGTTTATTTGCTGATTTGTGGCAGGTGTACGACAATCCAGGAGTGTGTCTTGCGGTAGCCCCGATGAATACGATGGTAAGGATGCATGTTGACGTGACCGGAATACGTTGTTGATGTTAGGATATGGACCTACTGGTTGGTGATCCCCAGTGCACTTTTTTAGTTTTCGATGGCTTGTAGGATAGTACCGTTTGTCGAGCATCAAGTACAAGACACAACATGGCAGCCATGACTCGTCTCTTTTGCAGCAATGCAATGACTTGCTCTGTGCAAAAGGACAACCCAAAGATCGTCGTTGTTTTTTGTTACGAACGAAGCATTGAGAGATTCTTACTTGACGGTGTCTAACGTACTCAATCGACATGCACGATCCGGCTGTCATTGTGGTCCTTCGAGTACGGCTCTTACGGACGGAATTTATACGAGACAATGTCTCAGCGTATCTATCGTGCTCTGCGAGTCCTAATGACTTTGCGTTGCTACTAAGCTGAATAGACTTGTGTGCCTGTGCAAAATCAAACGCATGATAAAGCATCCTTGATCTGGGATGTGGTCAACCGCAAGCTTAATTACGGAACTGCCCCAACGCAAGATTATACTTGATTTCATCACCGGTTTGTGGTTACATTCGTGTGATGAAGTATCGAGGAAAGCTACTGACGCTTGGAGCTGTTTACGCCGATAGCATTGAAGTGTGCTCATGGGAAACACCAGCCCAACACGCGCTAAGCCAGTAGTATGACTAAACTAGATTATGAAAAGACCTATTCGATACAGAAATGTGGCTCTCCACTCGAACCGACCGCATACAAACACCCAGTCAAATTAGAACTTTTACAAAAATAAAGCACCACGAACCGGTGGATGTCGTCAGCAATAATGTGGCGCACCTTAATTTGTGCAACGAGAGGTTCATCGGCGTAACCCGACAACCAACGTGACTACTTACTTGATAAACATGGTGGTCGGCAAATTCCTTCGTCACTATCTCGACCGCGAGCCCATGGTGGTGGTCTCCTGTGCCATTGGTGCCGTCGCGCTGTCGCTACCGCTCGTGGTGGTGCCTCTCCGACGTTCGATGGGTCTTCCAACTGACCAATACGACGGTCCGATCATCCCGGACTCGATCAAGAAGTCGCGCGGCCACTTGGCTACACGCGAGTCTGTCGCCGGAGCGTAAAATCGCAATCGTAACAGTTGATACAAAACGCGAATTCATTGCTACGAAAGATAGTGGAACGGAGGTTGATGCGTTTTGACAAGTAAGTCACGTAGGCGTGTAAATAAGATCGTGGAGGATGTATTATTTCTAAGGGTTTGTTGTTTTGTGTAATCATTTTGGAAGGTTCAGGGCAGTGATGGGCAAAGCGATTACGTCATTTTTGCTGAACACGATGTGGCTGTGAGTACAAGCGGCATAGACCTTCACTCTAGCGTTTTTGTCAACAGTTGGATGCTTTTTCCTTGACTTTCGTGTTCAAATTGATTCTCGAGTCTTCTTTGTTTCACGTTGAAAGACTGTACTGTGTCCAAATGCGTGATCTGGTCCCAAGCGTCGATGGCAAGTCAAGTGATAAAAAGGAACGCTGGTACTGTGCTGGCTACATGGCCACGAGCTGAAAGCACGGAACAGATCCCGACTAGATGCCATGCAAGACTTGAGCCGATCAAGGAAGTCGGAGTCAGTTCTTGATGCAAGTTGAAAAGATACGATTGTGCCGGATAAAACGTGACGTTATCGACGACGCTAGAAGATGACGCATCGACTTGGACATTTCTAGCCACACATATGCAGCGTGTCAGGCTAAAGGTGTTGCCGGAAGAGCAGTCAAACGGACCACGCATGTGTGGTGCGTCTTTCCGCTACAATGATGCTTGCAATCAGGCCCAACATGTTGCGGGCAAGCGCTACATGTGTTGCGTGCAACCTTGTACCTTCTGTGATGTCCGTAGTTGGATATGCGGTTGAGAGGTTGAGGTAAACGAGACTCTTCACCGAGGTTGCAGGTGCGGGATGAAGGTAACGCACTTGTCTGAGGCAAAGCTCAGCAGCAGCTTCCCAAACCCTTCGTGAGACACCTCATCTAGCAGCGTGAGCACGCTGTGGTCATTCGCCGTGGCTCTCTTTTCATCGATCCCATTGCAGAAGTTGCATTTGCAGAACGATCACATTTTGTGCTTTTACGACACTTTCACAGTAGCGAGGAGCAAATGTCTTCTCGCTGCTGTGAAAGCGTTGAGCTTCTTCACCTGAAAGAAAATCGCTGCCGTGCGAGAGCAACATGTTGATATGACACCGATGCTGCGCTCATAGAACAGGTCATCGGTCCTAATGATGCTTATCTTCGTTCCAAAGCTGCTCATCATATCGTGCGCTCATGCTCATGAGCTAGCCAAGGTTGCCAGAAGAAAATGACTGAATAGCGGCCGCGTTGACCATAAGCGCATAGCTGATCCGAACGTTGAAGACGAGTCCGTCGACTGATAACGTGTCAAAGATGCGGTTGCTATTTGAATATGCGCGGCACGGCAACTACCAAACTGGTTCACGAGATGACACGGGCACGTTGGAGTTAGCACGGTACTAGACTCGGATACTTTCGCAACAACTCACAAGAGTCAAGCTGGTTTGAAGCTGCGTTGATCGTCAGGACGATTGCGTCATCACGCAGTCACTTAGTTGATTACCATCTCGTTTGGAATACGCAGTCGTGTAACCGCCGTGACAACAATCCTCGCAACCTCAACATTCGGGTCACCGACCGATCGACTCGTGTACCCCTGTTACGAGATACAGACGTCTGTACCCATGTCTAAAAGAAGGGTATTGATTGCGAGCCCGAAGGGTGAAGCTATTTTAGTGTGCACAAGGTTGAAATGCCGAGCTTCCCGCCCCCCTGAAACCAAAACAGGGTGTAGTTGACAACTTTGATAGAATCAGTAACTTGAGGTGTATTGACACGTCCTAGGCACCGCCGTTTACACAATCACACTGCAACTACCAAAAGGACCTGCACAAAATATTGATGGAGTCCGATGGGTCCTTCGAAGTCAATTTTCGTCAGCAAAGAAGATCTTTACGCTCTTCACCATGAAGCGCATGCGCTTGACTTTCACTTCCGATCTTCAGGTCTGACGACAAAAAGGGTACAAAAGATGATCGTTGTGTGCAATCGAGCGGAAGCATGCAGTCTATTGCTGTCGAGCGGAAGACCGTTACAAAGTTCACATACAGCATGAGCGTTCAGACCCTTAGCTCAACAGATCAACATCAGCAAGCTGTGGAAGGTGACCGGATGTAAAGGAGCGCACAACCATGGCATGTCCAAAGCTCCAACCTGAAGTAAACGTAGTCATCTTCTGGACATTTTGTACAGTAGCAATAAATAATCATGAGGTGTGTGACCTTTGTGCACCGCGTTATGTTATAAAAATAGCAAAGCAATCCTGTTTTGTTTTAGAGGGGGTGAAAATAGTAAAAAGAGGGGGGGGGTGAACTTATCGATACTCTTAAAAAAACGCAAATTAGGCTTTTACCTACTACCGAAATGTCCCTCAATAGCTTTACTCCATACACAACCCAAGTCAAAGTCAAACGCACCCCACCTTAAATCCACCTTTAACCCAAAAAAACACAATAGCAACACTACCACCCCGCCGGTGCATCCTAATGAGCTCCCCGAACAAGCCCGTGTACGTCCCGACGCACGTGCGAGACGCGTATTTCCAAAAGCTGCGCTCGTCCGTGGCTAACAAAGGATGTTTCGATTGCAACAAGCGCCACCCGACGTGGGCCACGGTCACCTACGGCGTCTTTATCTGTCTCGACTGCTCGGGGTATCACCGTCGACTCGGCGTGCACCTGTCGTTCGTCCGGTCCATTGACATGGACGAATGGACTGAAGACCAATTAAAGAGCATGTCGGAGGGTGGCAATGCTGAGGCCTGCAAGTTCTTCCGACAACATGGCGCAGCCGAGCTGACGAGTGTATGTACTTATGGTCGCATAGTGACGTCACTACGTTCACGCTCTTTTTCATGTCCTGGTTTTACTCATTGTGTGGGTTTTTTATTCTTTTCGGCTGCTTTTCGGGGTTCTTATGTTTGGTGTTGTATGGGTGTTTTATCTTGGTTTTTTGTTTTTTTTGGGATGTTTTACAGATTGAGGCGAAATACAACTCGAAAGCTGCTCAACTGTACAAGTCGGTGTTGGTGAAGAAGGTCAAGGCGGCGACGTTGCCGATTGTTGCTCCAGTTGTGGAGGAAGAGGTGTGTGGGGTGTGTGGTAGTTGTTGCTGAGGGTGGTTGTGGTGGGTGTGTTTTTTTGGTCCAGGGGAAGAGCTGGTAGCTGATAATGGTGCTTTGGGTTGATAGAAACGTCGTGACGATGGCGTGGATGGTCTTGACGCATTAGTGAAGCACGTGGAAATCAAAAAGGAGAACGGAGCGACGACCGCTGTGAGCGGACACATGAAGCGTGAGGTGACTGCTACTTCGGCGATGAAGAAGCCATTGCCGGCTGCACCTGTGGCGCGGCAGTCAGGTTTGCTGCATGTCAATCGCCCAGTTGTACTGCTGGGAGCGAAAAAAGGCGACGCGATGACGTCTGCTGCAACGAACACTGGACAGCTGAAGTCGCGTAGCAAGGTGCGGAGCGGCAATTGCTGCTGTGTTTGTCTTACGACAATTGTTGACGTCGACATGTCGCTACTTGTCTCGGGCAATACGCAGCTTTCGACAGGAAGCAAGGCGACTCGCCTAGGAGCTACGAAATTGTCGACGGGTGCAGGTGACTTTGACTTTGACGACATCCCGTTTGAAGTGCGTCAACTCTAGCAGTCATGTGCTGAGCGACACACATTTATTGATGTACGTGCGCACTCCTTGTGTTGTCGTCCGTAGAACCCGCCGCCACCTGCCCCCACTGCCGAAGAGCTATCGGCAGAAAAGCAGATTGAGGATGACGAAGCACTCACACGGGCGTTACAGGAGGCAGAAGCGTAAGTGTGTCGTCGACTAGTCTTTGATGTGTGCCAGCGTCTAACTGATCATTGTATGTCGCTGCTGTAGTGACCGCTCAGCAGCCAGAGCTGCACCTCCGCCGATTATGCATCATCCTGATGCAGGTGAAGCTCAGACGCTCGATAAATACAAGAACGCCAAGTCCATTTCATCGGACAACTTTTTCAGCGGCGAAGCGGTGCAAGCAGATAGCTCGCAGCTGTTACGATTCCAAGGCTCGCAGTCGATTTCGAGCGATGCTTTTTACGGAAACGACTCAAGAGGCCGATCAACTTCCGGCGAGAGTACGTTGGCTACGAACGAGAGTGCGTGTTCGTGATTTGCTAACTACTCGTATATTGTGGTTTTTGCTGGGTCTCAAATGTAGTGACCGATGAGGCAGCGTATCAATTGCAGCTGATGAAGGACAGTATGGCCAGCAAGGCGGCAAAGGTGCGATTTGCATGGAATGCCAAAAGAGTATTGCTATGTGGCGTTGCACCTTGCTGACTATTGTCATTGTCATACTCATTTTTGTATGTGAAGCTCAAGAACATGACAAGCGGTTTTTTCAACGACCTGCAATCGCGCTACTCGTAGGTACATGTCGATGCGTGCCTGAATGTAGCCATGTCGCAGTTGCAGGCACTTGCCGATGGCCGTCTATCCCAAATGTAGCCATGTCGTGTCCACGTGGCAGTCTGTTTGTGCACAGTTGATATCCCCGAATTTATCGCGTCAGCTGTTTACCTATTCGTGTACGTTTCGGTTCTCGTTGCCAGTCGAGACTTAATACCCCTCTAATCTGCTACACAGCTTCATCAATCGAATAACTTCGGCGATATATTCCCTGGCCACGCGTCCACCAAACGCACAAGTCGCCACCACTTCTCAATTGTTCGTAATCGAAGCCCCACCACCGCCACTATCTCATACCTGAGCTCAATGTGGAGCTCGAAACGTCTCGTGCTTGTCGCTCTTGTCGCTCTCGTCGTACGTTCGACTTCTGCCTTGCAAAATGACGAAAAAGAATGCGAAGGTTCGTACTATCACACTTGAGTATGCTAAACAATGACCAATAAATGAGGAGCTCACCTTCGATGTAGTGTGTGTCAAGGTGATTAACGACCTCAAGGCCACGCACGAGCAGCTGAAGACGGAGAATCCCGGGAAAAACGAGCAGGAAGTAGCTGAATTGGCTGTCACGAAGCAGTGCGGCAAGAAGCTGAACCGGAAAGACAACAAGCTGGTACGACGCTGTCTAGTTGAGCTTTTCAGATCTAAAAAAGTCGCACAAGAAAAACCGACCATTGATTGTCGTACGCGTATGCACTGATGATAATGATGATGATGGTCTGTTGATCTAGTGCTACAATCTCGAGCCACTAAAGTCGGACGTGGCACGTCAAGTGCGGATCAACAAGGAGTCTTTCAAGATCTGCAAGTTTCTGGAGCAGAAGAATCCGGACTTTTGCTCCATGCGATACCGTACGTGCATTGAGCAGTTATGCACAATGGCTCCATTCTTTTTCAGTGTATTCTGTGGCTTTTTGTTGGGGAACTGGATGTTGACGTTGATGTTATTGTTGTTGTTGGTGACGATTTATCTGTTGATGCAGCCGTCCAGACAGATGCCAATACCGACTACTCGAAGATGCGCGTCAAGCAGCTTCGGAAGATTTTAGGCGAGCGTGGGGTCGAGTGTGTTGGATGTGTGGAGAAGGCCGACTTTATCGCCAAGATCAAGGAAACCGAGTCGATGCGCACGGAATTGTAGAGCCACGAGAGCTGTCATTACGAAGGGCTGAGGTCCGTTGCCAAGCGTCATACATTTTGGTCGGTCGGTCGGTGATAGAATGACACACCCAAGATACATTACATACATGTCCCGTCAGCGACTAGTTCGTTAATTTACTTTCTTGCTCACCTCGATTCGACTGCAAAAAAGCGCTTTGTAGAAAAACAAGCAAAACGTTTGTTTGTTTTCGATAAAATTAGCGTGCGTTCGTTCTGGTTTCAGTCGACTGACTCTATTTCAGAAGGAAGAAAACACACATCTCGAGGAGCAGCAATTGCGCTGCTACACTCCATCTGCTCTCTCATTGTCTCTCTCTCCCGCGCACTCGCACAAAGTCAAGCCAAAGCACCGCGACGTGAGTGGCTTCACTTGCTGGACTTGGCCATCTGTAGAATCTGGATCAGGGACGAGCCCACGAGCACGAACACGAGGAAGCCAAGCAGCAACGGACCCACGCTGTACCCCTTCTCTTCCTGCATGATACAGACATACATACATGAAAAACCACCCACACATGCAACCGAGTAACCCATTTGATGCAATCATCACGATAGAAAAGGCATATGTATCGACCATAGCTCGTACCTTGGCAGGCTGGGAAACACGACCGCGCTTGGTGATGTTGCCCAAGTGCTTGTCGGAGCGCAGACGCATCTTTGCAGGTGTAGCCATCTTGGTGATAAGTCGGAGCTGCTCGATGTTTCAAAATGCCGGATCAAAGTCGCTGGAAAGCAGCATCACGTGACACGATTTCAGCCAATCAACGAGATGGCCACGTGTAACCCCACTCCGGTGGGACATGACCCTTTTCTATGCATGGACCGAACGCAACACATGACTTTTATCGTTATTGTCATTATTCAGGAATCGACGCCAACACGTCGTGTATTATTGCAATAAAACGCCACCCGACAATACCACAATAACGCCATGTCGCGACGTGTCCACAGCACGCCCGCAATCTTCCTCACTGACGGCCGTCAATCTCGCTAACCAACTTGTTCTCGAGCATCATGTGGTTCTCCGGTGCAAGCCCGACACACGCACGAAAGAGGTTGATCATGCACTCGCGCTGCGCAAAAAGCGCATTCACAACGGGTGTGCCACGTGGGACAAGTGGCGCCTTGAGCATGTAGCTGAGGAGAGATAGCACCGAGTGCAAGTGCTCAAAGTCCGACGCGCCTTCCTTCTTCAGTGTAATGCGCTCGGCGAGTTCGCAAATGAGCACGAGGTCGAGAATCAGCGGCGACGCCAGCAACGAGTCCTCGCACGTATTGTGCATGGAAATCGTATTCGTGCCATTCATAAAGATCTTGGACGTGTACTCGTCCAAAGCGCGCTTGCTGTCGCCCACGTACGGCACGTACTTGATCACGACAACGTGGTCCGGGTGCTCATTCTCCTTGTACAACAAGCGATTGGACGCTACCATATCGTCCACGACATTCGACTTGGAAATCTCCTTCGACCGAAACTGCTGCGGCGCTGACAGATTCTTGCCGTCATTATTGCCGAGATGGTTGTAGCTCACAATGGACGTAGGTTTGATCCCAGCCGACACGAGGAAATCAACAAGCACCGACTTGATCTTCGTCTGCCCCGATTTAAAGTCGTCCCCGCCGACAAACACCTTCTTCTCCTCGGCCAAGTCCAGCACGCCAGGCACAAACGTGTTCTGGGGACTGCCATTAATGTACGAACAGCCTTCGAGGATCGACGCGACTGCAAAGATCGTCGACGGCGACACTTCGGCTTCATTGGCCTGAATTGCTGCCAGTAAATGTTCCGACGTGTCGTTCACGCCGTCGACAATGTCCGAAAACCGCTCCGTATTGGCTGACCAGAGCACAATGACCTTGTCCAGCTCATGGCTCTGTTTAAAGTCCCGAATGTGTTGCCGCACGGCCTCCAAATGGTCCTGCTTGGACCCTGAGAGGACATTATCCGCGCGATCGGCTTGATTAGCAGCAATAAAATCCGGATAATAAATCGACGGCAGGGGCGACATCTTCTCAAGATACGGCACCAATTGGCGCTGCAAGTCAAAGTCCAGCACTTGAGCGCGTTGCATGGCGTCGGCCAAGTTCAGCGATGAAATGTCCCAACCACCAAGCACGAGCTCATTGGGCGAGACCATGGGCAAGAGATTGCGGAACGGAATGTACACGCCTTCGCCCTGGGCGGTCGTCCCGAGCCGGATGGTGGACGCCTGCGTGACCGAGCCAAAGTAATTGGGCGTCTGCACGCCTTCCTTGGTGGTCCACGTGAGCTGGTGCTTGTTCGCCAGGACACTAGCCACCAAGGTCGAGCCATTGTTACCACCGAGACCGACAATCATGACGCCCAGACGCGGGACGCGGCGCTGCGTCTTGAGCGTATACTTCTCCTCGAGGGGTGTCACCACGGTACCCTCGACGCGGGTGGTCGTGTACGTATACTGCGATGTGATCTCGTCGTCTGTATACACGACGTTCTTGCTGTTGACCGTGAACGGTTCGGTGAGAAAGTCCGACGAGGCCATGGCAAGTGGAGGGGAGGGGAGGGAAGAGCGGGGGCAGAGAGCGGGGACGGCGGCAGCAAGTTGCGTCGTCGTCACTTGAGCACTTGGACGCAAAAGAGAGAGTGAGCCGTTGGCGCGGGTGGGGGGGTCAGAGGACCTGTGAAAAGCGATGACGCTGGGAGAGGTGCGTTTTGCAGGGGGATTTTGTCTCTCACGCTGTGACAAAGTCAAGGGATTAAATGAAGAGAATAAATACATGAAGGGGTTGATAGTAACTGCTGCTGCTGCTGTTTGGTTGTTGGAATTGAACGCGGCTTGGTAGCTGAGCGGTTTAGTCTTTGGCGGTCAAGAAACACGTGACGTCATGCTGTAGGCAGCAAAATGTAGTCGAAAGCAAATCCTGCTGGCATCATGCAGCAGACTACTACCACATCGCGTGATAAGAGAGAGAGAGAGGCTGTGTGTGTGTGTGTGCTCTATTTCGGTCGTGTCAAGACAGACGTGAAAACCAAACAGCCGGTGAGACGTTACTCGCGTTGACCTCGGCTGGAAGGTTATGGGGCTGGATCAGGGTCAGCAACCAACGTAAACTGCCTTCGAGCATTCTTCCGTGCAAAGTGTTTGAGGTGCGCTGATAGACGCGTGTCGTGACGTTTTATAAAAATGGTAGAAGGCTCTGGAACTGCTGTATAGTAGAGCCTGGCGAGGACAGGTAGTAGTAACGCGAGGAAGTGCTACCAACGTGTGATAGGGTGCAGATGGCTGAAAAGGAGATGGAACATCAGAACACACTTGTTGGCACGGATGTTGCTACAGTCGTCTTCGTACGTGTGTATCTTCTCAGCGAGATGTAACACGGGGACTGCGGTCGGTCAACATGGCTGACTGCTCCTGTGCTTCTTCCTCGAACAAGCCGCGTTCCGAGCGCTATCTTACACTAGCCAAACACGGTTCTCGGATGATAGAATTCGCTAGGAGAAAAAGCACAACGCTCTTGCATGTAGTTCGATCGTGCCGACAAACAAGCGCAGAGCATACTGCAATACTCGATCGATGGTTCCAAGCAGCTCGACTTGTCCCGTTCGTTTACTCTTCATATCCGGGGCATGATCGATTTTCAGGACGAGATAGTGAGTGTCAGGATGAGAGAGTGAGTGTCGGATACTACAGCACAAAGTATCTTCGAGGAAGTAGTACATGGGTCGACATCGCCATGCCACGAATCAGTCCGTGTCACCTTATGATGATTACAAATATGGAGTGCCTATTACAAGACACCAGTCCGCTACGTTCGTAGGGATGGTATACACGTCTTGTCCGGGATCAATGCGTGTCAAACGGAGCCTTGAGGCTACGACGAAACCAGCTTGAAGATTGGCTAAGTTTGCCACGCGTGTTGTGGGGAGAGAATGGATGACAGCCTGCCATTGTTGGATCAGTCCTGGTCTTGGATGTGGCGCAGCTATTCAGGTTGACATCCTTGATATCGTGTCAACGCATAGCGTACTTCCTCATTTTCGACGAAAAGTCGATGGCGAGTGTGGCCAACTACCGATGCCGGTATTATCCAAACACTCAGTAGGTTGGCGCCACTCCATCACGCTGTCTGCCGGAAGAAAGAAAGATCGGAGCTGACTCCGTCCAAGTGCGGCCCTATCATCAAGGTTCGGGCTCATCGAGGAAGGATCTGGCAATGACAACATCAGTGTTAAGTGCCGTGAACAATCATACTTTCTACCTGGAATGTCCATATTTGCTTGTCAAATTGCCGGGACCGGCCACTTCATATCCTGTAATGGACATGGTGTGGTGGAAGGCAGAAGTAAATGAAGTACTGTTGACTATATGTGAGGGCCTACCGCTCAGGTTTGCACGCGTCTGGTTCTTATGTGGTGAAGTGTGTACATATTCCCAGACTGGGAGTACTGTTGCATCTCAATCTGCTTGATCGTACGGCTTCGCTAGGGCAATACGTTGTAGGAAGGGGAGATCCTATACACCTGCGGTAGACAATGCAGTGAGAGCGGCTACGTTGGGTAAGCTGAGCTCGTATAGTACTGCCGTGACAAACCTCGTTTATCGTACTTCAAAAGCCCGTCTACATGAGCGATACAACTCCTCTTAGCAGCATCAAACAAACGCGTCAATACACTACCTCTGCGAAGAGATCAAGAGCTACAGTGGAGGAAATCCAAGATGTGTGCACACTTTTCGGTCTGGTGAAAGATCGACTCATTGATGCGAGCTGCACAGAGATGTCGATGGACTAGCAGTGTACTCTGGAACCCGTGATATCGTATCCCACAATCGCGATGATCTCCACCAATACTCGGCGAGATCCGGCAGAAACACTTATTCGGGCCGCTATAAGTATAGCGTGGCCATGCTCACCCGACAATGTTCACCTTCTCGATGTGCTTTTTGGACAGAGGTCTACTACCGGACGAGATGACAAGCGATGCTTGCAATATGTGCTTACGAACATGATCACTTGTGTAGATCGAGTGCGCAACTAGGGACGATGAAAAACAATTTGTGTAGATGACTTGCTGGCACTTGGGTCAAAGTGCCTGCCGGTTCGATGCCTGGACTGTCCCGGACTTTCGATATCTTGACATCAACTGCAGAGTCGAAATCTAGTGCCCGACTGTCTTGTTCGGTGTGATGCATGTCAAGTGCGTGTGCACGAGTTTAGTTTCTTGACGTGCAGCAGCAACACGTGACCAGCAGCTATCATCGATCAAGCAGTCGCAGTGCCAACATCCATCGATGTACGTAGCAGCCCATCGTGACGCGAGTACAACGTTATAGGGAGTACGTCGACGTAGCTTATGTACACGTTGTGGTCCTGCTTGAACATGGCATAACTTGAGTGATACGCAAGTGCCCGAGATGCTTTTGTACCGAGTGGGCTCAATTCATTGCATGATGCGTTAGACCGAATTCCACACATTTATAGGAAGGAGTACGAGCACCGCAACACAATGTCAGTTGTATCGCAGGAATATCTACCGCATCTACTCAATCGGTCGATGTGCGAAGGGTGTGATCCAGTGTAGCTACAGCAGGACATCATTCTCGTACATGATGGATGCATTATCGTGATAACTGAAGACCTTCCACCGGAAGCTGTGATCATTAACTATGCACGGCGGACGGTGTTTAGTTAGCTGCTAGAAGGACGACTATCGGAAATCAGCGAGCGAAACAGCAGGGACAGATCAATCTGCAAGAGAGTAGCATGTGTGCCACGGGGCATGCAATATATCCTAGCAAAAGGGTACACTCCTGTTTCTTCGGGCGGCTCGAAGACTTTGCACCTCTTTTTGCAGCGCAACCGACGCTACTCGGAAGATTTATTGACATTAAAGAGGAAAAACGGAGCGCAAACGTACAGACTGCTGTGTAACGCGGACAGTTAGTACGTTTGCGCTCCATTGTTCTTCTTTGAAATCAATAAGACGAAGTGCAGACATTGTTATGGAAAAGGAGTTACAGAATGGTTCGTCAAAGCGTCAACGCATCGGGTGCAAATTCACAGCACAACATCAAAATAACGACAAAAAGCAGCAAGAATGCAATGCATGTTATCGCACCTTCATCCAGAAGCAGTGAATGAGGGCACAAGCAAGGACAATGCTCTCCGCCCCAGGACATGTCCTAGTATATCAGGATGAGCTAGCAAACTCTTCTCGAGATTCCATTTATCGCGTGGATTCGAAGTATACTCAAGTCGTCACGTAGCGATTCAGTATGAAAGTAGGTGGACGTTCTTAGATACAGCTCTTTTAGGAACAGCCATGGGTCTGAGATAGTGTGACACATGAGTGCATCCTGTACAGCTCGTCAACCTTTTTTAAGCTAGTAATTGTAGAGCTGAACGCTCGGTGCTTTGCGATCTTTCACGTACTCGAATCACCACCGATATACATTGGAGACAACACAGTTGATTGCTGGGTCACAGCTCGCGTTTCGATGGCCTGTAAGGTACAACAAGTTGACGAGTCCGTTTCTGTAATTTCCATGCAGCACATGTCAAATGGTGCGCGAAGTACAATGATATCTGTGTTTCCCTCCGCCCAAGTTACAAGTAGCTCTTGTACCTAGTGCGAGGAATGTTAGAGCGGTCAGTCGTTCTCTTCACCATCACTACGTTGTTCTTTCAAGCTTTCCACGTGCAAGACTAGACGCGTACAAGTCAGCGTAGAGCCGTGCAGCTTACTGAAGCTGGCGCCTTTGCTTCTAGATCATGTTGTGGACATCATGTGTAGGCGCTTACATCCATGGGGTTCAAATTCTCGCTGTTTGTGTGCGTAAAATTCAATCATGTTCCTTGCTCTTAGGCTGGAACAAGCGTATTCCACTATAGCTTCGGCAAGGTCTTTCAACGGCAAGTTTGCTGCTCGTCGTATGCATTTATACGAAGATACGATCTCATGAACAACGAACGCTTCTGGCGTGGTAGCGCATCGTTGCGCATATACCGCTAGCTACCCCACCCACGTAACTCCCTTATTCTAAGCAGGTAAGACTTGTAGCCACATCTCTCTACAGCTCCCACTTTGTAGTACTTTATTGCTAGTCTATGTCGTAGCGATCCCGCGAATCAGAGGCCAAGGACTACTGAGATGAGTAAGCGAAATCCGCTTGTCAGAATTAGCACAAGGGTGTAAGAAATAGGAGGGATCTGATCCTTCATCTCCACGTGTTGCAGGTTCGACTCCAAGCTCACTTTAACGTCGACAAAACGGACGCCAACTCGACAAGACCAGTAGGTGTCTTGCTTTCTGTACTCTCTCCTTCTTCATCGATCAAAGTGTTTTACTACTAGGTACACACCCAAACCACTTCTGCCTACCGACAGCCGCACGCACATTGGTCCACCATTCTCCTAGTCCTAATGCATATCACATTGCTACAGGTACTGCCTCAATGACAAGTCTCAAGTTATATGCAGTGAGTGATACGTTGCGACGCTACTGTCCTTGTATCCGCCGGTGGAGCTCCGATCGTAACCACGAGTCCTATAATCGGAGTTTTACGGAAATCGCATCGAGGAATCACACGAAAGGGCGCACGGTATCCTTCGACTCGGCATCAGCTTTCATGTTGTGTGTGCCACGCTAATGCAGTCGAGCACAATAAAATGCTTTTGTACAATTAATTCCGATCTCGATCACAAAACCCTAGAACAAAGCACTTTTGCTGCGCGTCGCTTGAAAAAAGATGGAGATCCCTGCCCCGCTGCTGAATGGTTCCGTGACATACCTCGTGCTGACATTAATGGCCTGTTTTGCCGGTATTGCCATGGGCTTCACTGGAAAACTGAGTCGTGAGAACTCGTCGTACGTTTCGCGTTTCGTTCGTGACAGCCCCTTCTTTCTTCGGGCATCCGACGTATCATGAATCAGTACTAAGACAATTTGTATAATCATTGTTCTGTTCCCTCTAGGATTTTTACGCTGCTGGCTTTCATGACTGGATTTTGTCTCTGGATGTTCTGGTACTTTCAAGCACAAAAGAAAAGACACGCGAAGCAAAGTCTGAGTCGGCCTCTTTTTCACTTTTTCTATCTTGTGCTTTCTTTTTTGCTGCGATGTAGGGCATGTTGTTGGCTGCACCAGTGGCACATTCTGGTCGTTCCCACGTACGGCGCAGAGTAGTGAAAATCCTATTGAGATCAAGCTGGAAAACAACAGTGATACCAGAAACAAGCAGGTATCAAGTACCTCGAGTCTTAGCGACGACCATTGGTGACGCGGAATACAAAGTCCCATTTACATTGTCATCTCTGGATGTGGAGTCTAAAAATACGGTCATGGCGGTAGCGTGTCAACTTGCTCTTGACGTGCACTGAAAAGCTGTATCGACTGTAACGTGGCCATCATGGTGGCACCAAGCATTCGTGATCAGCTCCAGATAAAAGTACAGTCTAGAAGCTGAAGTGGAAGCTGTCGCCATCTGCGGATGTCCTTGCAGCTTCGCCATCCACTCCGAATGTATATCGATGGGAACCGTAGTCCAAGTCAGGCGCAATGTCGAAATCCTCCTCGTCTTCGCCATCGAAATAGTCGCGGATGATACGCACGGATTTCTCATAGATGTCTGCATCGCACAAGCACATTGTCAGGCGACACCATTCTTGATTGTTGACTTGAAGTGCAGACCAAACTCACCTTCTTCTTGGTGTAATTGCAGATTCTGAATCAACTCAATGCCATCTGCTTCCTCGATGTAACGGGCCATGCGATTTTCAGTGTCAGCCAGCGACATATCGGCCTCACCTGCCCGAAGGATGTTTTCCAGAGCGTCTAATGATACGTTCACTACACGCGGATCCTGTACGCCCAAAAGCTTCACTAATGGTGGAATACAGCCTAGTACAAACGCACAAATCATAGTGAGTACATTACAACGTCTACCAAGAGTAGCAGTGTTCGTACCTTGCTGTACTAAACAATTGATCTGCTTGGTCGTCCCGCCGGAAGTGGCGTTCGAAATGGCCCATGCAGCTTCTTTCCGGACGTCCAACTCTGTAGCCATCAGTTGAAACAGCAGCGGTGGGATCACATTGGCATCGATCACTTCCTGAATCTGACTTGCAGAACCGGCAGTGATGTTTGAAATCGCCCAGCACGCTTCTTTGCGGATGAGCTTCTTCTCGTGCTTGAGTAGCTGCACTAATCGCGGCAGGACCACTAGATCCAGCATCAACTGCGTCTGCCGCTCGTTGCCCGTCACTATGTTACCAATCGTGCGCAGGGCTGGTGTCTGAATCGAAGTCTTTGTGTGGCCCATCAAGTCTACTACACGACGGCATACACCAGCATCGATCACAGCCTGGATTGTCTCAGTCGTGCCGTCTGAGAAATACGACAGCGCCCAGCAAGCATCCACAACAACTTCATTGTCTGGAGAATGAATCAGATGCGGCAGCAACTGAAGCGCTGGACTGATCAGCGCAAACTCAGGCCGGGGCTTCCCACGACAAAAGTTCGACAGAGTCCACGCTGCATTTCGCAAAATCGTGGGTTTCCCAGAAGACTTTCGCAGTACCGCCAGTAGTGGCATCATTGCACCTGCATTGACCACCACGTCGCGACAATGCGGGGAGTCGCCAGCGATATTTCCTAATGCCCACACAGCCTGTTCACAGACATCTTCATTTGGAGACAAGAGTAGTCCACACAGCAACTCAACCGCGCCGCATCGGATCACTTCTGCCGTGTGCTCCGTCGTGCCCGAGGCAATATTCGTCAGCGCCCATGCAGCCTCAAACTGCATCTCGGGTCGGTCATGCCGCCTCAAAAAGTCCACAAGCAGTGGGACAACACCCAAGTTGATCACTTGTTGAATCGGCGGCTCGTGCTCTTTGCATCTCCCCCCCAAAAAGAACACACACACGCACCACCGAAAAAGAGCACTGTCAAAACTCCTCCTCCTTCATCCTTCCTTCCTTCCTGCCACGATCTCATCACTTCAAGCATCCCGTACCAAGTGCTAACAGCCGCCGTAACTTGCACACTGCACTTGAAGCCTCGATCTGGTCCAGTGACTGGATCATCGCTGCAATCTTGGGCAGCTCTGACACCTACAAACAAAAAGACAAGAACCTCATCAGAAAACCCGACAACAAATCCGCCATCACGAAATCTCGAGCAGCACAACTCAGCTATCCAGCTGCATCGTGCACTGTATTGCACAGGATAGCGTACATTCACAGTATTCGTCGATCCTTTGGAACATGTACTGGCTCTCGGCATGCTAGCGTCCTGAGTCAGCACTGGACTGTGCGCCTGTCACAAAAAAACATCAACACACCACAGTTACACCAAACCACACCGACCGAGCGAGCGTACCCTTCGATGGGTACACGCTCCAGCACCTCCTGTCCAGTCACTCAAGAAAGTAGCAGCCGCTCTGTACCGTCGCGATCATTCGTCTCCGTTGGTTCAGTCGCTCTTCCCGTCGGTTCTTGCGGATCCGGACCGTCGTGTCCTCCCGCCGCCTTCGACTGTCGTCCACGTCGATCCCTTTCTTGAAGCTCCGCATGCGCTCGGAGACGTTTGTAGCCATTTCGGCGCGCACTCGCCTGTGCGGTCGTTGTCCAAGTGACAAGTTTCGAGTCACGTATCGCTTTAGACGGGGTCGTTGGTTTGATTTAGCTTCTATTCGGGTGGAACCGATCGACTCTGTAGTTGTCGTATGTTGCTTAATGGGTTTGTTGACTGTATATACAGCATAAAGGAGCCTCGCACTCCGTATAAGCATGTGCAAAGAAAAACGTATGCAGCATGTTATGCTGTTTTATCCGAGTCGATCGTCAAGGCTGACACGGACCGGGTGTCGGGGCTTCTTCCTAAACGGCTACACGACGTTGGAGCCACAATCTTCCGAAGCAGCAGGTTTCACGCAAAGTGCGACTGCTTTCCGCCATCAGTTCCGGATACGCTATCAACGACACCAAGTCAGTGGAGCTAGTTGTCCTCGCACGTGGAATGCAATTCTTCTGCCTGTAGTGGTCGACCAGTACGGCTTTTGCCAGCTCGTCCTCCAGACGCTATAGAATCAGTACGACCCGCCAGGAGCGCAGCTTCCGCCTCACAGGATCATACCGAAATGAGCTCTCCTACCACTTGTTGTAGTCGTCCCCAACCACTAAAACTCGCACGTTCCACGATGCCCCCACCACACTGAAATACACGGCGCAAGTCTGTATGACGAGCATCCTCATACCTGGAAGGGACGGGTGTTAGAGTATGTGATCGATAGCTTCTGGACTACAAACAGCACAAAGCCTTACAGAACCTTATCTCAGCGCTGCACTCCTCAAAAAGTAAACTACAATGCACTGAAAGGCTTGTGCAAACGCAAACAGACACCTGATGAGAGGCTCAGCAAGGGTTACGCTGCATTCATATATCTGCTGGACGATCCGCTAGCAGAGTGAGCCCGTGTAGCTTCATGCTGGGCCTGTCAACGATGTGGATGTGTAGAAAATCTTGCAATGTCTCCACTCGATTCAAAGCGATTGACCGAGAATCTCCAACAACCTCTTGACCATATACTCAAAGCTTTTGTCCGCTTGCTTCTTCTTCACCCTCTCGGTCGGAAGAGACGCTTTCAGGAAGGTACAACCTTGCTTCGCACACAGCTGGAAGCATAGTCCGCGGTATTCCAACACACTCGACACATTTTTGACGGTAACAAAGTCGATGGCGATATCTTTTCGACCGCATGACACGAGACTGGCCTTGGTTGAAAAGGGATCTCCTTTGGACTCGTCCAGTAGCACGAGGTTATGGACCGAACCCCACCAAGCGTTTGTCGATCCTAGTATTTCAGCGTACACTTTCACGCGAAAGCTCGTGCAATTGTCGAGCGAAATGTCATGGTAAGCGAGCACATCCGACATGGCGCGAGAGCCTACGTGTACCCACTCGTCACCTTTGCGAAAATAATCAAGATTGGCAACTCGTGGACTAGAGCCTGGTCTCGACAAGCAGCGCACCGTTAGTTTTAGCGCCGAGACTTGCGTCTTGACTGGCTCAGTTTGACGCAGTTGATCGATTAGCCCAAAGATCAACGGTGATCCATCATCACATACATTTGACCAGGTCGTCTGGACGTCACGAGGACAAACGTCGCGCAAGTCGTTCAAGTAGTACTTTTGGCTGGTAGACAGAGTGTCAGGGTGCAATAGAGTCTGTCCAAAACATGCGGCCACCCTTAATTCACCTACGACTTTTGTGCCTTGCAGAGCTGCTGCCGCCGTTCGAACGTAGTCGGTATCGAAACATTCCAGAAAGCACTTAGCGAATTCGGACTGTTGTTGTTGTTGATCTTGTGACGATACCATGCCGTCTTTTTGCCCATCTTGCCGCCACTGCTGCTGGCAGTTTTGAAAGAGCATCCGTTGATACTGCTGCCTCTCGCCTTGAAGTTCATCCTCCGGTAGTAATCCGTCACGGACTAATTTGTACGGATACTTGTTGATGTCCACATCGCACAGCGGTCGATCCACCCTTTCAAATTGCCAGTAGTACAATTCAGCGTCCCTTGCTGCTCGACTTCGCCGCATGTGGCAAAACACGCGCGGCTTATTTTTTCCAGTTCTGCCATTGCTCGCTCGGCGTCTTGTTCTGTTCCGCTCAATATCCTCACCTTCACTCAGCAACCAGCTCATTGACCGGTCGTCACGAAAACGCCGCGGTACGTGCAAAGCGCTCTGCGAAATGCTATCTGGAAACCCACTTTTTCTCGTCATGGAGGTCGGAAGTTTGGAAATGATCCATGTCCCCATTGACCAGTTGGCTGCACCAACTGTTTTCTTGGAAATGTCTATTTTCTTCACGTTCGACTTGACAAAAGACCTCTAGGAATTTATGTAGGGAATTGTTAAATGGACGCCTGTTCTGGCTAACGCAACCGACTGCAGGCTCGTATTTTACAGCAAAGAGAGTTTGAAAAGGTTCTGATGAACGTGTCGCTCGCTGAACGCACAGATCTAGCACGCAATGAAAGTGATCAGACAGTCACTGCGTTCGCCTTTTGCTTTCTTGCGCTTTGCTTGAGCTTGCGGTTAGCATAGAAACTTGCTAGTTCGTTTAGTAAGATATTTTGTCAGCAATTACAACAAACAGGGTACAGGATGGCGGGGTAAGAGGTTGTGAGAGTTGATCCATGGATTGATCGTGTATCACTCTCTTCACATCAGCTGACGGGGTACTATTTCTTGGTCTTCGAACGACAAACACAATGTGCATGGTCTTCTGATTCAGACTTCTTGCCTCTTTTTGACTGACACAACGTCGCAGAGGCCGATCTAGCAACAGCTTTCAGGTCGTGGCGCTACTTGATAAACCTCACGCTGCTAAGGTAATGCCTGGACTTTTTGCGCTTCTCGCACAGGTTCTACTTATTGCCACGTAGCAACAGTCGAGCAGACACAACTATAATGTCAAGCTCCTCGCGCACTTGATTGAATCGAAACCACTGCCACAATTCAGGCACTTTGGACGGCTATGCTCACAAACGCTGCAAAAGTAGGCGGTCGAGACTTCACTCGATTCGAGTACTTGATGTTAAGCTCTCGCACTTGACTGATAGAGGCATCACTTGTCGTTCCTTGGTCATAAGCCATCGATTTCAAGTGTCCAGTGGCCCCGCAAAGGTCCCATCTGCTTTACGCCTTCAGCATCTCTGGTAATAATTTATTGAATTCACTGCCTAAAAACTTTGCATCTCGAATTCGACGCCTGCACTACAAGATCGCTCTTGTTGCTGCCAGCGTCAATGCATGTCCCTCTTGAGTCACACGATGTGCAATACTAAGGTTAATGAGGAATAGCTTAGGCTCACTCATATCCACGATTTACGACTTGACTGCACGGATAGCATCACGCTCCAACAGACTATAAATCGAATCATCGTGATTACCCCTTCTGTGCCGCCGAATACTTGCCGTTTCCACGAGCTTAATGGGACCGCCCGTGATTTGACCATGACACTTTCACCAAATCACGCGTCACGTTAGGCCTGAACAAAAAGGTGACAACCCGCGTTTTGCATGTAATGCACCAAAGCTAATTCAACGCTTTTTTCACGTGCTCAGGACTGGTAAAACGCGATCGTAATGGACAATCTCGTTGTGCAACGTCGACTTGCCGACAATTAGACGACCAACAATCGCCAGCTTGGTCGATCGCGGCTGAACACGAGTATCAAAATGAAAAGACCCCATGGACACGTTGCCAGCAGCCCTTCCCCATCTATCCAACCCGCTCCCGCAACGTACCAACAGTTTATAAAACGCGTCCAGTCAGTAAGTTTGTGGCTGTGCATTTAACAATTCCGTTATTTACGGGACACGCATCTTGTTTATACGGCACACGCTCTCCACCACTCATTCGTCGTGTCGCACGTAGCTCTTCAGTCAAGACCATGGGAATGATGAAGCAATTGCTGACGCGCCCAGCGCAATACGTTGCACGGAAGCAGCTGTCGCCCGCTTCGTTAGCGCTATTCAGCTCGGCACGGGAGCAGAACCCCAACGTGTTCTTTGACATTTCGATTGATGGCAAATCCAGTGGACGTCTAGTCTTTGAGCTGCGCGCCGACGTGGTGCCGAAGACAGCCGAGAACTTTCGCCAGTTGTGCACGGGCGAAGCAGCCACGGGCAAGTCGGGAAACTCGCTGCACTACAAGGGCAGCAAGTTCCACCGTATCATCCCGAACTTTATGTGTCAGGGCGGGGACTTTACGCACGGGAACGGCACGGGCGGCGAGTCCATTTACGGGACCAAGTTTGCTGATGAGAAGTTTGAGCTCACGCACGAAGGCGCAGGCGTGCTGTCGATGGCCAATGCTGGACCCAATACGAACGGGTCGCAGTTTTTCCTGACTACGGTGGACTGTCCGTGGCTGGACAAGGCGCACGTTGTGTTTGGGCGCGTGACCGAAGGCCACGACGTGCTCAAGGTCATGGAAGAGCAGGGCAGCCAGTCGGGAGCTACTCGTGTTGACGTTGTGATTGAGGACTGTGGCGAGATCAAGAAGTAGTGGAAGACGAGGATGTTCGAATGCGTCGTTGCTGCTGCAGGGTGTTGGTCTTGTCAATTGTACGAGGTGGAAGTAGCTCGTGCTGGTAAGGATGGAGATGGGAAGAAAATGAAGTTTGCTGCTGTTGGTGGCGCTACAGATGGTTGACAGACATTCCATGAAGCCACCACCTTTACAATGCGTGGATCATTGTTTTACTGCAGACTATTTCCATCACCTCGAGAATGTTCATTTGCACCTTCACACATGCTCCTTTTTTTTCTCGCGAGAAGCGTCGTCTCTGTCGTAACATTGCAACTCGCGTCGTGTGGGACTCGACGCTCTTACGGATCCGACGCATATCCACGATGGGATAGTGCAAGTGCTATCACGCGGTCAATACGACGTCCCTAATTCTTAGCAGGTCCTGTACGAAGTTGCCTGTCAAGAAGACTAGATGATGATGGTGATTGCGTCGTGGGTTCTCCATAAATGGGGCGTCGAGCGCAATGAGTGAATGGGGTCGCAAGTCTTGTTGGCTTAGCGTGGAGACATGGAGTGGAGCAGCACAATTGTTTGGATTGAGGATAGTCCTTACGATGGCTTCAAGGAGATTCAAGTTTGCCAGGAAGGTAGAAATGCTGGAGTCTAGAAGGCGGAAACATATCGTGAACCCCAACCATTGTGCTCAATGATGGCAAGTGTCTTCTGCATATTGAAATAATGACGAGACAAACACGCGATTCTCATCCGTCGCGCCGTCCTTTGGTTCTCCACGTACGCTAGAACTCACGCCTACGAACTGCTCCTATGCAGAATACAGTAGGCCGACCCGTAATTCTTAGCATAGAAGTGGTCATGCCGTACCTTTCCAAGCAAGACTGGTACATTATGCCCTACAGTTGTGAAATGTCAGTAAACTCTGACGTGAACAGTCAGCCAAGTCTCCACGACATCTCTTCCATACGAAAGCTCAGTCAAATTATACTGATAGCAAACAAGTGCAATGTCACCCTCACTTGCTCGAAAGGCCGCTCAAATACTCTTCGAGTTCTTCAAAATCATCCGCCTCAAAGTTCAGGACATCGGCAGTTCCGTCATCGGCTTTTGGTGACAGCCCCTCGAGACTCTTGAACTCAGCGTCCAACAGCTCCAGCTGTGGGTCAATCTCCACGTCAGTAGACAACGACTGCATACTCAGCTCTTTCTCAAGGTATTCCATTGCGTTCAAATCCTTCGACAAACCTGAAACGTCATCGTTTTCACTAGTTGACACATTTGTTGCTTTTTCTTCCACATCGACTCCACTAACCACTTTGGTAGCTTTTTCCAACGCCCCAGACGTTAGGGACTCGAGCTCGCTCATGAGCTCTTTGTCCTTCTCCTCGTCCCAGCTTCCCTTACGAACGATCTTTGTCTTAGCAGCAATATCCTCGTCGTTGTCATTGATGCTGAAAGAGTTTTGCTTTTTGGCTGCCTGCTCCCTCTCCTGTTTCGCCGCCTCGGCCGTAGCCTTTGCTTCAGCCTCAGCGGCAGCAGCAGCTTTGGTTTCTGCTTCGGCCTGTTTCTTTTTGAGTTGCTCCTCACGTTGCTTCTGAAGTCGTTTCTTGCGATCTTCGATACCCTGCCAAAAAGCCTCGTCGCGATGAAGCATGCCTTCGTACGCTTGACGGTCGTCCTCATTCAACGAAACGCCTTCAGCTTTAGGGGCGATAACCGCTTCGCTGCCTGTAACAAAGTAGAAAAATTGAGTAACAAAACTCAAGTCTCGCGATGATCGTGTACTGCGCGCTCACCCTCTGTGTTTGCCGTTGGGGATTTACTGTCAGTGTCGACGTCTGCAAAGATCAAGTCGACAAAAAAGTCTTGGTCAAAGCGAGTATCAGAGCAAGCACCGTCTAACTGTGCCTTGGTCAATCTGTGGACACAACAAACCGGGTGAGATACTATACACCGGATAGCAGACAGACTTACAGTCCAACAAAAAAGAATAAGACGTACCTCAGCACGCCTTGCGGTATGTAGCCCGTGTGGAATGCACCGCGGAACATTGAGATGCGCTCTCCAGTATCCGTCAAATGGCGACAACGAATCAAAATGTCTCCCTGTAGCATGCAATTCACGTTAAATGAAACGGAACCGTCGGCTGTACTAGCCCACTGCACTCCCTGCCCATCCTCCATATCGCGCCACGTCGTTGTAAACACGAGCTTTCCAGCCTTAAAAATCTGCAAATACGGACAGCAGCCTTTTTCGACTGTTTCAACCATCTCTGCATCATCTTTCTCGTCTCCAGCAGCACCAGCACCAGCCGACGATATCAGGGACTCGCCTTCCACTCCCACCATATCGGACTCATCATTCACGTGCGTCTTTTTTGCCTGCTCCAGCAGTACGCGTCGCTCTCCGAAAACTGGAATTGTGTTTATAATCACACGCCGTAGCAGCGACGGCGACGATCTCGGTTTCACGCCGTCCATTACATTGTTAAAGTACTGGATGTACCTACACAATCAAGCACGAACAAACAAACAAACAAACAACCACACAACAAACAACGTCATCTCAGTCCAAAAAAACCAACTAAAACTGCGACTCCATGACAGCCACAGTGCATGTCGTCGCACCTTCGTTGCGACGGAATCGTGAGCTTCTCCACCGACGTCTGGCGCTGCTTGGCCACATACTCCAAGCTCTCCAAGGCATTGGAAAAGAGACCGACCCACGCCAAGTAACAGGCAATCACAGTCCCCGTCCTGCCTTTGCCCGTGAGACAGTGCACCACTGCAACGTTCTTGGCATCAGCTTCAAGCCAGCTTTCAATCGAGGAGCAGATCTTGAACGCCAGCCCCAGTGGCGGCGCGGGGTGGCCTGGGAACTTGAACTCGAGCACTTGGTTGTCAAAGTACGAGTTGTCGTACGTCTCTTCACTCAAGTTCCAGATCATGTACTGCCCCTGATGGCTCCCATTGAGGTACATGGCGACCAAGTCAATGGGATTGTCGCTCAGCAGCGTGCGGGTCGTCTCCCTGTTCATGTGGGGAAACCCCATGGCTACAATGTGCTCGGTTATGTACGAAAAGTTCAGCAGCGCCAGGTCCACGTCGCCGGTCGACCGGTCCAGCGCGTAGCTCAGTCGACGCTGGAGCGCGTCCATATCGGCGGCATCGAGGGCTTGACGGGCCTTCACGGCGCCTTCCTTTGCCGCTGTCGTGGCGACAACTTGTGCTTTTTTTAGTAGCCCCATCATGCTCGCTGCAGCGGCCGAGACCGACTCGGGGTTCAAGCGGTCCCTTAGAGTTGCTCGTTGAGGGGGACGTACAGGACCATCACTCCTGCTCGGTTCTTCCCCGAATAGAAGCGGCGCTTCGACTGGAGCGTCGGACGCTTCGTTGTCTTCTCCTCCTTGTTGTGGTATAGAAAGGGACGTGCCCGTATCGGTAGCGCTAGGCTCGTGGTTGCCGACGCCAGCGTAGGCCTCGAGTCGCGTCGCGGCAACGGGGAAGCGCTCCGACAGCTTCTTGAACATACTCGAAGGCGATGGGATGGGGTGGGTGGGTGCGTACTTAGTGGGAGCAGCGGTGGACGGATGTTTCGTTCGGGTCTGTTTTGGATGTTGCAACCGGATTGGATATTATCTCGAATGGTAGAGGTGGAAGATAGAGCACGCTAATGAATGGTGGAATTACATACGACGATAGAGGAAGGCGACTGGAAGGAAGATGTAAAACCAACACACCTGAGATGGCAACAAGTAACGACAACCACTAGCCAGACGAAACAGCATCATTTGCAAGCATCACTTACTGCGATAACCCCGAAGCAGCACGGCGCCACTGGCGGAGACAGAAAGAACTCATTCTGTATAGCCGGCCACGCACTGTGATTTGAATCTCTTGAAAGTAACGCCAGCAGGTATCCTCTCTTTACGTAAACGAGTCCTTGCGTCGTCGAAGGTTTTCCAGAACGCTGACTGCGTCTGAGCCGCCAACTGCATGACGAATCGTCTCATCATGCACCCTTAAAAACGGATTGTAAAGCATCTCTTCGCGTAGCGACGACGGCACGCTCGGTAGCTGTTTGTCGCGGTGGATACGAACCGCTGCAATCTTGTCACGCAGAGCTTGATTCGACGGATCGATGCTAAGGGCGAAGCGCAGATTCGACATGGTGTACTCGTGACCGCAGTACACTTTGGTATCCAGTGGTAGCTTGAGAATCACGTCATACAAAGCCTTGTACATGTCCGCAGCCGTTCCTTCAAAGAACCTTCCACAGCCGCCGACAAACAGCGTGTCCCCTGGAAACAGCAACGGCGGCGTCTCGTTGTCGCCAGTAACAACGTACGCCACGTGCGCTTTCGTATGACACGCTACATCCAGCACCTCCACTTGAGCAGCACCAATCTTGAACGTTTCGCCACCACTCACCGAGCGATTTCGAGCTGGAATCGGTTCATGTTTGGGTCCAACAACCATCACACCTGGATACCGTTTCGCCATCTCGTGATTACCTCCAGCATGATCCCTGTCGAGAAACAGCACAACAGCGTCATGCAAAAACAGCAGTCAGTCCTCCAAATTGATTTGAATGACGGTACGATAAAAACCACACTTACGCGTGTTTGTGCGTTGTCAAGATACCGAGGAACTGGCGGTTTCGAGCCTTTTCTTCCTCTCGCAATATCGGCAAGATCTTGCTGGGTTCAGCTGGGTCCACTGCAAACATCGTGTGGTTCGCTTCATCCACCACGATGTAACCTGTAGAATGTACACACAAACAGCTTGGGTAATTTATGATAAGACGGGATCGTATTTTATAGCAATTAGAGTCCTCTCGTTACCGTAATTATCGTCCAGCAGGGGCACAATACGCACACGCAGACTCGGTTCATTCAAGTACTTTTGTGTAGCCTTCACACCGCTTTCCACCGCACGTTGCTTCTGCACGCTGAGCCAGCGCTGCAACGGACTGGACCGTCTCGTGAACGTCCGCGACTCGTTCACCCGCTGATGAAGTCGCAGCGCCATGTTTTTTTCGTTTTCAAACTGTCATTTATTTACATTTCTTGCACTTGTTGTCCGCGTATTCTTTTTTGTGGTTTACTGACGACAACTGAGGTGATTTGTGTGTGTGTGTGTGTTTTTGGATCGATACCGTCGAAATACCGGTATCGTCTGATTCGGATAAAACGACAAGAGAGCAAAAGCGCACGCAGCCAAAGCATGGAGAGCTTCGGGACGGAGCTCAAAGAGACGCCGACCCCGCTAATTGCAGCGCTAGGCTCGCCCGAGCTGCAGGACAAAGTGCTGCCTCATCTGCGTACGGTCAATGAGGGGTTTGTACCGAAGCTGCGCATTGCGTCGCTGCCGCGTGCGCACCGTCTGCCCGTGAAGAAGGAGCTGTGCGAGAAGCACGGGACGTTCTCGAATCAGATGCAGCGCGACTTGGATACTTACCGGACCCAAGGGATTCTCAAGACACAATGGCTCAAGAAACACCACGAGCTGCTGCCGGCTGTGGTCCTGCTGGTTGACGAGTTTAATCCGTGCTGGACGCCGTCAGACTGGCAGCAGAAGGAGACGGCGCTGGTGGACGACGTCACGCAGCTCAAACGGACCGTATCAGGTGGGTTTTATCCGATGACGAAGATGGGTTTTATCTCCTGAGTCGATGGGTTTTATTCGATTGTGTGTACGCTATGATGTGTTCGTGGTTGTCTTCTTTTTTCACTCTGGTGCTGATGATGTGGGTTTTTCTTGGATGTATGTGGAAAACTGATGTGCAGCTAGAGACGGTCGTGTCGTGGTCCTGCTTGTGCAACAGGTAGACGATGCAGACGGGACGTGGAGGAATGGGACGGAAGAGAGACTGGCCGACTTGAGGCGGAGACTGGACACTGATACAAAGGGTCTTGTACTCGTAACATCGAAGGATATGACGCGTACGTCGAGTGTGATGGTGAAACTGGAGTCGAGTGTACGTACGATGGCACTTGAGTATTATAAGGCGCAATCGAAACGAGTGAAGAGATACGAGAAGGCTTGTGCCAGGACGCCGGAGTACCAGGCTTTACATGCGAGGTTCTGCTTCAAGATTGCACATTTCTATGAATTCCGACGCTGTACGACCAAAGTGCTGCAGTACTATGAAGCCTCGTATTGCGCTATTATCGCGCTACCGTTACAAAACGATGGGGCTGCTGGTGGGATCGCTTACAAGCAGGTGATGACCATGGCAGAGTTTGTGAATTTCAAGCTGTGCTACCACTTGATTTTTTCGTCGAACAATGTCAAGGATGCAGTAGGTCAACTGCGACGCCACGTGGGTGTGTACGCACGTGCAATCGCTGTGGCAGATGGAGCGTACGAGCACTGGGCTTGGGTATCTCGTCAGTATCATGTCTTTGCTCAACTGCTGGTCGAGGCTCTTTCCATTCGAGGCTCACTGCCGAGCACTGGACTGGAGTCAAGTGTGTACAAAGAGCCATACTTGTACTTCTCTCTTGCCGCAAAGTACGCTGTTTTTCGAAGAAAGGCAGCAATGAAACTAGGCCTCACAACTGCTTCTACTGTGCAGACGGTCATGGCAAACGGAGAAAGCATGTCGGAACGGGATTTCGTTGTGATACCTTCCAGTTTCGTTGGCGGGGATCCGCTGGTTTCTGAAGTGAGAGCTGCATCACAGGATCAGTCAGTAGCAGCACTTGTAAAATACCGGCACGCCATGGAGAAGAGTGTTCTGCATGCGACGCAGTCTCTCGCTCTTCTCGAGCACGCACTGCAGTACTTAACAACGTACGAGGCAGAGCAGAATGCACCGCGAAATCGATTGAAAGGCCGGTTACTGGTTCATTTGGGGACAGAGCGGCTTGCGTCTGGTGAGTATGATTGCTCGCGTATGGAGTTGCAGAAAGCGAAAGCGATATTCAGTACTGAAAACTGCTGGGCACAAACTGCTCAGATTTTGAAGCAGCTACTCATTTGCACCTTTTGCCAAGGAGATACCGGTGCTTATATGGATTATTCGCTACAGCTGTTGTCGCCTGTTGTCGAGGAGTTTGTGTCTTTGAAAGAACGCAGTCGTATTCAGGACTCTTTCTTGACAGCATGGAGAGATCCGGCATCATTGGGTGCACCGTTTACGCAAATCTCTGCGCTTCAAAACGTGCATGAACTAGCACTTGATCGGTCTCGCGCAGTCTTCGCGTTGACCGCTCAATTTGATCGAGCCTCTGCTTGTGTGAACGAGGATGTAACATTGGAGCTGAAACTGCGCTCACATTTCCCGTTGCCGCTTGTGATATCGAAGATGGAGTTGGTGTTCAATGACGAGCGCTATCGCACAATGCTTTACCACCAAGCTGGAGCAGAATCTGACACGATAACTTGCGTTGATGGAAGGTTTTCTACGTCGCTGGAATTTACTCACAAGTTGGTCAAAGAAATCCGTGTACCATTGCGTGTGCTAGATGAGAGGCAACTGCTATCCATCCAGGAAGTGCGGTTGTACTGTAGCGGGGAGGATGGTGTGGAAGCGAAACACACTGAGATAGACGGGAAAAAGACGGATGCTGTTTTGGTTTTTAGTCTGCCCATCACACTTGCCTCCGTAGAGCAACTAGTGGCGCCACCACCGTACCTGATCAGCGGTCGTGTTCCTTCCATGGGCAACGGCTCTGCGTCTCCGAGTTTTTCCAAGAGAAAGTCAATGTTTTCACTAGTTGAAGGACCTCGAGCCGCTCACGTCGATGTACGTGAGCCCGTCGAAGAGGACGGCTCCAAGCATCTTCGTGGCTCCTCATTGCTGATTGTGCAGCCTCGTGCGAACGCCACGCTGTCTTTGCTCTCAAATGAACCACTATTGACAGGAGACTTCCGTGAGCTTGCTTTCCGCTTGGCAGCAAATGAAGACACGTTGGAAAATGTGACGTTCCAGATCAGCTGTAAACCTCCACCGACATCAGCGGCATCTGAGGATGCGTTCTTCTTCACAGAGCAGTCTGGCGTGATGACTCCGGTGCCGCTGGATACGAATTTACAACCGCGGGACCGGATCCTCCTTTCGAATCAGAATGCCCACACTGAAGAAGTTGTGCATGTTGTCGTGCGCTCCATTAATGTAGCATCATTGACCTTGATCGTGTCCGTGGCATACACTACAAACAGTGGCGTGTCTGTCAACCTGACGGAGCGGTTCAGGCTGATATGCCACGACCCGTTTTCGATTCATGGCGGTTTCGTGTCCGACTATCTTACAGGAGGTGGTGTACCTGGTGCAGCACAAAGGCCTAAAGGGTCTTATGGATGTGTGGGCGGTTTGGTGAACTACCGAGGAAGCATTACGTGCACATCAGGCGAAGTACTTCGTGTGCTTGCAGTGCACTTTGAACCACGTGAGACGAACATGGAAGAAGTGGTGGCTACCTCTGGATTTGGGTCCATCTCTACCAATTCGGATGGCATTGCCAGCGAAAATGTTTGCGCTACTTTTACTGACGGCGACTCGTGGTGCTTCTGTCTACGACTGAGACCGAAGATGGCGTCACCTTTTGTCACTCTTGGACGGGTGGCAATCGTTTGGAAGCGCGAGTTGTCACCGATTCGTTGTGCCTTTGACGGTGTCAGCAACGACGTCGTGCATACGTGGCTCGATATTCCGTTGGTCTCAATTGTTGCTGCACCTCTCACTATCAGCGTAGAGACGCCAGCGTTTGGCGTTGAGGGCGTGCTGGACTATATGAACGTGCGTGTGAAGAACAACGAAGCTGTCGTCCACAGCCTCCAGGTCAAGTCAGTGGATGCAGAGGCGGCGTTTTTCATTTCAGGTCGCACAAATGGGACGGAGCACTTGCTTCCTTTTGAAGAGCAAGTGTTCCGGCTCGGCTTGGTACCTACAAAGACGGGTACGTATGTCCAGATGTTGTGCAAGCGAGTGGCAGGGTCTCCTGCTGATTGCTTCGTGATGGGATCTCACTTTTGCTTCGTGATGGGATTGAACTTTTGCTATTTGTGGATAGGCTACTTGCGCTTGCCTCGCTTTGAGATCATGTCGTTGACGTATGACTTCCCATTTACAAACCCGGACGAATGCCAAGAGCTGTTTGTCCTCCCTCGGGATTATCCTGACTGGCTAGTCGAGCCAGCACAATGACCAGCCGCTCGAGTCGGTTGATTTAGGAGAGGAGTTGTTTATGGCGCGCGTGCTCGTGCGATCGTTTAGAAATGGGTTTTAACACGGAAAAAAACACACGCTGCTATTTAACTACGGGTACACTGTGAGTTACGCGTGGGTGGTACACGTCGCTGCAGTTGGACTATTTTTGGACCGCAGCTGGGCTCAGCGACTTGTTTTTCCGCGGGTCTGCTCGCGTAAAGTACGTTTTCAAACAATTTCGACCGTGCAGCTCGAGATGTTGCAGCAGTTTCCATCCCGCGATTGGCCAAAAGTGCTTTTTTTACCCGCAGACGAGTCAAGTGGCGCGTGTGACGCGACTTGTTAGTCCTCGCTGGTCTCTTCCGCATGAGTTTCTGGTGTCGCTGTTTATCGCGAAGACGCGGTGAGTTGCAGCGACAGGCGCTGTTCCAAGCGCAGTTTGAGCGCATCCAGAGGGTGTACCCCGGTACGGGTTACGTCTGTCTCCTGGATGGCGACACTGGCGCTATGATGTGCGTCACGCTGTTTAATTTGTTTTTTTTGTATTGTAATATTGCAATATATTGTATTGTCGATTTGGGAGCATGGTCGACTGAACGGTTATGTTTGTGTCTTTTGTGTCTTTTTGGCTTTGTCTTTTGTGCTTTTTGTGTCTGTTTGTGTGGGACGATAAAGTGCACAATCAGAGACGACGGACGTGAACACGGACGAGTTTACTCGCACCATTATGAACCTCAAGGACGCTGCGCTGCAGTTTGGTGCGTCCTATTTTTTTCTGCAATTATTGGAATTAGAGCCTGTCTGCTGCGATTTTCGGTTTTTTTGCGATGATTATTAAACATGAGAGGGTCAAACGGACTGTGATCATTGATGATGATGGTGGCGGTGTTTGTTGTTGCTGTTGTTGATGGTAGCGGCGACGCTGAACCAGATTGACCCGCAAGTGGTGCATGTTCGAGGAGCTCAGGGTATGTTTTCCTGCTACGGGTCTGCCCACATGGTGCGTGAAGGGTTCTTTTTCTCTCTTTTCTTTGCTTTTCATTGTTGGCTGAGGGTGAAACAGCTCGAGCTGGAAAAAGACTCATGCAGTCGGTGGGTTGCAGATCCTGGCCTTTTACAGTGACATGTCTCGTGCAGACTTGGAGTCGCTCGACTGTTTCGAAGCAGACAAGAGCATTGAATCTATCACAGGGGAACTGCACCGGATCATAGACGCCAGTCAAACGGGGAAACGGCGGAATCGATGCTAGCGTCAGTGAGACATTGGCCAACACAGAAGTGTCGTGTACGTCGGCAAGATTGGCACGACTGCGTACATCGAGTATCCATCCTCAAACAGGCGAGCTCTTGTTGTGCGGTCAGCGTCGGCTGGACTTAATGTTTCCAGCATCGTACGTAGCAGACGCGTAATCGAAGACGACCCGAAGAAGCTGATGTCCCAGCAGACAGAGAGACGTACCGTACTCGAGACACGACGACAGCAGACGTTTGTTGTGTTCTAAACGATCACGAACGAGCATCTTTGTTCACTACGTTTGTGAATCATCAGCATGGCACCATCACGCATCCGGGTCAAAGGCGCCGAGACTATTAAAGCCAAGTGAGAATATATCTATAGTTTTAAGTGGCGAAGAACACACGAGCATCAAGCACTTCCTGGGACAATCAAACGCTCCAAACTCTCCTCGAGCATCTCTTGCGCGGTTTTTATCGCAAAAAACCATCACAAAAACAAACCAACTGGCTCCGTCTATCCATTCATTTATCCATGCAAAAACACGTTTTTTAAAACCGTTCGTTCAATCGACTCGCCACATTGCGCATCTTATTGTACACTTTGCCGGGTGGCGCGCCCATAATGAGCGAGCAAATGGCATCTCGGGCCAGTTTAATGTTGGCAAACGAGCCAAGAATGTGGATCTTCTGGTCGGCCAGCACAATCCGCGTGCGAGTGGCATTTTCAACGGCGTACTTGGTTTTGCCATCTTGGCCCGCGACGCGGCCAATGGCGCGACTCAGGTGGTCGCCCTTGAGCATCTTGACATCGTGGACTTCAAAGGTGTCGATGAACAAATCATCGAGACGCAAAAGCGCCACTGCGTCTTGCACTTCAAAGCCCATAGTATAAGCCTGGACGAAATCTGCCGCTTTTTGTAACGCGCCGGCATCGGTCGTCTGCGGCGAATTCTTAAGCTCAATGCACCGTGTTTTGGTATTCATGCGGATCTGCAGCTTCAAATGCTCGACGATAGGTTTCATGAGATTCACCCAATCGTTCTTAAGCGGAGTGTACCGATGTGCGGGTACACGGACCCGACGAAAGTCGTTCTTGCCGCCTGCTTGCTGCTGGGCACTCAAAGCAGGAAAAGTCGGCCGCACGACGCCATCGTCTGGTTCGATTTCCATGTCCATTGGCCCGGGTGACGGCTGCGAGATGGACGCTGCATTGACGACCAGGGCTTGATCAGCCATTGAGTCCACTTCCATCCTTGCTATCGGAGGTACTGCTGCTGTGGTGTCGAGTGATAGTTGAATGGTCGTGATGGGCCAACATGGCTACACAAACGACTGGAGTCGATCCGTTCGCTCGTTTCATTGGATGAAAAGCGACGACAGCTGACGACGGTGCAGTGAGGTACCGGTAGGAGCCGGTATCTGTACCGCCCGTTCGTAAGTTTCAAAAGCGAAAGAAACAAAGACTTGAGGGTCAAATGTGTGGGTGTGGGTGGGTGTTTTGTAGTAGTTTTTTTGCGTAATATAAACATGTGCCCATGCGACAAAGCGAATCGGTTTAGACTTCGTTTTTGTATGTGCTTGCTTTTTGTCATATGTCGCGGCTTTATTGAGCTTTTCGCTCTTGCTTCGTGCGGGAAAAGAGGAAGAGACCAACTAGAGGCGTGCAGCCACCGAGCCAGAGTACAAGAGCCCACAACGGTCTGTAAATACACGAAGCAGCAACAACCGAAAGAAAAAAGGATCGACAGCAAACGTCAAGTCAATAGCTATTATTTACAACAACAAATACAAATATGGTCCATGGACCGACTCACCTGTAGAGACTCCACGCAGCGCCAACGACTGAAAACGTGAGTGCCGCACTCAAGCTGCTTGCCAACACGTGCTGCTGAATACCAGCTGGGAGTGCTCCGTAGCGCTCAAGAAGAGGTCGGCGCAGCACAAGGAAGCCGATAAAGCCTAGCACACCTGCAAATAGCCGGAAGAACCTGGTCTTGCGCACCTAAGCAAACAGTACAGGGTCAGCAAATTACTTTTGACACCTTAACCACCTTCTTTCTTCCACGCAGTGCAGTCAACACGTACCTCTGTATACGTCGCTTTGTCAAACAGCTCATTCGCAGTCATGATTCCGTCCTTCAGTAGAAAAAGCACTTCACCACTTGAGCTTGTGAACGGCACCAGCTCGTGTCCTTTTTGCTTGGCACACACAGTCACTGGATAGTTTGGCGTCACTTCAAAGCGCACCCGTTGATCGCCTAGCACAGGCTCTTCCCTCCGGAAATAAAAGTAGTCGTCTTCCACTGACACGTTCGTCAACGCACTAGCTTGTTCCCATCCTGCTCCTTTGCGTTGATCCAGCACATTGGCCATCACTCGACGACTTGCAGTGTCCAGATGCACGACATCTCGACGTTCAATCTGATCAACTAGCCCATGAGGCAGCGCATATTCGCCCACCACGAGATCCGTCGCTGTCACGACAAGCGACGTGTACGTCCAAGCTTCAGACGGTGGATTCGAATAGCTCGGATCATTGAACCTCATGCTATCCACCACATCTTCTTTCCAGCGCATGTCATACATGAACGTCCGCTCTCGATCATCGTCAAACCGCCGGTCTTCGTCCTCAGGAGAGCTGCTCATTGACGTGTGCGACGTCTCGACCCACTGCAGCATCTGGACATGACGATAAAGACGCACGCCTTTTGCTGCAACGCCAAATGTCAAGTCCAGTACAAATGGACTGCGTCGGAGCGCCACTTTGTTTTCCGGCAGTTCATTCGTCGTTATAGCATCGTCTTTAGACACAGCAGTGGTGATCAATCCGGAGAAATGAATCAGTTGGTCTTCGGTGCTGGGTGAAAAACGGGGGGCAGAGAGCGAAACCGCCGCGGATCTTCCCTCCTCGAAGCTCCTGATACTGCGCACGACGGACGATTCAAAGACCCACGTCGTGGCCACGGAAGCCAAGAGGATGAGCCCTCCAATCGCCTCTTCTTTGTATCGCATGTCACGAAGGACTCGCTGGAATAAGTCGCTTTTTTGAGACGGGAGCCCTAGAGAGGAGGAGGTGTCTAAAAATAGGTTAGCGGGTAGGGGTTGGCTCGGTCGGGATGGATGGAGGACGTCTCTAGTCCTCGCGAGAATGACATCGTAGCTGGTCGTAGTGACTCGTCATCATGAACCGGTCAAGTAGCTACGCCAAGCCGTGCAAGTTCTTCTTGCAGGGCACATGTCGCAACGGCAACCACTGCCGCTTCGCCCACGACGTTAGTGGCAATCGAGACCGCACTAGCGGCAGCTTTGGGGTCCAGTCGTCGCAGTCAATGACGACTCAGGGAGGCACGATGACGGAGGCTGGACGGGCGTTGGCGATCGAGGAGCTCCGACATCCACCCATGTGGCCACTGTCTGGCTTTGCAGTCACAAAGGGGGTATGTGGCTCTCATGCACAAGTTGATGATCATGGGACGAGATAAATGACTGCAGATGGTTCTGTTGGTGGTGCTGTGGTTGTGGGTCTGGTAGCTGCCGAGTGTCGTGACAGGTGACGTGAGCTGTGAAGAAGCTCGATGGGAAGCGTATCAGGAGCTCAAAGCGTCAGGGAGCTGTATGCAATCGAAGCAGAAGCTACAGGCACTGGCAGCGGAGCAGCAGACTCAGCGACAGCGAATCTTGTCACTGTTGGAGGACTACCAGTCGGCACAGAAGCTGTTCAATGGAGAGCTGCTGCCAAGTGCAGGAAGCTTTGGTGAACCAAGTGGGGTGTCTAACCCATTTGGAGGAGGTAGAACCGCTAACCCGTTTGGAGGAGGTGCTGCATCCAATTCGTTTAGGGGAGGGACGGCTGCTAGTCCATTCGGAAGCACAGTGTCATCGTTTGGCAGTGGTGGTAGTAGTGCTGCGGCTGCTCCCGCATCGTCACCGTTCGAAAGCCATGCAACGCAAGCAGTAAGTCCTTTTGGAGGAAGTAGCAGTACTGCGTTTGGAGGTGCTGCTGCGAGTCCTTTTGGGTCTTCGGCGGCTTTTGGTGCGCCATCAGCGGTTGGGACAGGTAGCGGTGCAGGATTTAACGCGAGCCCTGCGGCCAACCCATTCGGAGGAGCTGCCGCTACGTCTGCGTTCAACAAACCTGCGGCTTCTACAGGGAGTCCATTTGGGACAAACCCTACGTCCACATTTGGAGTCGCAGCGGCAGCGTCTTCATCTCCGTTTGGTGGAGCTACCACGGCTTTCGGAGATAGCAGCGCGGGCTCTAGTCTTGCCGGATTCGGTGGGAGTGTAGCTAAGCCGGCGGCTTCACCTTTCGGTTCGTCGTCAGGCACATTTTCGGTCACCACACCATTTGGCGGCACACCGGGCGCACCAACATCGACTACCAGCCCATTTTCCAGGTCGTCGTCGGCATTTGGCTCATCGTCTGGCACCTCTACGAAAGCCGCCGATCCGTTCGGAGTGCCTGCATCATTCAGCACCAACTCTTCGTCTTCGCTTGCGGTGCCATCCAGCAGTCCCTTCGGTGCTCCAGCACTTGCAACAAGTGCCAATAATGCAGCCGAAGTGCCTGAAACCTCACCTGCCGGTGCTTCATCTTCGTTTGGCGGGTCTTCGACACATGTAGTGGATACGCCACTGCATTCAGCTGCTCCATCTGTTTGCGGCCCCTCTCCTGACGCTCGTGACGACGCTTGGAACGCAGAGCAATTCCAGCGAGCAGAATTCGTGTTGGGTATGATACCCACTGTTCCACCTCCACCACAGTTCTGCTAGACTGTAGACGCTGCAGCGAACACGCTCCAAGACGTGCACGATGGACAAAGACTGAGTTGAGGTAGCACGCTTTCATATTGCAGACGAGCAGGGAACAATAATGGACTTAAATAAAGACGATCTACATGCTTCAGCGCAGCTCAACAGGCGTCCAACCTGCTGAACGATCCCGGAGTAGCACGTACCTTCTTCGCTACCACGCGGCCAATGCCAGCACCCATGAAGTTTTCGCCACGCAGAGCACGAAGAGACACATCAGCCGTGCAGCCGTGAGCGCTGTTGAGCTGTACTAGTAGTCGATAGACAGCATCTTTTTGAGCCATTGTCGCACGACCCACCAATCTCGGGCTCTCCGCATACAGGAACACGGGCTGGGTCGTTGCGATCGCTGAGCGAGAGCTGCAGTTAAACCGCTGCAGCAACTCGAACGGCACCACTTTTCCGTCCCTAAACTTCATCATCAGCGTCGCTGTCGGACTCGTCATGAAGAACCCGAGCAGCATACCATCATGCTGCATCACGAACATGAACCGGCACTCAAAAACACTGTCAGACAGTGCAACGTCTGCGCATTTCGTCTGGACCCGTAAGGCGTTCGAGCGCGCTGCCGAGCTCAAGGCCATGGCCCATTGCTGACACATGGACGTGTTCCAGTGTTTAATATTGACGTCCACTTCACGTCCAAAAAACGATGTGACGCGAGAGAATTCGACCGGCTGTAAACGACCCGAAAGTGACTTGGCGTCCAGCGGGTCCAGCGGATGTGTGGAGATCGCGGACGATGTCATGGCGTCTCGATCGCGTGTCTCCAATGGCGGACAGCAAATGAGCTGCTGCAGCACGTAAAACTCGAGCCGGATCGAGACTTGTTGGCACAGCAGCGCGAGTTTATAGATCACACTCTGCGTCATCTTGCTCCGAGGCATGTAGTCGAAAAAGAGAAACTGCAGCGGGCCAAAGTGGAAGCCAAAGGCCAGCAGCGCGTACACAAAGTACACGGCCATAATGAGCAACGTCAGTGTATAGTACGCTGTGCCGTGGAACGCATAGTCGATCTACAAAAAGAGACCAAAGTCCAAAAAAAGAAGAAGACCAAATCACAAATTAGATCCGTTCATCCAATCGACACGGACGCAGATTTAGGATACACGAGAAATAGAGCACAAAAAGTGCATCGTCATTCCTTCGTGTGCAAGTAGAACCGGAACCCACCAACGTACCAGACGGATCTTGAGCCAGCAGTAGACAAAGCCAATCCACATGCGCTGGGAGGGAGAGAGGAAGTAGACGCGGCAGCCGCGGATACAGTGCTGGGCGATGCGGTAGCCCAAGAACGTGGCCAAGGACTCGGCCACGACAAAGTAGCACGAGAAGAGACGCAGATCGCGTGCCATCGACAGCGTCACGTCGTCCTGAAGGCCGTGCGCGTGCGGCCAGTCGAGTCCTGAAGGGCCAGGGAAGCCAAAGCCAGGACCGCCAGGATACAGCGGACGCATTGCGTGATTGCTTGGGTGCGTGCTTAAGAGCGAGGCAAGCGCAAGCTGCCACGTGGGTCCTTGATCTGTTGGTGAAAAGGGAAGTGGCGGCATTCATTGACCAGTCAGTCAGTCCGTCCGTCGACGGCGTGACTGTTCCTGGGTTACGGCGAGTGGGTGTAGGGTTGGGACGAAAGACGCGTCGACCGTAAACGGCGGGTCTTTGTGGCCAGTTTCTGGATCTTTTGCAACACTCGTGACGCGCTCTGTTCTCGGTGAGACATGATACGGAACAGAACGTACGTAGGAATAGAGATTGGCCTGCAGCTGCCAAACGTCTGTCTGTCTGTCTGTCTGTGTGATTTGATCTGATTTGGTAGACTCTAGATCCCAGATATGCATGGCGGATACACGTACTGCAACAGTGATGGAACCTTTCAGGATCATGATATAGAAGGGATGTGGGTACGTGGATCGGTCCGTCCAGATACGATCTGCAATAAAAAAGACAGTAGCAGCTAGATGATACAATAATTAGGATTTGGTCCAATAGAATCTGGTCACGCGGCCGTTCCATGCTCCGATTCGTGTGTTCCGTTCGGGTCACAAGAAGGAACACCGATGATGCTGCAGCCACCAAAAAAAAGGACTTGTCACAGCTTGGTCCCTTCGATGTCTGACAATACCGATTACTACCGGTACAAAACCGCGGTCTTTGTCCAGCATCAAACGCCCGCCCATTATTGCTCACACAGAAAACCATGACAGAGCCTAACGTGCGCTGCGTCGTCTTTGGTCACGAGAAGGACGCAGCGTTGATCGAAGTATTGCGGTTCCTACGTGGCTTCAGTGCCGTCTACGGCTCTGGCCTGTCGTTGCACACTGAGATCGCAGCCACCGCTCCCGACCTCGAAGCGCTCCTTACGACCGAGCTCCAGTCGAATGTCATTCAAGTGAATCCGAGACACGAACACGGTGGGCTTTTTGCGCGCATCTCATTGGACAAAAACGAGCTCGTGCTTTTTGGCAAAACAGCGATTGTGGATTGGATGAAACACGAGCTCCTGGCGACTCGATATTCGTCCAATCATAATCGCGCGTTCGACGTCACATCCGACGTCCCGCCATTGCGGCTCTTTATCAGTGGCGATCGAGCTCAAGTGGGCAAGTCGACCGTGTGTTTAGGGCTATTGGGGACGCTGCTGCAAAGCGGCTATGCCGCTAAGGATGTGGCGTACATTAAACCTGCGACGCAGTGCGAAAAGCCGCAGCTGGTGACGAAATTCTGTCGGCAGGAGGGCATCACTTGCTGTGAAGTGGGGCCAATTGTGTTCTATAAGGGCTTTACAAGAGAGTTTCTCGAGGGCAAGACGGACGCGTCGTCAATGCAGCTGCTGGACAAGGCAAAGCAGAAGATCCGGGAGGTGGGGAGAGGGAAGCAGGTCGTGGTCGTGGATGGTGTGGGGTATCCTGCTGTTGGCTCTATTTGTGGCGTCTCCAATGCGCATGTGGCGCAGACGTTGGCAATGCCAGTGGTGCTGGTGGGGAAGAGAGGTGTGGGTGATGCTGTGGACTCGTTCAATCTGAATGCGACGTTCTTCGAGAGCCATGGGGTCAAGGTGCTGGGTGCCATCTTCAATCGATTGCCTGAAGATGGTTTCTATGGTTTGGAGTACTGCCGGAAATACGTGACTGCCTACTTTCAGCAGTTTCAGCCGGGGAAACACGTCTATGGCTTTCTTCCTGAGCTGACGGATGGTGGGCATAGCGCTTTAGATGCTGAAAATACTGAAGAGGACCAGGATGAGTCTGTCACTAGCGTGTTTCTGACTAAGGCTGAGAGTGAACTGGCTGAGAAAGTTGTTGATGCGTTTGCACGGCGCGTTGACGTGATGAAACTGCTTGCAGACGTGCGGGCATACCAAGCAGAAGGCAACAAAGAGTCAATGGGATCAGCAAAGGAAGTAACGTCTACAGCTTAGAAGCTGAAGGCGAAAACGAAGAAAAGGTCGTCGCATGGCCGCACCTTGGAGATTCCCGCTTCGTTCGAGACGGTGGAGCTTCCGTCATTTGATACTGTAGCGGTCTCAACGTCTCTCGGCACGGTTGAGACTTTGTCGCTAATGTAGTCTGTGGCATTTCCCTTTGTTGGTCCTGATGACACTCTATCGTCGACAGAGACGGGCACTCTTCTATCTTCGTTTGACGCTGTGCTCATCTGAGTGTACGGGAAGGCAAGGCGGCTATCAGGGGGTAAGAGGGACAAGCGCTGTCGAAGCACGTTACCTGGACGGTGTGTATTTGTCCAGAAATGTCGGAGTGGTGGTACCAAGACCTGAATATTAGTGCTAAATGGCCACGAACAAGAAACACGGCTCAAGTTACAACCTCGCTTCTCATGACCCACGCTCTCGTTTTCGCTTCCTGAGGTCTAGAGTACCGAAGACACTCGCAGTTTTTCTTTCTTGGTCCGGACCAAAAGCCAGCATTCTGGTACCCATAAACACCAGCACAAAGCATGTTTTACGATACGATCTTATGACACATCGTTCTGCTGCACTATATGCACGGTGTCTCAAATGGAACGACCTCCATGACGTAAAGGCATTAGTATCAAGCGTGCTCTTGAGCCCGGCGATGTATGGTTTGCCGCTGTCCAAACGGACAAGCAGACACATCGACGCTGTACAGATCGCCTGCTCTCGTTTGTTGCTGCCGTTTCGGACTGCTGGCTTTCGCTCTACGCATTAGGATGCATGCCACCATTATCTCGTGGAGGCTATTCTGCGGCCAATATGAGAACCAAGCATCCTGAGCAGCTACTGATGAGGTCTGCAGCCCAGTCAAGAAACAGCTCTCGTTTACGGTGTGCCATTCGCAGTCGATGTTGTCGAGCTCAAGTAAGCCTAGCATAAATGAAGCGCGTGCAGTGGGGCAACAGAAGCAATTATCAGCCAAGAAGAGTATGCATGCGAAAAGGACTGGCTGGAAGTTCCGTCCGTAGCACTGGGTGGAAGTTTCTTTACTGCAAGGTTAAACCCTTGGAAGTCCCGAAGCCGTTGCTGATCCAGCCTTTAACGATGCAAGTCGCTCTCGATGCTTTTCCAGTCCACGCGAGCGGCAAAATCTTAGACCTCGTCTACTGTCGTCCTAGACGCACGTTGTGAAAAGTTGGAAAGCAGGATGTTGCCACAGTGTCTTGAGCTGGACGCAGCCGACTATCTCGCCGTCTTGTGGGTATCCCTTGCATAGAGGTGCATGGATGCCTATAACGACTTACGCGGTTTTGCGTGCTGAAGTCATGGGTCAAGGGAGGACTGCGCTATTTACAAGCTGTGACGTACGCGCTACACGTCTGACAGTTTAACAGGACGGCGGCGGGGCGCTTTGATTCTGGCAGGTAGCCACCAAAATCAACTCACGGTCGAGGTCTTCGTTTACAAATGTACCGTTGACGGATGAACGTCCGCCATCATGCAACTTACAGCAAGGATCAAAGCTTTCGATCTCATCCGTTGACACATGGCACCCAAGGCTGAATTGAACAAGTATCGAGCGGCAAGCATTGCTTGGCATTGAAGTAACATATTCGGAGCAAGTGCGTACACAAGTTGGTCAATCAAGTCAAGCAAGGAAGTCTTCGCTGGTCAATTGAGTCAAGCAAGTCTTTGCTGGTCAAGTCAAGTGCTCACCATGCTGGAAAACAACACACACAGCCCCAAAAGGCCTTCTGACCGTGAGCTACCGTCCCATGGCCTGCATCCTCACGCCTCCTCATCCACGTCGTTCCCGCGTTCAGCAATCTCGCGATGTTTGCGCGTACTTCCTTCAAGCCCCGCCAACACGTCTTCCCCACCCTGATCAGTTGCCGGAACGACCATGTCAAACGTCTCCGTCACGACCGTGTACTGGTAGTAGCCACACCGGGCAATGGGTTTCGTCTTCTTCACATCCAGAATGCCGTCCGTGAGCACCTCGTCTTTGATGTGCACAGCCACGACTTTCCCAATGATCACGTCCACGGACCCCATGGGCGGATGCCCTGGTAGTCGAAGTGTGCTATAGTACTCACACTCGAATTTGACGGGACTGTCAGCGACCATGGGGACACCTTGAATTCGTCGGGACATCTCTTTGGTCAGCCCCGCACGCTCGAACTCGTCCACGTTTGGAGCCACCTGTTCCGCCGTGATGTTCACCGCTTCCCGGAGCTCCCAAGTTGCCAAATTCCAGCAAAACTTGCCCGTCGTCTCGGTGTTCACGACCGTGTCTTTCTGCTTTCCGGATGGCTTGTGGTTGGCACTGAACATGACATAAGGAGGGTCGAAGGTCAAGTTGTTGAACTGCGAGTACGGCGCGAGGTTGGCTTCGCCAGTGGCATGGACAGTCGAGATCCAGCCAATGGGACGGGGGATCACACACACCTTGAACGGATCGTGCGGGAGGTTGTGGTCGCTTTTGCCGGGTTCGTAAAACATGGACAATTGAGAAGTAAAGGGGATGTTTGGTGGCAAGCTCGGGGTGAAAAGCACGCCTTGACAAGCGAAAGGTGACGGTTCTAAGAAGAGCAGCGGTGATGAGGTATATTGTACCGCGGCTTCTTGAGCTCAACAGGTTTTCCAAGAAAGGTCGAGACGTGATTGAAAGAGCCGTCCATTGGATCAGCAACTGCTAGAACCTAGCAAAATTGCCATCAGCGTCCAAGAGCTCCCTATGGATGTTCTAGCTTGCCATGCGCGACAGGAAAGCTGACCACCCGATGTTCACGACGTTGATAAACAGCACTCGGTAGTGCAACGGCACGAAACCAAAAGTGCCGACGTGAACCAGTGGCCACACGGCATAATTCGCTACAAGCGTCGGTTGGAGCTTCGCCGCTGTCTTCTGCATTGTATCATGCACCGACCGGCCTTCGGCGAAGCCAGCATAGGTGAAGAAAGCCAGCATGAGGGGCGGGGTGGCCACAAGCTGGTCAGCAGCTATTTTCTTGCCAATTGATAACACGGTGTTGCCTCGCACGGCTTTTTCAAGAAAGTTGTACCATGCGTGGTTAAATGGGGCGAAGAAGAGGCCACCCCAGACCATCATCCGAGCTGTTCGGTGCAGTCCGAGGCGGTCGATGGTCTTTTCTGCGTCGCTGTTGTCGCTGTTGGATGGTTCGGAAGGTTCGATCCGTTGTGCAAGTCGGTCCCCAACCCCAAAGAGAACGGCCGAGGTGATGGCTTTTGTTATTAATGGCGAGTGCTGCAGCCATCGATCGTATTGGAGACGAAAGCCACGCATGGATGTTGCTACTTTTCTTTTGGGCGAGGATGTTGTGGGTGGACAAGGTGTTGGATAATGAAGTATCTGCAGCGGCAGTGGGGCTGCTGTTGCAGATAGAGCACCGAACGAAAGTCGTCAGGGATCATGTTGAAGCCGTTCGTGGTAAATGTGACGCTTATGGCTGCGATGGTACGGACGTGTTGAAGGATTCTAATTGTACAGCTGGAATGCGACTCAAGTGGCCGATTCAGCTGCAAACGTGGGTAACTTCAGCCGTGTTCATTTATCTATAGAGACGACCACTGGTTAGAAAGCAAGCGAAAATATCTCAATTTGCGTAATGGCTTAGTGTCCATTTTATTTAGAAATGGGCACATTCTGAGATGACGACGAAACGAAGTTAAAGCAGTACGTTACTGAACAATGGTTCCGGCGATTGCAAACCCCAGCCAAGCAGACAAGTCGTAGGCAATTTCGAAGCTGTACAACGGTCGAATGACAAGGAAGTCTCAACATGCTGCTAAAGTGTCACCAACCACGAGCTTCAACCTGTGAAGAAATGTATTTATCTCCCGACTGACTCCGCAATGACCAATTTGCCTATGAACGCCCTATAGCGGCACATCATTATCGTCAGAAAGCTACATGAAGCTTCTGTACCATTACAGAAGCTTCATGTAGCTTTCGTGTAGAGTACAGGAGCCCTTTTTCTCCAAAGCATATAGCTGAAGGGATTTGACTCGCATACGAAGCCGGCTCGCGGAAAAAGACAAAGCAAGTTCTTGACATTCGTAGTAGTGTGTCAACGGGTGGAATCCATCATGGATCAGTTCTTGTGTACGTGTCGAATAGACAGAAATGGAGAAGAGACGCGACACTTTTGCGATCAAAGTGATGCATCTGTACTTGTCGTGGATAGGACGTGACAGTTGGCATCTCCTCAATACACAAGCTGCTGCATGATCTACTTGCCCATGAACATGAAGAGAACAGTCATGGCGATAGACGAGATTGACCATCTCCAGAAATCCTACTCATAAGAAGAAAAAAAAGGCAAAAGGAAAGACGACAGCAGTCTGTGTGCGGCCGTTTGATGCCTACGCTGGCGTGTGTTCAGGTCAACTCAGCTCACTTCGTGAGTAATGAGTTGTACATGATGCTACGAAATCGATGCGTCGAAGTTGCTACGCCCTGATCAATGCGTCATACAAGTCATCTATCTGCAGACATTCTTCACTTGGATCAATCGCATCACCACATGTTGCTTCCTTTTACATAAACCCCGACACACCTGTCACGGTCGTGGGTATCAAGTAACCTTCCACACCGTCATAAAGCCGTTTGACCAAAGACTTTGATCTTTTGCGCCCATGCATACTCAGCACGCACAAATGCGCTGATCTGAAAAGCAGGTCAGTGGAATGAGCTGGTAACGATCCAGCTACCTCAAGGGACTACTTGTCCTCGACCCAAGATGGTCCATAGCGTCCAAGTTTGAGCTCACATCTGCGTGTTTTGCAGGAATTGACTTTGGCGATGCTAGCTGGTAGATCTGGTTCATTCGGAAGGTGCCCATGTAATATCAGCACTCAACAATCGCGTACGCTTTCAGCGCCACAGGTCCAATTTCTACCGCACCATCTGAACGCTTGAAGACCGCATCCATCGTCAGCAGTGCAAGCACGATCGCGACATTTCGGGTGCTACTGACGTGACTTTGGAGGTTTGTGATGCATTTTTACACACTGCAGCAGGTATCGGCGTACTCGAAGTATGCGTCGAAAGCGATCAGTTCCATTGACGGTATCTTGCTTGCATCCTTCAGTCAGGATCAACAAGCCTGAAGCTGAGATCCATCCCACGTCCTCAGCTTTACGCGTGTTGATCCTGACTGGAACGTAGAATTCACTTTACGATGTGAAAAATCGCGACTCAGGCTAACAGCAGCTTTCGCGCGACTTGTCTGTTTACTAAAAAAACAATGAAGTCTGGCTCAAGCAAGTCGCGCGTAGTGGTCTGGCTTGCACGCTAGGGTCAATCTGCGTTCATCACTTGTTTCCTGCGTGTTCGGTCGCACATGTAAACTGCCGTTTGACCGTCAACAAGCCGTCACAACGGACATACAGTTTCGTCGAGAACCGTTCAGTCAGACATGCGTGTCTGACCGACAAGAGGCCTTGCCTAGCAGGCGTATCACTGTCGTAAAGTCCTTGCATCTTCCGTGAGATCGAAAATAGTTGATGCTTGAACGGACCGACCTCGTGAAAGCTCTCTCAAGTCTCTCGGGTTACCGTTTCTAGATGTAGTTGGTCGAACTGGACGTAGGATGCAGCTGGATGCTGAAGAAGATGCTTGCCTTCAAGCACTTGTGCAAATACTCACACAGTCTTGGTCTAGTAACATGGACACCTCAGAAGTGCTTTGTGATGAGCCGGTTCATGAAATCTTTGAGAAAGAGTTCTCAGATGGCTTTACCTGGAAACCAATCAACTTTGCGATCTCTAGAATGATGGAGTGCACAGGTTCCGCACAGTTCAATCACCCACCCAACATTTGGACTGTCTGCACGAACGTCATCGTGGCAGGAGCTCTTGTAAAATGCCTGTCTGTTGCGCAAAGCTCATGTGAAACTACTTTGATCAGCAGTAAGATGTAAACTGCCATGTAGCGATACTCACGCGTATCGTTCACATGGTTTTATGGTAGCAGTACGTCTTGTACTGGCCTGTTACCTCAACCCAACCAGCACAACTTTTTTCTGCTGCCTTGCACTTCAACGTTTTGTACTTACAGTCATACGTAGCAGCAGTGATGCTAGTTGCTCGGCGGGTGCACTATGGGCAATAGTAGACAGGTGGCGAATATGCCAATCGCGTATTGGCCGCTCATGAGACTTTTGGAATTCTCTCGCTCTTCACTGGTCATGTTGACCTGGCTTGTTGCCTACCCTCGGTAATAATCTGCTTTACATACGAGGATTGAGCAAGTTTGCTCATGTTAGATGACTACAGTGAATGAACATGTAGATCGTACATTGTGATAATCATGTGCGTGACGATAACATCTGGAAAAGAACGACTTTGAGCCGAGATGCATATCTCACGACTTTGGCATCGTATATCGAGCATCAAACTGGGTATACGTCTAGGTTGATCGAAAACAACAGAGTGCCGGGTACTTGCTGTATCCGATGCAGCGAAAAGACGATTGGCATCATCTTCTATTACCAAGTGAATTGGAACACAATCGGAACGATCATGTGTACAATGTGGAGCAAACATCGCAATAGAAAAGGATGTCACTTGTTAGTGGGGCATTCAGTCTAACCGCGCAGACAATAAATAAAAAAAGGGAAAACGTCTCACTTGCTGCACACCCTCAAGTGCATCCAACGAACCCGCACGAATTCAAATCGGTGACTGCTTTGCTACTTTCGCAAAGGCATTTCGGTTGCAATCACTGGACAACACATTGGTTCGAGCCAAACACGTGGTCGGAAGGTTCCGGCTCAGGTCGAAGTCGACGCGCTTCAGCAAGGAGCAATTTGGCTCGTCGTCGACGACGCCACCAAAGTTGCAGCAAAACCACAGCCCTGAGATCAATGCGCTCCTGTTCTTCCAATGGCACTGAACCTGGACCGTAGACAGTAAGCAGTCCCACTCCACCGGCATCAAACACGCGCGGCTTACGCACTATCATCTTTGTCATCGTACGCTCTTCAGCAGCGTCAAAAGAATCCACTTCTTCGATCACAGCCCGTTGAAATGCAATCAAATCCTCGTCGAACGCCTTGCGTCGACTCTCTGGTACGAATGGTGTCAACACAGCACCCAAAATGCCTGTCGCCCCCGCAACAATCTCGTAGCTGGCGCTAATCGTATTCATAGCCAGCGACCGGACACCCAAGTACGCACCACTTATAAGTTCCAAAGGGCTGCCGGACGCTAAGCCGCGCGCGGGTAAGCGGATCAGCTCCACAACGCCATGACCCAACCGGTAGACGATTCGAAACGGGTTGGCATACACCGACACCGTGTGCAGGCCACGCAGGACCAGAATTACAGCTTGCTGAGAGTACCGCCGCGTAACCTTCTCAATCACGCTTGCCTGAGGCTCGTACAAATGTGTAAACGAGAGCTTTGTCAGGTACAAGCGAAAGTCCTTCACGTTCGACTCGGGAAGATAAACCGCTAACCGCCGACCGGATGGGCCTAGTGTCTTGATGTACCGCCCGCCATTCAGTTCCATGCTAAATTTGACTCGGATAGCTTCAATTACAAGCTCTTCGATATACACACCACTAGCGTCTGCAATTGAAGCACTCACAGTCGCGCCACCTCCGACAGCACTTCGCTCATCCGACTCCGCGGTAAGGGTACTACCGGATCCGCCAGCATAGTCAAGTTGCGTGTTCACAATTTCGTCAAACACGTGTTGACTTGTGAGTCCCTCCAAACCTTGGAAGACGCTTATAAGGTTTACAACAAACTTCTCGTCCGTTGAGACCTCCAGTTCTTGCACATCCAGCTCAATAAGCTCATAATGGGTAAACTCGCCGGCGTGGCAGCTCGAATTCCACAGCATATGAAACTGAATGACACTCGAACTGTTTGTCTCCAGCTCCTCGAAAATGCCACGGTACCGATAGTTCATGAAACTACGCCAGCGATCCCGTAGCCGCACTGACACACCTTCTTTGACACGATGCACCTTAGGGCCAAGCACAACTTCTTGCTCCATTTGATTGTCCATCTGTACGTTTCCGAGCGAGAAAATGACCTCGCTACTACCACCTGCACAGGAGTACAACAGCCCAAGGCGTTGCATGGAAAGATACGCCACTTCCACCATGCTGGAATTCGCGTTGTGGAGGAAAGACAAGCCAATGCTGGGAATAATTGCACTCATGCTGTAGATGCACGTGGGCTGTGTGTGCTCACTTACAGACGTGCGGAACTTCAGCGCCACCAGCACTTCTCCTACGAGATCGCCACTCTCGGGATTCCGCATTTCCCACCAATGCCCTTCTGTTCGCCCGAGCGATCGACGCGCCTGTTCCGCCGTGTTAAAAGAAAGAGCAATCGATTGTTTCGCACCGACACCCATCCGTGTCCAAGCTTTCTTTGGGATCCTGATCTCAGCACACCCAGCTGCACTGTGCTCTCGGTCCATGTTGTGACGATCATCCGTGTCAAATTGTCTTGACGAGGCATACGACTCGCTCGCCCGGTCAAATTCACTTAACTGCATTCCTCCTTCTGCATACGAGAGATCGCTTTCCTTGTGGTCGAACTCTTGATTTCCTGGCAACATCATACTCTCCGAGACGTTGCCGGACAAAGAGTGACGACGTCGAACTGGAAAAGCCGCGGGCGTACGCATTATCTCAAACGATGTCGAGACGTCTTCAGCCCTCGGGCTTTCGGATTCCCGAAGCTCCGAAGCACCGAGCGCCTGCTGCGTAAGGCTGCTTCCAGCTCGGTTGGCATGATTACCGCTGAAAGAGCGATCATCACCGATGCCAACGGACGACGTATGACGCAGAAAGGAATCTTCTTCGTATGCTTCATTCTCGTAAAAGCTTAACGTGAGTTTCTTTGGACGGGAATCACAGGCGAACTCAACGTCAGAATCGAAGCGATACACACGCGCAGTCTTTAGCATCTTAGATTCCGTCGCTTGTCCCTTCAACGTAAAACACGAATGCCGTCAATATAAAACAAATGTCTAGCTTCGCATAGTGTACAAAGACTCACCGCGTGGTTGTCAGTTTCCGCAATGAATTCCGCAGTCGAATTCGGTTTCAGAGAAAATTCGTCACGAAGACGTGCGGCAATGATCTTTACTTCGAGAATATAACTTGGCGGTTTACCTGGATTGTGGTCGCGGAATACCAGCACGCGTGAGGCTCGATCTATGACAATATCACCCGACACAATTTTCGATTTGTTTCCGAATATCCGGTAGCGCAAGGTGTCAATGTTCCGCTCCCGGTCCAGATTTGCGAAATCGTACACGCCGTATCTTCGAGACACCATTTCGTGTCGACCCACTACACTTCCAGTTCGGCATGCAACTCGCCTATACATATGCACGTCAGCTGTAAGCACCTTGATCGCAACACGATGAATGAATCAAAACCATTGAGGCCCAACACTTACCATGGTCCGTCTGGTTTCACCCAGGCAAAAGGAATAAACTCCTTACTCCGAATCGCAACGGTTTCATCCGAGCAATGGACCTGGCTCACAAAGACGTCCGAGCTGGATTCGTTGCGAATCATATACATCGGTGGGTCATCTCGTAGTAGCGTAATAACAATGCTCGAGCCCACGTTACTGACCCGAACTTTAACGCGGTGCATTTCTGAGGCGCTGCGTCGGAAGCTCTCCTTTCCTTCCATGTTACTGCTACCATCTTTCCAAGTATTCAACACCAAACCGTTGAGCTTCATTGAGAACTCGTTTTCTTCGTCAATCGAAAAAGGTCCGCTCCATTCCGCTCCGTGGTGATCCATCCGCAAGTAAACTCGTCGGTTCATCAAGCTCGTCGTGGCATCGAAATCAAAGTAATGTGTTGGTGGCATTCCTCGTATCGGCATGGCAGGCAGCTCCACTGCCCGTTCAGTTGCTTTGGTGTACTGTGAGACCTTGAATGCTACCGGAGTTTTGTTTACGAACACAAAGTGAGAAGTGACAATCACTTGGGTCGTGCGATGAAACTGACCCAGCGGTCGCTGGATCATTATTCCCAATTCGTTGCGAGTTTTAGGACCCAGCTTGCTTCCAAACTTTAGACTGATTGGTTCTTGGATGCCCACCACTGTGGAGTGAATTTTGTCCGACCATCGAGAAACTTCAGTATCGATAATAGTGCCTATCTCAAACGCCTGGGCCGGACAGTCCATCAGTCGTGGCACGGGACGTTGGGGAACAAGCTGAGGCACAACCAAGACTGGCGCATCCGGATCGTCGGCACAGCGGAGCAGCAGCGTTTGCACGTGTGACTGATTGTACACCCACAGAGAGCAGAACAGCACAATACGAGGACTTCCATCATCTGCAGCTGTGTAGTCGATGCGAGTCACGACCTTTTTCGAGGAGACGTCGCATTCCTTGAAGGCAATACCAGGACTTTGGGGAGACGGAAGAAACTCCACGATTGGATCCCAGGCACCAATGGCACCCAACATGGACTTAATCGACTTGTCCATCCCCTCTCGGTAGATGCAGTCACCCAAGTTGATTGGCCGACTCCAAATTGAATCCATTTCAGGAAGCCGCAGCATCAATTGCGCGTCGAGCTGGAAATCGTGGATCGGGATTTCTTCACCAGGAGAAAGTGTGCCCGACCGAATCATTTTTCTCAATAGTCCACTGGCAACAATTTTGTACTGTACTCGAACTGGAAGGGTGTTCTCAAACATCAGACATGAGTACAAGCATATCTGATACTTCGTCGCATACGTCTGCAACTCCCCGTCCATGTTCGTGTATCCACGAGCAACCATCTCATGGTGTTCTTCTCGGTACACCTTGCGCATGTGTGACGTAATTTTCACATACAAGCAACAGTCCAAACCTTCGGCATCTACAGCTTCTAATGATAAAATTGTGGATCCTGCTGTCAGGTTGTTCAAGTTCGCAACAACCGTGGGCTTACATCCATCGACTTTCACAACAACTGAGTCCTTTTCATCGCCAAACATTGCGCTTATCGGAACTGACATCTTGTTACTAGTCGTCAGCATCATTACTTTGCTCGATCTTGGCAGAGAACCGTTCTACAGCATCAAAACGATAAATCAGTACCACGTCGGAGCCAATTGTGTATAAGCATAGTCATCAGCATACCTCGCCAGAGGCTAGATGTGTGCGACAAGTCCACAATTCCATGTCAATACTGGTGTCTGCACAATAAAATGTCGGTACACATGTTAGCACATTCAGTGATATCGAACTCATAGTGCTTTACGTTACGAACCATTTCTCAATTGTACAGGCGAGCTGAGAAGCAACACTCGTCGTGACTCGTCTCTCTGCGCAACCTTTACCTCGGCCAGCACATGTTCGCCCTGAATGAGAAACTTTCCAGCACGACGTAGCGGGCACATCAAACTCAGTCGTGATGAACCAATCAAGACTTCCAACGCTAATGGTGGGATGTAGCTTCCGCGTAAGCCATCAGACAGCATGACGTGGTCGTTGCACGGGTTCGAGCAATCATTTGCGTTTGCGGTAACGATCTTTAGGGGATCAAAAATCAGAAACTGGCCGTCTTTCACTTGCTGGGATTCGTTCATCCTAGCGGGAAAAACGGGAGTATCCAAGTTCGGTACGAAATGCAGGCCTACGAAAATCTCGCCAGTGGTATTTCCGCGTAAATCATGAAGTCGATACCACCGGTTTAGCTTCATCCGATTATGATCAAGTGAGGCCATGACGTTGCCGGCCAAGTTAATCTCTGCTGATCCAATGGAAACCCATTTGGCTCGATGGGAAGAACCTGTGCTGTCTCCACGATTCAAATACGCTCGTGTGCTAGGCGGTGTCAGTGACTGCGGTGGTGATGTGTCAGCAAAATCATCGTCATCATCGTCTGCTTCAACTTCGACGTACTTGTTTGTTACGTGATCAAATACATAGTTGCGCTTCCCTTCATCGATCGTAAGCACATCAACCCTCAGAATTGGAGTGACACCCGACTGGGCACCACCGTAGGGAAGAGTGAACTCATGACGGAAGTTCTCGACAGCCTGTACCTCGCGTGGGTGCCACCAAGGCAACAATACCACTGATACACGAACATTGTGAAAGCGTGAGTATCCTGGAAATGACCATCCATCTCTTACGTCCACGTGAAGCGTTCCTGCGTGCGAAGTGTTGAGATTGGCAAGTCGAATCGGGACGCCAAGATTGTTAAGCACACACACGCGTCCATTCTCCTTTTTTGCTTCCCCATCAGCAGCCACAGCGGCGAGTGTCCGTTTTTCAACAATAAAGTCTTGCTTGCGACGGTTTTTAGCGATACTGGATAGCAACCGAATCAGTGAGTCGGTGCAGTTCACATTCAGCCGCTGGAGCGCAGTTAGCTGCATAGTCGTTCCATCTCCACCATCACAGCTTCTCGCCTTTGCGTAAGCTCGCCAAGGTTCAACAAACGGCTCCCAGTCTGCCAAAGATGTATTATAGTATCGTGCAGATACTTCAACACTAGCGTCTGCTACGTAGTCTCTCATAAATTCGGTTCGCGTCACGCACTGCATCTTCATGTCGCTCACGGAAAAGTTCATCACTGGAATGTAAGTGTCCAATGAAACCACGGACAAGCTTCTCTTGATAACTTCGAACACTACCGAATGGAAAGTGATGGATATACGGTCATGGATCCTCCCCATTCGCAGTCGAGTCCGAAAAATAGTTTTGGAGGAGCCTTGACGATCTAATGGCCCGCTGGAAATGCCGACAAATGACTGGTAATTCAATAATGGGATAAATGCAGATACCTTTGGTCGACGCTTCAATCGCTCTTGGTTCATGTCATTCACCCCGTTGTTGATCCCCACAGAGGTCGCGGTGGACATTCGACTGCGGCCCGATGGAGACACATACGGGCGACTAAAGCTAGTTCCATAATTCGGCCGCAGCTCGTGCGAGTTCTGGTTTTGACCGTTTAAGTGCACCGACGATAGCCCCTTCGAGTGAGAGGATTGGCGTCCAGGCAGAACGTGCACATCGCACTCGTTCCTGCCAAAATCACCTTGGTCACTATCCAGTGTGACCTTTCCCTCTTCAACGTTATCGGATTCCGGCTCGCCTGCGATATCGTCTGACGTACGATTGGACGTGAGTGCCTCGAGCAGTGCGAAAAGCAGTTCCAACCTCCGGTCTGCTTCAAGCTTGACTTGGCCAATCGAAACATTAACGGAGCGATGGCACACCGGCCTCTTTGCCGAATCGTCAGTACATAGGGCGCATCCACCAACACCCGACGCCGTCGGCCGGTGTAGTCTGAGGTCGTAGCTGAGCCGGAATTTGTCTACTTGAACAAGGCGAAGCGCGACATCTTCAGTAAGCACAAACAGCGCAGAAGGACCGAAGTGCAGTTTCAAATTTTCCACTCCCGGGTCACCTCGGTACGCACATAAACTGTCTTCAATCGTCAGCTTTGCGACGCAGTGAGAATCTTCAAGGTACGCCTCCAGAATTGGAGCACGAATCTGAATTCCGAGCTCAGGTACTTCTTTCCAGGAAACAGCGAAACCCGGATCGAGTGCACATGTGAGACTAGCTTCACTACGTGTAGTGTTCGTATCGGCAGCCCACAGCACGTTCAGCACGTCGATGATTTCAAAACAGACCGGTACTAAAGTAAGCGGCATTATCCATCCGGATATTGTGAGATCTACATGAAGCCCGCTTTGCAGTACGAAGCAATTTAATCCTGCGTGTGCTCCTCGATAGGACATGCGCAGCATGAGAAAAGGTCCATTATCCAACTGGTCCGCTCGCATCTTTCCAGGAGTCAAATCGCCATTTTTCAAGCTCAAGAACTTGTCACCAATGTGCAACACACCGTAATCTGATGACTGACGATGGTCCAGTGCGGTAAAACTATTTAGACGAAGACAAAACACGAATGCGGAGCCATCCCGGTCCGATGCATTATGCATATCTGTAGCGAAATTTACGTTAGCAATGCTTAACGAAAACCAGGAAGACTGCTCGTTCCTCAGAGTGGTGGCTGCGCGGTAGACGCTTGAAAAGCCTCCTAGCAAGAGCTCATTCAAATCAAAGCCGTTCCATTGCTCAATTTTTGGGGTTTGTGCAATGTTTTCACCCTCAACAAGAAGATCTTCCACCGATGACTCATACATAACTTCATCTTTCTCCGCCTCCGCATCAATCGCTTGTTTTGACGCGTTTCTGGCACCGGCTTCGATGCAGTGCTTCCACTTCTTCAGCTCCGCCAAACTGTCAGCGCTCAGCACCTTTCGAACAAAACCCGATCGGGTCGTAATTTCAAGAGCCTCGGTTAGTTTCCCATGCTGCGAGCCCCACGGTCCTCCAGATGTGTCGATTAACATGGTCACTTTACAGCCTAGCACGCTAAACTCATCAAGCACATCCGCGCCCGAACCATTGCTGTGCATCGAAAAAGTGCCATCGTCATCCAAGTGACACCACGAGCGACGCCATCGCCGGAATGCGAGAGAATCGTCTCTGGTATATAGCCAGCCCATTTTTTCGTTGTCTCGGTACAATATCCAGCGATTCCTGGTAAGCGCCAAGCGAACCATTTTCCGCTTGCGAACGATGGCGCCTCGGATGAAACGTTGCATCACTACAATTGCCTGCGCTGCTCTAGCCCAATCGGGAATCACAGGGGGTCCACTCGGCTCATCGCCGACAAGCTGCTTTAGCAGAGCTCGATAGGAAGGCTCGTTTGAGATTTCAACCGGTGCAACCGGCTTTTGGTGGGCACTGATAAACAGCCGCAATAGTTCAACTTTGACTTCATACGAACAACTACTGTCTACTGAGGGCGAATCACCGACAGAAGCATTAATGGGGTTAGTCGTTGCGTGAGATGACACGAGTTGAGAGCTCAATGATGGGGGTATTGTATCCAAATCGACTACTGCTCGAGGAACGCTGGATGGGGGCATGCCAGTAGAGGAATCGTCCAAGATTGCATCAAGCCAGTCGCGCCATTCACCGACTAGTCTCGACATCTTTGTTTCATCAAAAACCGCAATGGAATTACCAAGTGCCACCGATATCTTCGATCCATACGTCTCGATCTTTCCAGCATAAGCATCTGGATGTGCCTCATAAAGGTGATTTATGCTACATCGAAGGGCTGGGATCTGCAAGTCATCAGAAGTGTCCGCGATTTTACACAAGCTCGAAGCAATACAATGATTGCCTTCATTCTCCTCTCGCGCCATACTTTGCACATAAAAATCTTTGATCAAGACTTCGTAGAAGTGATACGAAAACAAACTGGGTCCAAAACCGGTGACGGATACTGCAGGGTTGTCCAACATCACTTCCACGATGACCCGTTTCTGGACAGCTCGTACGAGGGAAAAATTAAGTTGATCCGAAACAAACGAAACCTGCGCGACAGCGCGAGACGGAGTGACCTTATCAGGCACCACAGAAGGGTGTCGAAAGGTCAGCACCTTCGTTCCTGACATCGCATCGATAGCTAGCTCCAAATCAAGTCCGGATCTAAATCGGAACGCTGACCGGATAGGCTCGTCGTTTACTTTTACCAGCAGAAGCCCCGGCTTCACACTTTCTATTGCTGCAGCAGGACTTTTCTCTACACAGCGCTTGATTGCCACGTCCCCAGATGGCAGTAGATCAAATAGTAGCCCTGTCGGGCCTTCATGAAACAGCACACTGATCTCAGGAAGCGGGATGCCCATTGCATCGCGTATGTCGTACAGAATGCTAGAGCACGGCACTGTCTTTCCCGCAACACGTTCCAGTCCAAGACGATTCCGGATTGCTACAACTACTTCATAAGGAAGTCGCTGCTCGATTCTCGTCGCCTTATGCCATGCGTCGCTCTTTTTCAGTGCATCCATTCCTTCGGATTTCTTGACCATGACCTGGTTCCAGAGCAGCAAATAATCTTCCGCCAGCTCCGTCATTGTGGCCTCACAACTTGCTGTTCGGTGCTCCGATGCCTTGACCTGATCCGCTACCACAAGCCTCCACTTCTCGTGCCCAGAGAACGAATCGGCAATAAGGTTTAACACCGACAGCTGCTCTTCGTCCAGTGTCACCCGTATCCGCGACAAGTGAAACACTGCATCATACCGCGGATCGTCCGTCTGTGTATGTTGCGCTGCAGTATTCATCGTCAACTTGAGCGCCACGTTGATCGGTGCCACCAAAAAACGGTGTGCATGTACACTCTCTTTCGCATTCCACCAATCCGCCTTCGCTGCTTTCGACCCCATCTCTTTCAGCCTCGACAACGTCAACTGCAACACCTTTGGATGTACCCTCGAGTGGATAAAATGTAGTGCATTTGGGTCCACATACGCCGACAGGTCAATAGCATTAATCAACTTGAATACCAAATGGTTGCTTTCTTGTGGACTCTCGTTCGTTTGATCATCGAAATTTCCAACTCTCCAATTGCTTGACGTCGTGACAGCTGAGAGTGCTCCTAGTGTAAGCCCTACCGCATATCGCGTGCCATCCCTGTCGCTATAACTCGATCCCGACGTGGGTGAATGGTCCCTCATAGGTCGAGACGGAGACCAAGCTCCCTCCACTCGAATGTGCAAATTTCGAATCTCGACCTGCAAATTGTCAATGAGCTTTGTCATCGTCCGGCCTATCCATCCGTCGGTACCAAAATAGCCTTCACTCTCGTGAGGGACCGTATACTCCGGTACTTGAGGCCCAGTCCATCGGTCCTGCAGGTCTTGCTCGAGCCCGTGCATCTTCTGCTCGACTAGACCCAGGAGCTCGTCCTGCAGTTCTGCTTCATCATGTTCCAGAGGTTCGAGCACCAGCAAAACGTCCTGGAATTTAATTTTGGCCGAACCACTCCCAAAAATAGCAGAAAGTGGCAGCTCGGCCTCAAATAGGCCCACAAACCCCGTCTTGAGCCGAAACGGCAGCCACGTCGGCACGACGCTGGCCTTGAGCGTCACGTTCTCAAGCTTGAGCCGCTCCAACGACCGCCAGAGTTCTGTCGATACATTCACTGTCTGACTCTCGACATATTGACCCAGGAACTGCATGATCCACGACTTGAGCGCGCCCTCCAGCATCTCGTCTCACTTGCTCCGGATGCTAATAAATACAAACCAAAAATAGAAATAAAAATAATAATAATAGACCAAGCTGACTTTTCACGATGAAACGACGTATGAGTGGATGAAATGTAAGGGCGGAACGAATGAACACACAATTCAGCCAATCAGAGCAGCGATCAGCCGACGTGAACGAACGTCTACAATGAAGCAGCTGCTGCAACAGAATTAGTAACATGCCGAGTCTACATTTTGCATTCTTAAAAATGCAAACCACGGCCTATTCTGTAGCACGTTGAGACTCTAACGTTATCAGACTACTTCACGACAATACGGCAATATCAACCTGGAACAAATACCGACTGCAGCCACACCAAAGCCGACTAATTCAGTCATCCACGTCGGGCTCTCGACCGAGCAATTCGATGGTGCATTGCATCGACGTGATTGATTGTTGTAACAGGCGCGCTGGATGTGCTCCACTCCCCGGGACCGGGACCGCCGCTAAACTCATAACGGACACGCGTCACGTAGCTTTTCGAATAGTCGAGACCAAAGATTGTTGTCACCATTTCGCAGTCGCTGTCGCTTGCTAGCACAGGTCGACCGGACCAGTTCTTCCACACTTTCATCGTCCAGTCTCGGGAAAACTGTACGTGGTACGACGTGGCTTTCGCGTGCACACACCAGCGTACATGGATCGCAGCCTATGCCAAGCAGACGTAATTGTTAAGAAAACTGGTCGACGAACACAAGGAAACCCTCGGACACGCCGTACCTTCAACGGCGAATCGAGCATAATCTGTGTACGTGGAGAAGTCGGCACGGCGCTGAAACGTGGTTCCCACCACGCGCCATCGAACCCGTCGTCACGACGAAAGGGTTTGCGCAAAAACGCAGCCAAACGTGACGACTGTCGACTCGACGTCAAATTCATGTCTCCGAACTCGGTAATCACCGAGCTGTTCTCTGTAGAGCGTGCACTATCCGCGTCGCCAAAGCTTTCCGACACGACGGCGTCTTGGCTGTCCGAATCATCCCGGTCTTCTTCCAAACCCGGTCGCTCCGGAAACAAAAATGCTCCAGCCGCAAGGGGTACACGAAAATCGCTGTCGATACTCCCCCAACTAGACCGTCTAGCAGACACCTCTTGCTGCTCAGCGCCTGACGCTCGACGCACTACCATTTTCGTGCGAAACCGCAGGCGAATCGGGCGTGGCGCAATCTTTAAAATGCGCAGGACGTCTTGAAACTGCAAGTTTGTAATACTCTCTCCGTTCACTGACTGCAGCGCATCTCCTTCCTGCAAAATGCACGCGAATAAACTTTTAGCGTCCATCCTTTCCAGTGAAGTCAATGAAAAAACAACAGCGCAGATCCACACGCACTCGAATCGGGTGCGAAACTTGACCGACACTGAAGATCGTGGACTTGACAATGGTCTCTGGAATCCGATGGCCCAAAGGGTCGATATGCTCGTGGCTCTTGAGTGTCAACCCCAATTTGTCTTCGGTAAATACCACCTATCAACAGCACCAACAATAGCAAAAACAGGCACCCATTATTCACTGGTCAGTTCGTTTTGAATCCGGATATTATCCACGGATAAAAACACAGTCTATACTATCGAAAAAAAACCTCATAATCCTCATAAGACTGATCGCCACAATAAGACAACCGCTGCACACTCGACGGCGGGTAGTTGCTCACTGTGCTGCTGATACTGCAGGCTGAGACACTGAGACTACTGCTGCTGGAGGAGCGGTGGCGCACGTGGCGAAGCGACGCGGATGAGCAGCGACGGCTTTGCTCTTGCGGGTAGCGACTCGACGAGGACTCCATTGGTAGGACTGACACCTTTTCACGAGAAGAGTCAGACTGGTCAGAGCTGTCAAATTGTGTGGTTGATGGAAGCAAAAATAGAGATGGGAGTATTTGTCTGGACCAGATGTCTGGATACAACTTAGAGTGTACTATATATTGCTGAGAGCGTTCGAAGAAAGGCCGCTACGACTACTCCACTAGCGAATCGCTGTACCTTTCGCGTGTTTTATGCACGTCGATCGACCAAAGATGGTCAATAATTGAGGCGAGCATTCATTATAGGTAATCCAAAAATAGCTCAAATCAGATTTATTCAAACTAAAAAAAATCGAAGAACAATAATAGAAATAGCTAGAGTCACAATTTTTTTATTGGCGATTGTATCATCCGACGATGGCACACCCACGAGCTTCATGGGAGCGAGAGCAGCGCGTGTTTTCTTTTCAATCGACCTGCTATATTAAGACAATTAGTTATGCCATGAAAACGGCACTGGAGTCTGCATTGGTGGTGCAGCTTTTTGGAGAAGATTCGGACGTGTATATTGGTGCAGACGAAGATTATGACTGTGGTTGGGCTGACTAGGATGGTCTGTCTGTGGAAAACGTGGTGTCGGCTGCATGATCGACACGGTCACAAGTTGACAAGAAGACAAGAAGAAGCTCGTATCCTGGCATCAATAAGGCACTGCGGCAAGGACACGCTCCGGTTTTCGTGGAAGAATGTCTTGAGTCAAGCGACAAGCTCGACGTGGGTCTTAAGAGCGTGAAGACTCGAGTGTGATTAGGTTGAGCTGACGGAGCAGTAGTATGAAGGGGTACCTGAATGGATACAAAGATGGTTGCAATGCAAGCTGTATTCTGGATGTATCGTTGCAGCCTCGAGACGACGAGATGGGAGTGGTGATGCAAGGATGGCTGGAAAAGTGCGGATGGCAGTTCAAGACGTGAAAATGGTGGTTCTTCGTGCAGTGAAAAGACGGCATGCTGTCGTGTTGAATGGACAAGACGCTTAACGAATGGAAGAAGCAATTGACGTCAGCTGTGGATCCGATATGGACTTGTCAGTGCAGTCCATTTCGATGGACAAAGCCTCGGTGCAAGTCATTTCCACGTCACAGCGGCACCTCATGATCTCGACACCGTCACAGCTATAGATTTGAACGCGAGATGCTCGACTACATGCAGCAGGAGTAATTCCCATCGATCTACGAGATCTGCTTAACAAGACGGTGAAGACATGCACGAAACAAGATGAACCACGAATAGGAGCACTGTGAAGACCCTACGTCGCAGTAAGACGACAGGAAGGTCGACGTGTGATGCCCGATTTGTTGTGCTTCCCACGCCGTGTGACGGTGATGCGTCATTTGTTGTCGTCGCCACTGCTGCGGCTGCGACAACATCATACACACACAATAACAAATGCGACGGGACAAAAATGCGTTGAAACAATTACGATCCATGGTCGTGTATTCGTAGTCGTCGTTGCTTCGTTTTGACGGTCCATTTAGCCGACGTCATCCTGTTCGTCGTCAAAATATTCGATGTATTCGTGGTCGTGGTCGTTGTTTGTTTTGTTTTTGTCCTGATTATTTTTTTGCCAGCGTCATCTTGGACGTTGTCGTTGTTGTTGATGTTGTAAACCTCATCACTATTTGTGTCCCCGTCCAATCTCTGTTGCCATGTTAAAGTCCTTTCAAACGTCACTTGCATTATCCTAAAGACCACTATCAGGACTTGATGAGCGGAGAGTGTGGCGGAGATAGATGGATGAAATATACATTCTAGTTTTACAGCCGCTTCAATTATTGACCATCTTTGGTCGTTTGACGTGCATTCAACACCAGAAAGGTAAACTTAAGCTATTTTTTTGTGAAGTAGCTGCTTCAGTATGTGCTAGCTAGTCTGCCAGTTTCTGCCGTCAAGCCTCTCCTACAATGGTGACTGCTTGAAGTGGTGCCTTACAGCCGGTACAGATGTGTATTCGGTTTAGCTTGTTAACGCACTCGGTCCAATTTAAAAGTTACGTCAGGGCTGAAAAGGTCCCTCTCGGTGATGGAATCGACGTAAGAGTCAGTGCACAGGATTGGTGTCACTCTGCTTTCGGTCCAGGACGTACTCAACTGCGCGTAGAGGAGGTTTGTTGGCGAAGTACACGCGAGCGGATACTTGCATTAACTTGGACTTCCTCAGCCCAGACTGCCTCCTTTGTGTATCTACCGAACGGACGTTGTGAGAACGAGAGGACAACTGGAACTTGATCGAACATCTATCGGGCGGACAGATAATATCTATACCCGGACAGTTCTAAACCTGTAGGATGCATGATGCATTGCGCGGCGAGTCGTGCTTCCGTGCAACGCGCCGTCGACAATAGACTGTAGTCAAAGTGTTATACTTGGGCCCATGGCACCTGCTGATGATATAAATTACACTCCGGTGGATGAGAGAGTAGCGTCGCTAGTATAATACCGCAGCAGCAGTAAATGTTGTTCGGCCTATCACGTTGACAGTGTTGCAACCGCTATATCAGGGGGGGGGGTAGCGCGCATGCAGAGATGAACCCGTGCATGTTACGTCTTTGCTGTGGTTTCATTGGAAGTGTTTGCGTGTTGGTGACGTCTTCAAAAGTCTTATAGGTTAGTTGTTCACGCAAGTCTCATACTTTTATATGCGTGACAATTTGCGTCACGTAAGGACGCGGATAGCCACGTTGTTTCAGCCTTCACCAGCACTGCGACAACGATACGTGCAGTTTATCCAGCTACATTCATGAACTTTTGTAGCTAGCAACGTGGCAACATGTTCAGCTGTAAGTCGAATAACGAACGTACGTTTGCCTTTTCGTACCCGTTCGGCAAACATGCAATCGGGTGCAAAGGCACCAGTCAAAAAGTAGTCAAGGACTTCTACTCGCGCTACAATTGGAAGGTGCTGATCTGCCGGTGACTCCCAGCGAACGAGTAGTACAATCGCCTCATATCTTAGCAACACATTGTATCACAATATACAATGCAGAACTGAAGGCACATGCAAACCCCAAATGATGTCTTGTTGAAACCTTCAAAATCGCCAATCGTGCACGTTGAAGCAGATCCCCCCACTGCAAAGTGACGGCTACGATCGTATTTTCAGGTATGAAAATACTACAGTTTGAACAAGCAGCTTAAGATGTTGGTCGGAAGCCTGGCTTTGAGGTACCGTGCAACGACCTTGTGCTTAACACGATCATCTCTGCTCTGTACTCACAGTTTTACTTCGAGAAAAGATGGCTTTGTTAGAGAAATTGAGCAGTGGAAGTGTGCGATGGCGAACGCAAGCGACAACACCAAAAAATAAAGCACGGAGTTGACGGTAGATACCATCTCGCAAGGCGCAAGGAGGAGATGCTATGATCGCAGTGTCCTTGGCAAGGACCGATAGGAGTTGTTCAAAGGAGTTCAACCAGAATCTGGAATGTGTTTATACTTTCCGACTTGGCTTTTGCGCTCACAACAGCTTGGAACTAGAAGACTGAAGTCGTCCTCACAACAGTGGGAGCATGAGCTCTGAAGTTGCGAGGGTTTGACACAGCCGACGCAAATTTTCGACAACCTGGTACTCGGCCACCTAGGATTGATGCACAGCTGGCAGAATTCATAGCACACTTGCCGATACCTACGAGTCAGCTTGAGCACAGACAAATACTGGACAGTGATCAGTATGCGCTGCAAGACCGAATCCCCAAAGGTTGGTTGATGTACGTACAAAACGTCAGATTCGGTAACGTGGGTATACAACCGCATGTAGAAGCGGCACGAGGAAAAAAGGCATACATACAAGCACTTCCCGTCGATCGTGAGTGACCACGTCAAGCATACGCCGTGATTTCTAGTAAATGAAGCCGAACTCGAAGGGTCCGGAGCCGATGCAGCGCAAATACCGTCACAAGTCCGTACGCCACTCAAGCTCATCGAGCGAAAAGTCAATGACAGATGACCACGTCAAGAACACGCCGTCATTTCTAGTAAATGAAGCCGAACTCGAAGAGGTCCGGAGCCGATGCAGCGCAAATACCGTCACAAGTCCGTACGCCGTTCAAGCTCATCGAGCGAAAAGTCATTGAGTTGGAACACTTCATTCTTGGGACCGACGTCCCGTCAAAACGAAGTAGAAGGGAAAAGATGAGTTGCAGCTAGAAACGAATGCACTTACGAGTGTATCGAAAATCACATCTATTGGAATGTGCCGTGTACCTGATTACTTGCTGTCTCGAACGTAAAGTGATGACTATTTTGGATCTTTGTCGAGGAATTCCTCACCAGTCTTAAGGGTTTACACTTTCCGAAAGGCATCAGCTCCGCTTCCATACAACGGCACAATCTGTCTACGTCTCGATTCCCTTGATAGTCAGACACATCTCTGGTATGTATTTCGATACCATTGAGCTCTTTTGGTGCATACTCCACTGGTAATCGATCAGATTGATGCGACTGTAGACTGATTATTAACCGCAAAGTACAAAGGGGCACCAGGAATGGCGATATTCGTCCGTGCCGTAAACGACTGTCATCCCGTCGGATGCACTCAACGAGCTACCGACTAATGTGAGTGACCGAATAAGTTGTTGTTCGGAAAGTCTTGCATTGACATTTCCCATTCTTAAGGCATCATCGGATGCTGTGCAAGGTCATTTGGTATTTATGTCCTGGCGATGACCGCCATGTAGTATTCGTGATCCAGCGCTGTACGTATCATTCGGTACATGACCTATAGTCTTGGGTCTACAGAGACTGAGTGATTTTGCCAGAGGGTGAGAGACTCGGACTTGTTAGACTCAAAATATCAAAAACAGCTTTTGTACGACCGATAACTCGCAAGTGAACACATCAGGTCGAATCACGCCTAACACATCACGCGTTACAGCAACAAAGTATTGTGGATATACCATTCCGACAATAATATCACAGTCATTCACAACGGCTTACACCGCAAATTCGAGCTATGGGCCTGCAAATAAGTCGTGTTCCAACCTCCTCAGCAATTAGATCCACCAAACAGCACTTCTCAGGACATGCCAAACGGCACATCCGCTCCAACATGGGATGATTTATGGTCCGCCCCAAATCGTACGGCCAGCAGTGATACTAGACGTCAAGGTCGGTAGATTGAGCAACATGTCGAGCATTTCTGTAACCTCGAAGTGCCAATTGAGAAAAAATCGCAACAGAAATACGACTTTTATACACGGCCGAGTGAGAGAAACGAAAGTTTTAACAGCAAGCGTCGTGTCATAACATAAGAGCATCGCACTTGACCATATTCAGGCTGCGTCGATAAACATGCGATGCCTAAAATCCGATCATCCTCGACCTTACCTTCCGAGCGACGATAATCGACACCGTGATAGGTGAGCAAAAGTCTTGCTCGTGTATGCGACAATTGTGTTGCGGACCGCACTATTGGTACAACCGCATAGAGGTGTAACTCACACTCTCCACGCGGTCGCACGAACAATGCATGTCAACTTTTGATGGAAAACAGGCTACAGCACTTCGTACAACGCATTAGGTACAGCTAGCGATTTTTAGACAGACCGACACGGACAGATGGTATGTAACAACAACTACGTTCATCTACTTTGCGCGTAGTCCTTCACTAATAGCTTCATCCTTCGGCTCACAAGTCTGTGTGGCAGGTAGTTTGTGGCGGTGTTCACGTTTAGCAGTCGTTCAAGCCTTAAGACCCCTTCTTTAAGTCTTCTAAAGAAGAACATACATGTTCCCTCGCGTACCGGTGCATAAGTCAGCGTATTGTCGCGCTTGGAGTAGTATCCGCTTCAATCCGTGCTACATTCGACTCGTGACTCGTTGATATGCTATTTACGATTTACGAAGATTTTCAGGTCGCTGCAACGAGAACCTTACTTCATTCTACATGTTTGGAAAGGCAGCGTGAGGCATGCTCCTATCTACCACGACATAACGTCGGCTTCATGTGTAGCGCCAGCCTCATGTGTGATAGTAATGCCCTTACAGCTTAATGTGCTTTTGCATTTTGCTGTGATAACGAATCAGAAACACTGAAAGATCATCGAGCTGCAATAGAGTGTTGAAGCAACAAGTATCTATATTTCTCTTGTCATCGTATAGGCATCCCCAAGATCTTCGATGTGTACGTGTCAATCTATGTTTATGTGTTCTATGTCCGTACAGTAGCATGCGACTTAAAGGTACTCGCACTGCAACTGCCACGACATATAGTTGCGACTGTCTTTTGTTTGAAATGCTGAAGCTTTTGAGGTACAGAGAAAGTGATGTGCATGTTGCACGACTTGTAAGACGCAACATGGTCAGAGTTTTTGTTGCTGCAAAGCCATCTATACTGGGTCTTATGGCATCACACCCAACGTGTTACAGCATCCAGCGATTTTGTTGGAGTCACTTCGATGCAACTCTAGCAGCATCGCTGTTACATACACCGTTTTCACGTCCAGACAAAACTTCTACTCAGGAAATACCTTGCAATCCATAGCTACGCTATTAGTTCATTCGCAGTAACACCACCGCCGCGTTGTATCCTCGTAACGTTTCAGCATGCGTTCAAGAGAATTCACGAGCTTGAGATCGATATCTATCCACGCATATCGTTTCAAGTCAAGGAAAAAACGAATGATACACGAGAGGAGTGTGCGAGACCAACATCCCGAATCAGTCGGACAAGGTAATCAAGCGACGGACCGATCCTCCAACTGCAAATTGTAACAAAAAAAACGCTACAGCCCGAGCTGTTTTTATGCCAAGAGTTAAACGACACTAAATGTTAAGCTGCAGTGCATGCAGACAGGCCCAGCCAGGCTTATAACGTCACTCGAACAAGTCCATTGTCTGGACATGTAGAGGTAAACAATCTTCCAGTGGTCCAGTCCGGTGCGCAATCATTTCGTCGTTCCGACGAGCACTGCAGCACCAAGGATGAGCCACCAGTTTGGTCCCGTGATGGAATTGGCTGAGCTTCTCTGCTTCACTTTAACTGCATTGCCGGATGATCCCGATGACGAACCTGAACTCGTAGATGTAGAGCCTCCCATTGAGATCGTTTCCTCCTGTCTGACGTAGCCATCCTTCTCAGCATCTAACGTGGGGTTCATCGAATCCAAGCTGCCGTTCGGGTCCTCAGAGCTCTGGTTTGTCGAGTCTTCAGTCGCGAGCGATCCATAGTCATCTTTCGAATGCGAGAGACTGTCGGCATCCAGTGAACCAAGCTCAGTACTCTCTTCGTCAGAGTCCTCCGCATCCGAGGGCAACTCCATCTCCGTCTCTTCCTGCGTGGCCATCTCACCATCCTCCGCATCCGAGGACGACTCCATCTCCGTCTCTTCCTGCGTGGCCATCTCACCATCCTCCGCATCTGAAGTAGAGGTCGTCGACTCCAAGCTGCTACTCGGGTCCTCAGAGCTCCCGCTTGCCGAGTTTTCAGGCGTGAGAGATTCAAAGCCGTATTTCTTAAGCAAGAGACCGTCGATATCTACTGGATCAGGATCAGTACTCTCTTCGTCAGACTCATCCGCGTCGAACGGCGTCTCCATCTCCGTTTTTGAGGTATCTTCCTGCGTGACCGGACTGCCCTCCTCAGCATCTGACGGAAAACTTGTGGACTCTAAGCTGCTGTTCAGGTCCTCAGAGCTCTGGTTTACCGTTTCTTCAGTCGTCTGAGATTCAGAGCCATCGGCGTCTGCTAAACCAAGCTCAGTACTCTCTTCGCCAGAGACACCCGCATCCAAGGGCGTCTCCACTTCCGTCTCTGGGATCTCTACCTGCTTTACCATTCCACCATCCTCAGCACCCGACGTGGAGCTCATCGACTTCAAGCTGCTGGTCAGATCTCCAGAGCTCTTGCTTGCCGAATCCTTAGCTGGAACCGATTCATAGTCGTCTTCCGACAGCGGGAGACCGTCGGCATCTACTGAACCAAGCTCAATAGCCTCTTTGCCAGAGACATCCTCCGCATCAACGACCAACCCCATCTTCGTCTTTGGGGTCTCGTCCTGCGTGACCATTCCACCCTCCTCCACATCCGACGTCGACTTCAAGCTTCTCTTGGGGGCCCCAGAGCTCTTGCTTGCCGGGTCTTCAGTCGTGAGAGATTCAAAGCCGTATTTCTTAGGCAAGCCAGGCCCAAGACTCTCTTCGTCAGAGTCATCCGCATTCAACGTCTCCATCTTCGTCTTTGAGGCTTCCTCCTGCGTGACAATTCCACCATCCTTAGCATCTGACAAAGGTGTCAATGCCGGAAAAGCAAAAGTTGTCCGCGCTTCGGCAGCTGCCACGCCTGGAGGCGTAGCAGCCACGATCGGAGCTGCTGCGACAGGTGCTGGGGCTGCCGGGACCGGAGCTACTACAGGTGCTGGAACTACCGGTGCTCGAGCTACCGGTGCAGCAACACCAGCTCCGACCGGAAGGACTTCTACCTCAAAGCACGTTGAATAGGCTGCACCGAAGTATCCCCTTGCTTGGGCCTGATCCACATAAGCAGTCTCGTCGTCGAGCCAGAAGGTCCAATACCACACCATGTGATAAACGCCTGGAGGCGTGCCAGCAGGAATGGTGAACGACCCGACGCAGGGCTTGCCATCCCCTGCACGGCCACTCGGTTTCCCCTCGTTATCAAGCGATTCTCCACAGTTGCCATCGTCAAAGTTCATCGTGTGTCCATTCAGCAAGTTCTCCGGTTTCATCTGCAGCGTCGATGTAAGCGCAGTACCGACCTTGCCAGTCCAGTAAACCCCGTGCTGCGTGCCAATGGCCTTCTTGTCCTTGACAATATGGCCATTCGGCAAGTAGCTGAAAAAAGCCGTCTGCCCAGGGGTCACCGACAGTCGCGTCCGCCAGTCCGAGTACGCGTTGGCACCAAAATTCTGGCAGACAGGGGTCCCTGCAGCCACCTCGTTCCGAAGCATCTTGTACGTGTACGCGGTGCCAATGTCGGAGGCACCACGACCCGGGAACCCTGCTCCATGTCCGTGACAGCAGCGCTGGCCCTTGGTTCCGCCAAAGATGTACAACGCACTCTGGTCGTAAACGATCAAACGATCCAGGTCCAAGCAGTCCAACCAGGTGTGGGCAGCTGCATCCTGTGAGGCCGTCGAAAGGAGAAGCGGCACCAGAGCTATCAACGTTGACAACGAGACCATGGCTATCCTTTGTTCTTTTCGGTTAATCAGGTGGCTCGACGTCAAGAAGGTGAATGCGGTGGCATGCTAGATCTTGTTAATGGACTTGGACAGCACGCACGACTTGAAATTTTTGCCCACTGCCTGTCTTGACGAGGTGATCCCGAACGCTCAGAATATTAGTTAAGCGCAGGCAAAAGCTGGTCGGATCGGCCTCTTTGTTCTCTTGGCTTCACCCATGTAACGCCTGCTCAGTGACACATGTGCGACTTGGCTCTCCAGCTGGTATGTGAGAATCGACTGGAGCAACAGATGGACGCGCGGCAAACGTGACATCAAGACGGCCAAATAATTTGTAGTCGCGACGACGGAGGTACCACTCGGTGCCTCAACGATCGACACGAAAAAAAAGTTGAGCTCAAATCGCGTGTGCATTGTGCTGGAGTGACTGAAAGCACACACGGCGAGATGGACAACGCTTCTGCAGCCTACGCGAGTATTTGCTGCCAACGTATGATGTCAGGTGCTCGAGAAGATATGCAATGACGAGAACCGCGCTGGTATATTGTAATAATGCCATGCGCACATGGAGTTTGATGCAGTGTGAGGACATTATGGACGGAAGAGGACCCCACGTCGTATAGGACTAGAAGTGGCAAAATAGAGCAGGCGTGCTGAAACCAGCACTACTTCTCTTAGCGGTATTGGCACTGGCAAAGCAGTGGTGTACTAATCGTTAGCCGATGGTCGGAAGAGCTACGCCATAGTTCTCGTTGACATCCATTGTTCCTTTCTACGTGTTGAGGACCAATGTTTCGTACCCACCATATTGAAGCTCCACGGGATAGTGACTTCCGATCAAGTGGTAGAGGGCTGATCGATTGCTTTGTACGTCTTGTTGCCTGCACAACAGCTCCCATGTAGTGTCGGCTCGCCACTCCTGCCGTATCGCTGCGCAGTGTACGCATGACTAAAGAGCCACTACGTGTACAAATGTGAGCGACATGTGGACCACTTAGCGACATGCGGGTTTCGAAACCTTTCATGTCGCCAGGATTTATGTACAGTGCAGATCCGCAGCCAAGTTTTGGATGTAGGAGAACGTAGCCGAAGTGCGACTCCGCACACAAAAAAAATCAACCTCAATGATCGAGTTCAAGAGATGATTCCTTGCCAATCATAAGTGGTTTGGAACCTTTTTCAGCTCCAAGAATGAGATGAGTCGACATCGAGGTGCCTAACGACTCCTAGCGAAACCAGATGAGCACGTTTTCTATACTTTTTTTTGCTACAGATGGTCTATTTACACGGAATGAACTATGTGCACGATCTCTGGTACTGCCTTAGCCAAGATGGTAGCGCCAGAGGATCCTAGCTGACCGTGGCTGGGCCCAGGTAAGCCTGGTGACCCTTTCAATTCGTGCTCGAGTAACTCGATGCATGCATATAACATGGCACCCCTGATAGTCGTAGACACTTGTCTATGCTCTCTTTTCGCGATTGCGCGAAGTTGGTGGATGCACGTTACCCAAAAACAGGTCGTGGTGCTGGTGATGTCTTTCTTGATGAACTGATAGACCGCGTCATTCCGGTCAGCCCATTGCGTGGTTTGACAGATCGTCGGGAGAATGTGCCATATTCGCTGCCACATCCGTTCAGCCGCTTCCACATCCTCCTGAAATCGGCCCGCAAGGAGTGCTTTCCTGTACTCGGGTATGCTGGAGACTTTTTTGCTGGCACACGCGCCAAAGTAGTGTTTGTGTGACGGGGTAGCCCGTTACATGAAATTGACACCAAACGGTGTCGATAGGAATATTGTCTAGCGTGACAATATTCTACCAATATTATTAGAAATGGATAATATTGAAGGAATATCATCCCCTTTTGGATAATATTCATGTGCTGCTCCAAGATTGGTTGATATAAGACATTTCGACCATAGATTGCCACCAATCGCTGCTAGACGCGCGCAATGAGTGGTGAGCAGGTTGTCGTCTTACGACGGCGTAGTTTAGTATAGTTAGATAAAGGTTAAAGTTATGTTGATAGCTTAACTATGTTAAATACAGTTCTCTTTTTACCTTTACTTAAACGAGTCGTTCAAGTAGATTAGCTTCCTCTGCACGTACTAGTGTACGTGAAGTTTCGTGGCACCCCATACAAACAGTGCCCCGTTACACCTGGTAGCACTTCGTAGTCCGTCCAACGTCTACTTAGTGTCCGTCCAACATGAACATGTTGGACGTAGAAGACGACAGCTTTCACGTCACACGTGAAGGCTACTCCCATCTGAGGGACTCAGAATGGGAGGTAGTCGGCCGCATGAGTGTGCTCATAGGCGAACCCGCCATCGGCATAGACCATAAACATGCTGCTTTCATCAATTTCCTACAAGGGAAACTTGCCGTCGAAAGACAGAAGGTAGCCTTGCTACAACAGCAAGGATCTCATTAGTAGATGGTCGGGCCGACGCACACGCGTCGACCCAAAACCTTGAAGATTGACATCTCAAGGTACAAGGAAACCGAGGAAGATTCCTTTCTGAGATACTTCGTCGAGTGAGACGATGCCATCAGGGCCCGTCACATCGAGTGTGACGAGATGCAAGTCACCTTCGCCCTGTCAAATTTGACGGGACGAGCAAAGGATTGGGCCTTAGGGCTCAAGCTTCACGACCCAAACGGGTTTTAGTGGCTGGAGATCAAAAAATCGGCTTCAAGAGACGTTTAAGCCGCCGAGAGCCGAGTTCAGGGTACGCTCTGCACTCTTGAGGCTAAAGTAAGGTAAGCGTGACGTGCACGCTTACGCACAACACCTACGCTTACTTGCGAGCAGCGTCTGAAACAGTCTCAGGCTAACTCGTCAAACTATCGTCCGACGAGGCGACAGGAAACAGAAGGTCCCTAACCAATGGACCTCTGTTACATCGAGAGTGAGAACTCTCGCTCTCTGAGTTACAAGCGAACGGCAAGATGCCATCGCTGTCAGAAAATTGGACACTACGCTCATGAGTGTAGTGTGTTAAGCACCGCAACACGTCCAAAGACAGGACGTGATGACCACCGTTGGCCAAGGAAGGGTCCGAGCGTGGGTCCGACCATGTCGCTAAGCCGCGACAGCACGTCGGACCGTCAAAAAATGGTCGGGGTTAGTAGGGGCGGAGCACCCTGCTGATCCAGCAGCGTCAAAAGAATTTGCAGGACTCTTGAGGAAGATTGCTCCCAACACGCAGTTGCTGTGTGTTACTGCCCCTAGTGATGAGGTACACCTCATCACTCTGAAGATTGAAGTGACAAGTGGAATGTCACTTCGCGCCCTAGTTGACTGTGATGCGTCGAACGTTTTGTTCGACGCCAGTCGCTAAGGGATAGTAGTCTCAACTATATTGAGCAAGAGATCCCTCCAACGAGGATGACGGTGTGCCTTGCTACAGGCGCATCCGTAACAGTGAACAAAAAAACGTGTAGTTGGAATCCAAACACGATAGAAGGAAAGCAGTACGATGATGAATTTTTTGTACTAAAAATAGTCGACAAATTTGATGTCATTTTTGGTCTGCCATGGCTTAAAAAGTACCAGGCATGGGTTAGCTGGCAGCATCGATCCGTGAAGACGCCTGCCGTTTGTTCATCGGATGGTCATCTGATGAACGTCTTGAAGCGACCACAAGCGTGTGGATGTACTACGAGTGAGTGCGATGGCCTCACTTGTGTTACGGTCGTTGGCTTGAGTGCACAAGATCACAGTGTAGAAGGCCACTACACTGTGGAACCAGCTTCTGGCACCTGTTAAGAGACACAGGCTGCGCCGAAGACTCACTACTCGAAGAGATCGAGCGGACTGGAACACGGATGCACACCTAGCGGTGCATCCAAGAAGAGAGACTAGTGTTGTTCAGGATGAACAACACGTTGAAGCGAGATCGACTAACAGAGAGTCGATCTTAGAGCAAGCCCGCTCGACTGAAAGAGAGTAAAACGAAGAGGATGTGACCGTGATAGTACCCGTAACGGAAGAAAATTCCGGCGTTCCTGAGAGCAGCAACTCCCGAGAGAGTTATGTTGAGGGTGTGAATCCCCAACCACCTGCGGATGTGTTTTCCCAGGAAATTTCCGAGTCAGTGATGGCTTGGTGAATGACGGATCAAGTGTAGGCGCTTATACACTTGATCTGGTTGCACCTCCGAAGTCAGCTTCGGTGGTGGTCAAGTTGCCAACGCTAGAATCTAAAAGATCCAGGCGAGATTTGCGTAGTGACAAGATCAAGCAGATCTGCGTACTCGTCACAGAGGACGAGTACGTCACCGACATTCGGTCCGCACAAGTGTTTGATGAGAACGAACGGGTTCTCAGTAGATCATCTATGGACGAGAGTGTCCTCGATGAGAAGACTCGGATTGAGCGATCCACGTCTCAATCTTGGGAGTCCTCGAATACAAATCCTTTGTATGAGAATTTGGTGAAATTCAGGAATATTTTTCCGGAATCCTTGCCATGCGAGCTGCTTAAAGACAAAGGCACTCGGCATGAGATCGAACTGAAACCTGGTTCGAAATACTGTGTCATGAAGCAGTGGCCACTGCCTCGTAAACAGGTCACAGCAATCGAAAAATTCTTTGCCGATCGTTTAGCGGCTGGTCATGTGAGGGAATCAACATCCCTACACAGCTCTCCGACCTTCTGTGTGCGAAAAGCAACAGGAGGGTGGCGGATAGTGCACGCCTTCAACAAATTGAACGCTGCAGCGGTACCGGCTCAAACGCCGATCCAAGAAAGGATATCATCATAGATGGTATGGCAAAGAGTACCATCTCTTCATGAATTTGATCGATGGATTCTATCAGATCCTCATGCGTGAACGGAACATCCCTTACACAGCAGTAAGCACCCCCAGTGGTATGCTCTGGGAGTGGCTAGTAATGCCACAGGGGCTAAGTAACGTCCCTGCAACGTTCAGCAGATGTGTTACGAATCTGCTGCGATTGGTGCGCGATTTCGCACCGAGTTACTTCGCCGATGTCTACGTCCATAGACGGGCTATGGATGGAAAGACGGACGTGGAGGTTCATAGAATCCACGTCCGGAAGGTTCTTCCACTAATGCGAGAGGATAAGTTGTTCGCGAACCTCAAGAAGTGCATATATTCGCAGCGAACGAAATACCACTTGTTGGCTGTATCGTGGGTAAAAACGGCGTACGCCCTGATCCGGAAAAGACCTAGGCTCTTAGCGACTGGCCTGTGCCAGTCAACGTCAAGGGACTTAGAAAGTTCCTTGGTTTGGCGGCATACTTGCACGAACACTCGCGCAACTATGCCGAGATGACCGTACATCTCTTTCGTCTGCTAAAGAAAAACGAGAGGTGGTCATGGAGCGCTGAGTGTCAGCACTCCTTTGAAGGTATCAAGAAAAGCTTGGTGAAATCGCCTGTGTTGGCGATTGCAAATCAGGATAGACCATTGCATGTGGTCTGTGACGCCAGCGATTTTGCAACCGGCTGCGCGTAATTGCAGTACGCCTCAGACGGCGTTGAGCGCGTCGTCTGATATCAATCGCGTCAGCTGCAAGCAGCTAAGCGTAATTACCCGGTGCATGACAAGGAACTTCTTGCCATGAAATGTGCACAGGCTAAGTTTCGGGTATATCTTTAGGAGATAGGCCCTTCATCGTTTATACCGACCATGCGTCGTTACGCACGGCCGTAAACAGTCCAAAACTCTCGCAACGAATTGCGAGGTGGCTGTCTTTCTTCGCGGAATACAACTTCTCTGTCGTTTATAAACCAGGACGACTTAATGTCGTCGCTAATGCGCTTTCGCGTCGGCCCGATTTCGAGTCGACTGCTCAACCCAACAGTAGGGGTGATCCCACGGTAGCAACACTAATAGTGAGTGTTTCGTCGTCGATTCTACTCGACGATGTGCGAAAAGCATACGCAGATAATGAGTCTCTTCTGCGCTTGATGGATTACGTATCCAATCTGTGTAATCAAGCTTTAAAAAGGTTGTCGTCTAAATAACGCTCTTCAACCGAACGGTATTCTGTTCGTGATGGAATGCTGTACTGTACAGAAGTCAACGGCAACACACCTCGTGTCGTTGTTCCGGCTCATAATAATTTGCGATTGCGCATCATGTATAAGTGTCACGATGCCCCAACATTTGGGCATCGCGGTAGAGAAAAGACGTACCTCACAATAAGTCGTGACTTCTACTGGCCCCGCCAGTATGATTTTGTGCGGAAATACATTCGCGTTTGCGAAGTTTGTCAACGGGTGAAGCCTAGTACTTCATCCCGCGGACCCTTGCAGCATCTTCCGATTCCGGCAGAGTGTTGGCAGTCCGTATCGATGGACTTCGTCTTTGGGTTTCCCAAAGACGCTCACAAGGATACGGACATTCTTGTGTTTGTTGATCGGTTTAGCAAGATGGTACATCTTGTTGCTGTACCGGATTCAATCACATCCCAGGGCTCTGCGCGTGTCTTCATCGATACTATCTTACGACTTCACGGGTTACCCCGTGAACTCGTGTCCGATAGGGTTCCCCGCTTCGCAGCGGAGTTCTTGAAATACGTGTTCCGTTCACTTGGAACACGTTTGACGATGTCAACTTATGACCATACAGAAACAGATGGTCTAACGGAACGCGTCAACCACGTCCTCAATAAGATACTTCGAGGGCATGTTCACTCGGTTACGAGTCGAAGTGAGCTCTTGTCGATGGCGGAATTCGCCATCAACAACTCGGTGCACGCGTCTACAAGGCATACACCGTTCTTTGTAAATGGACTACGCCATCCACGTTTACCCGCCAACTTAGAGTGTGACTCTAGGTAAGGGGGGGCTGTATCGCTCAAACAAAACCGATCTGGTTCTTTCTCATCACCCGTCGACAAAGGTGTCGATGTGATGGATGCCAATGTCGATGCAATCGATATGGTTGATAATGATGACGACGATGCTGGCATATTCAGCATCGCCAATGACTGCCAAAGTGTTGACGATGACACCGTCACTGATGAATACAACGTTCTTTTAGCAGTGCACACGAAGCGCACTGCTGTTGACAAGGATGAATCAGCAGAAAAATTACTTTTTCAAATTGCGCGAACGCATAAGCGGCACGATCGTCCGAGCGACCGTGCGTTAGGGGGTTATAATTATCGCTCACAAGATCCTTAAGCCCATAACGCCGATTCCGTTCATGAGCTAGGTCATCTTGCAACTGTTCCGTTACACGGTTCATCTCTCAAACATCAAGCTGATCCAACCTTCGAGACGGATCAGGTGTTCCCACCGCCACCACATCCTTTGGTGGACTCAAGCGGTGGTCAACGCTTCCTAGTGAAGCATATTTTGAACCACCGCGATGTAGATGACGTACGGACGAGTACCTCGTCCGCTGGCGTGGCTATCTACCGGCGTGGGACAGCTGGGAGCCTCGTGCCTACCTGATTGTTGATGTCCTTGGTATCGTCGAGTAATATGAAGAGACCTATCCGCTGCATTTGAAGAAGGACCGTCGGAAAAACGACCTCCCCGAAAGCGAGTGCAAGGATTGCAAAGTGTCGATTCCTTCGGCCATCTCGGAAGAAAAACGCGCCCTCCAGTAGGGATCATTAGGGAGGCAGGCCTCCCTAGGGACACGGGTTGAGCTGTACAGGCAACCTGGACACGAATCAACCCACGATAGGCAGATTAATTCTGCATCTCTTGAAAGCCGGTGCAACTTGTATCGCGCCCCGACTGGGTTGCGTTTCTCAAACCTGATGTGAGGTGCATCAAGTTTGGCGAGCCAGGCCTCACGGCCAATACAATCGATGTTGTGGATGAGGGCATTCCATCCCTGAACCAAGGCTTTGCCGTCTCGAACACGGCTACCATTGTACCGCCAATGTTTGAAGAACGCATCGGTGAAGAACTCATCCTCAGCACGGATAGTTTCCGTGCTGGTATCAGTTGGGCAATTCTTTCTGCAATCGAACTACGGAATACGGTCCCGTTCGGTAGTTGTGCCGGCCAACCGTTCCAACTCTCTGAATGGCGGCATCCACGGAGACTTCACTTGGGGAGCGTGGCGCAAGACATTTCGGTCCCTGGCCTCTTGATTGGTGCCAGCATGAGCACTGGCACCAGTGTTAACCAGATCCTTTGAGTTACTCACTTGTGGTGATGTATAGGTGCATCACCACCATCCTTATGCGTCCTATCGTTGGATGGACTTGCGTGAGGCGAAGATTCATCGGAATAATCACTCGATACGACGATCTCGTTCAAAATACCGCCGCGTTGACCAGAGCCAGTCAACCTGGCTCTTGCAGTATCCGCCCTGGGTGATCCAGAGGCGTGTGAAGTCGCCTCCGAGTCGGATGCATCATCCGACTCGCCAGAATAGATGAGCTCTATCTCAGACTCGTCTTGATTACGACCCGAGGGACCCGCTGCAGACGCAACGGATGTACCTGTCGCACGTAGTGACTCACCACGTAGAGGATTCACGACAACAGGCGACGAATCGCCTGCTGCTGAGGCGTCAGAGGCACTTTTCGCGGCCGCGCGCATGCGTGACGCCGCCCTTCTTGCTGCTGCTGTAGCAGCTCACGTAAATTTTGGAACCATACGTTGGTTTGGCAAATGAATGGAATTTGAACAACGAGTGCTCCCTTTCCCAGAGTGATCCAACGGTGTCACCCAGTCCCAATCAATTATAATTTAATCAACTGTTGATTGATGGTGAGGGGGGGGGTGATGTAACGGGGTAGCCCGTTACATGAAATTGACACCAAACGGTGTCGATAGGAATATTGTCTAGCGTGACAATATTCTACCGATATTATTAGAAATGGATAATATTGAAGGAATATCATCCCCTTTTGGATAATATTCATGTGCTGCTCCAAGATTGGTTGATATAAGACATTTCGACCATAGATTGCCACCAATCGCTGCTAGACGCGCGCAATGAGTGGTGAGCAGGTTGTCGTCTTACGACGGCGTAGTTTAGTATAGTTAGATAAAGGTTAAAGTTATGTTGATAGCTTAACTATGTTAAATACAGTTCTCTTTTTACCTTTACTTAAACGAGTCGTTCAAGTAGATTAGCTTCCTCTGCACGTACTAGTGTACGTGAAGTTTCGCGGCACCCCAAACATAGGGTCCCCCGTTACAGAGGAGGTGCTTTGAGGTTCAAGTTAAGACAACATATAAAAGGCTTGGAAATTGTGCACATTATGGTCCTCAAACAAAAGAGGCATTTCTTTGGCGCGTGATGTGGAGCATCTTTCCGGCCATATTTGGAGAAAACAGTTTCGTTGCCTTTGCTTGGGAGAGTTTATATGTAGTGTCCTTCCTCTCTGCATGCACGGCAGCTTCACTGCTTCTTAGGTTCAGTAAACAGTTATACAGTGTATTCTAAGACTTCTACCTCACGCTCGACGCGCTTATTTGCGCAGCACTGCGATGCACGCCTTCCCACCCGTCCGGAGTGAGAACTGATTGGTGTTGAACATTTAACTTGCCTTGAGCACTTCTGTTTTGTCTCTTTCTTACAGAACTGAGACTGTGAAAAGCAGGGCTCTCAACATCAAGCTTCCAGCGGTTTAGAATATCTCCCATTGTTAAGTCTTGCCCTAGCGTTGGCGAAGTGCAACCTCGTTCTTGCAGGGAAGCCCATAAGCCTTCTGCCAGGTACCGGCGCATCTAATCTTACCCATCATCCATTAATTACTTCTACACAACGGCCCGCAAGTCCTGATTATTATTGCTGCTCAAAGAGAATAGAGCCTTTAACTTATTATACTGTCCGTCGACGTAAATGTCTTCACGGTAAGGCAATACATGCAGGTTGGTGGTTCACCTTTGCTGTCGGGGCTATGTGGAAAATTCGCTGATATAGCATTCCTCAGGGCTTTGAAACAATAAGGAAAAGTTAGGATTATTGGGCAATCACGATTTATATAGGGTCCAGTGTGCGGACTTCGCATTCATCGAAGTTGACGTCCCGCAGTAAAGAAAGCGGTCAATGAGGTGATGTTCTTAGTGTGCTTGATATTTGAACCTGTGTTGCATCAAACAATTTTTATGTAGGCAGCAGCGATTTCTTTATATCCATATAAAAGAGTATACACCTTCCACAAGCGTTTCGTGCGTCAATAATCTAATAAGCCGTCCTTGCATATACGGACCTTTTTGAATTTTTAAATGAATTGGTTACAATTGTTTGTCACGAACCTTTTCAAGCAGTTGGTCTTGTGATTCTTTTTAAGGTGCCAACAACATGGGACAAATGGATATCTTTGTCTCTAACGTATTAACGCATGTGGAAGGTAAAGGCTGATTAATAGGAATGCATGCCGGCGCAAAAGCAAACGCATCTTCGTGCTGAAAACATATCTCGAGCTGCGACCATCGATATGAGGGTATTCGCTCATAATCCACAAAACAAAATCCGATTGAAAGAGCTGGTTGTTGCCGGTATTGCTCACAAGGTAGATACAATTGTAACCATCCACGTTTGTGCAGTAAGTAGCGTCCATGATGCCAAGCTCTTTCGCCAATATTCCATGTAGTTCTATCTGCCAACCTATTGCATTGATCGGACGAGTCAAATCATTGTTCCTATCGAAGCGCGCTCATAAGAACAGATGACCTTCATTTGGTGCCTCGTTCAGATTCACCATTAGCATCTCCATGTAATAATTTTCTATAAAATCATTGTTCCAACGCCAACGAGTGTCAGCAAGGCCTTGTGGCTTCCAAAGAATTTTAATATTTTTCTTCAATCGTCATTTGGACGTTTCTTAAACGGTATCTGTGATCACACATCATTTCGGATGTGCGCTTCCGCATGCTGAATATGCTCGCGACATTTTGAAAGGGAAAAAATTGCCGCTTTCTAGTAAGCTGATTGCATGCTGTATTTTGTTCCCAATCTTCAGCTTCCGAGGTCCAAGTTCACGACATAGAATCAGTGTTAGAATGCTGCTTTCGAATAGTTAAACAATTGATTACGTGCCTATTTGCTTTTTCAGAACAATTCGAAGCTAAGTTCAACTTACTTATTGCTCTTGATGTGTTTTTTTTTCATTGGAAGCTGTCACAGAGTACAACCTTGCTCACATTCAAATCTACGGCAGAGCAGCACACCAGTGAACTTGTTTTTGCGCTGATTTTTGTTACAGGCAAGCGAGAACCCAATAGGTCATGCCTTGACCGCATGCTCGGTGTCGTTGATACTTTCCATTCTTCTTGAGGAGAAGAAAAAAGTGTGGCCTAGGCGAATATAGTATCATCGGAATAGACATCCCGTGAAGTAAACATAAGACCAACACAAGCCTCGTCGGCTAAAGAGAATCAAGTCATTGCTATGGTCATGCATTTTGAAGAAATACGTACGCTGACAAGCGACAAAGCGTATTTAAAACTAGCGGTAGAGGTAGAAGCGGTAAAGGAAGGCGTTAAACGGTGATAACATGTGAATTACAAGTAGTATGTGGCGACTAGGGCCACCGACAGCTCAAGCGACGCTTTTACACAATCAGTAATTTTTGCGGCTTTTGTAAAATGGTTACGTAGGGCGAGAAATGAAAAAGCATGGGACGTAAATAGTGTTGTAAATGATACGCCTCGGCATGATGCTTCAGAAAAGTGTTCTGTAGCTCAGCCGGTTTGGTATGGCAGTACCATCCCAAAGGTCACTAATACGATACCGGTGGGGCGTGCAAACAAAAAAGTTAAGCCTTAGGGATCTGGTGTTTGGGGTTCACCAGCACTGTCCTGCCAGACAGTGAAGTCCCCTACTTTCGGTACGTTTGGGTGTTTAGAAACGCACGACCAGAAATAGAAACGTACGACTATACGATTAGTAATGCGCGATGTGGTGATTACTAATGCGCGACAAGACGATTAGTAATGTGCGATGTGGCGATTACTAATGCGCGACTAGACGATTAGTAATGTGCGATATAGCGATCAGGAACGTATAGTCGATGAGAATTAAGTAGGCTTAGAGTAGCAACAGACTTTGCGAACTAAGGACCTAAATACATTCACTTTGCATTTTACCAGCTTTGACCAACGACTTTAAATAGCTGCAGTGTTCTCGTTAGAAATTTTTTCATTTACTATTTGTCATTCGTTCAGCAACACATATAGATCGAAGCTGTCAATAGTTAAACATTTTTTCTAAGTACACTTAATTTTTTAACCTTGCAAGCCGAATCATTGTTTTGTTTATACGGTATGATATGTTTGCCTAGCGGGTCCATAGTTGTCATTGACTTAATACAGGGCGTTGCAGAAGGGGACAAGATGGCAACAACGCTCTTTCAGATACTACTGATTTATAATCATTAGTAACTGGATAATAAAGCGTCGACTTCTAGTGATCGATTATCATTTTTTCGAAGCTAATTGCATTCCCCGCGCCTGTTTCCCCGCCCTACGTAAACATCGTATATTAGCCACAAGAACAGCTCTTAAGCCCTCTATATACGTCCTTAGTCGGATCCACATCAACTCAATTTATAGTCGCACTCATTGATAACATGCCATTCAGCATCAACAAGCTTACACCGGGAAACACGGCGGAACAAAGCATGCTGAAGTAACATTTTGCCAAAATAAACTCGAAGACCTCGATTGTCAAGCGTAAGGCCTGATAAGTGTATGAGGAGAATCTCAAGCAGAAGATTAACCGACAGATGGAAACAAGCGTTTTCAATGATTTCGCGTGCTATTGTTCTACTGCGTCCTTATGCTGTAAAGTAATATTTACGATGATCTGTACGAGCAAAATAAGTCGCTATTTAGACATTTTTTAAGATAATTTTGCTTACATCACTTTTATTGTTAGGATGATTGTATAGCGCAAGCAAACAGATTCAAAAATTTTTTACCGGGAAGTCCAAAAAGAGAAGTGCGAGTTCACGTTACCAAACATTTACCTGTGCTTTCGATCAAGAGTGATGGACGAGAAAAACGGCAGCAAATTGTGGCAAAGTCACTACTCAAATTTTGTACGAGGATCGGTGGCCACACCTTTAAAGCGCCGCTTACTGGTGGAAAAGGAGGCCATGAGACTCGGCGATCCAATACGGAGGTGGAAGATGATCTTAACGGGATCGGCGAACCGATCCAACTGTTGTTAGACTAATGGGTAAGGATCGACCTGGGACGGAGCGATCTGGAACGATTTACATGGAACAATCTGGGACAAGGATATGGGACCGGGTGATGGGATATGACTCTGCGACGAAGGTGTAACATCTTGCAGAATGTTATGGGGCGATCTGGAACCAGACATCGGGATGAAGTCATACAGCTCATTTGAATGCCGGTCAAGAAGAAGTATACGTACATTGAAGCAGGCTAAGATCAGATCGCAGATCGACATGTTGTGGCAACGGTTTGTTGGAGAATTGACACATCTGGGACAAGGTGACTCCCCAAAGTGCATCTGGGACCAGGTGGTACGGGTCGGTGAATCGGCAAAGAAGGTGCAACACCATACGGATCGGTGATACTCTTTACCGATCCTAAATTGGGAGTACTGATTTTGGTTA